AGGAAAGATACGATTATGATTTGTATATACGTAGAGGGTGTGGGTGTAACCAAAGAAAAGATACACCCACACCCACCCACACCCACACCCACCCACACCCACACCCACCCACACCCATTCACACCCACCCACACCCACACCCACACCCACCCACACCCACCCACACCCGTTTATTAAAAATGTTTTTTTTGATCTGCTCGAAGTGTTCATTTGTAGCCTTCTTTGCCTCATTAACTTCTTCTTCAAACGCAGCTTCGTCAGCAGCGAAGTCGTTGTTGGTCGAACCTCTCTCCGCATTGGTTTTTATTATTGTCTCCAATTTATCAATCTCACTTTTGATAGAACGTTTTAATGTCCATTGTGCTTCATCGAATACTGAGTTCATTATTCTAAAATATAATTATTGCATAGTATGCTGAAGAATTCCAAACTTACTCAGTGCTCTGTGTAATGGAATTATTGAAAAATAAATGAAGTTTAATTTGATAAACAATAATAAATTAATCTAGAATAAAAATGATCAATAACTAACAAAATAGAGTTGATGCTGGAAACAAAATGTGAAAATTCTTCATTTTTTTAATCGACAATACAAATCTACATCTACTATTTATCCTGAATGGAACTTTTTTGTATTGCCAGCTTGTTTCAAAAGCTCATTAATTTTTTCATCAAAAAATGCTTTTGCCTTATCAGCTTGTTTCAAAAATTCAGCTTCTTCGTCAGCGAACATTTTTGTCTTGTCAACTTCTTTCAAAAGCTTATTAATTTTTTCATCAAAGAGCTTTTTTACTTTGTCAGCTTGTTTCCATAACTCAGCTTCTTTGTAAACGAAGATTTTTGCCTTGTCAACTTGTTTGAAAAGCTCAGCTTCTATGCCAGCGAACTGGATTGTCGTCCTTTTCTTCGCCATCGATTTCATTATGTTCTTCGATGTATTAAAATCACCTATGATAAAACGTTCTGGCGTCCATTCTGCTTGATCGATTACTGAGTTCGCTATTCTAAAATATAATTATTGCACATTATGTAGAAGAATTTCAAATTTACCCCATGTTCTTTGTAATAAAAGTGTTGAAAAACAAATTAATCTAGAATAAAAAAATAAATAATTAACAAAATAGAGTTGATATTGAAAACAAAATGTAAAAATTGTTGATTTTTTTCATCAATAATACAAATCTACATATACTATTTATCCTGGTTGAAATTTATTAATTCGCTAATATCCTCTTTCAGTTTTTCAGCCGTAGTCAACAAAGGATCCCAGTATTATTTCAAATATGCTTCTATATTGTGATTGAAATCATTGAGAATACATGTTAGATTATCATCGGCACGAATTACTTGCCATACTTCATCGAGAAACTTTTTATATTCATCAAATATTTTATTAAGAATATCTTTTATACTGGACATAAGTGTTGCTCCAAGTTTGATTAATTCTCTATATGTCGCTTGACGTTCTTCGTAGTTGCGTTCATTGATAGTGTCAGATGATGAACGAGCGCTCAAAACAAGCTGTTTGACCTTTACAATATTTTTCATAATCATGTCCGGAATTGAACCCACATTTTGAAGCAGCAACGCTTCCTGTTCTTTTATCGATTTTTGTTTAAGTTCATCTTCATATTTATTTTTAATGTTAAAATTATAGATGGTAGATGTTGTTTAATTTGTTGAATGAGTGTCAGAACTTGCTAGAATAAAGTGATATTTAATAACTTGTTCCTATAAACCGTTTTATGTATTTAACTATGATTCTTCTTTTGATTTTTTTTACAACAGAACAAGAAGGCGTATCCTAACTAATAGTTATTGTTTTAAACTACGAGAAAAACTTGAAAAAAAATAGTATTCACTTTCACTTGCAGTTTGTTCATTAGTAGCATAGCCACTGCTAGCTTCATTATTAATAGATTTTGCATTGTTTGTCGTTCAGATCGGTCGTTTTCATTTGAATTTTCATCGTTAGATTTTGCTGAGTGAGTCAATGTATGAATATTATTTCCCTGGTTATTTGCCATTGTTAAAATGATTTAAAAGAATATCCTATTGTATGCATGAAGTTTATTCGAAACATTAAAATCGACTGCTTTTTATATACAATCATCAGTTGATTATATACGATGTGAGCTGAGAAGGTAAAATACCCAGCTCCAACGTATAATCGTTGGAAAATTCCCTTACATTACGATACTGATACGAAACAGAGTACAGAGAAAAATGATAAGAGAATAAGTTGGAAAAAACCTAACAGAACGAAAACAATTACTCTGGTCAATGATATAAATGACATTATTAATACGGTATTAGGTGTTATCATCATCTTTCTTTGTTTCTTTCTTACGTCATATATGTATATCTTTCGTTCTGTTGTCACATATACATATATCATATATAGTATGATTCATCATTTTCTTCCATACCGTTCATCGATTTACCCTCCATTGTTCTATATAGTATTTTTCCAAGAATATGTTGTATTACAAGAGATGAGAATAATCAAAGTAAGCATTTCTTCTATAAATACTTGCGTTTTCTCCTCAAAGAAACGAACTATTGCCAAGCTTACAAGCTGTCATCTTCTTTCACAACTAACGGTAAGACTAACAGATTCTCGAGAACGTCTTCGATACACAGATGAAGGCATGGAGAAACTTCGAGGTTGGATTTGAAACATATTCGTTAAACTACTTGAAATCGTCCAAGAAATTATCGAATGAATGTGGAAAGAGGTTGATCATATTCTTGAAAAAATTCCAGATGCTTTCCGCACAGTCATCAGACTTTTTTTAATAACCAATCTTTACAACATTATTTCACATAAATCAAACCACATTTTAAGATTTTATACCTGTAAATTTAATTATTTTCACGTTTTAGATCGATTTTTATTGACAAAATGGCTTCTCAAAATTCAACTGGACGTCCACAAGTATTAAAAACATTTTATTATTTATTCTTAATATAGATATATTTGTTTTAGAAAGGATCGTCATCGTCAAATCAAGCTACTATCAAAAGTTATGCCAGCGTAAGTTATTTTTTAGTGTACTAACGTACGTGTTATCTACTTTGTAGGTGAATCTCACTAAATTTTATTCAACAAAAATTTCACTAATCTCATATTGAGATTTTCTGATTTTGACTAGTTAATTCAGTTAATATTCATTATAATACATGTTATTTTCTCTCAGTACTAAGTATTATCATTGATAAAAGTAATATCGGAGAGTTTTATGCACAAAATATTGTTATGTGTGATGTAAGACGAAACGTTTCCAAAGCTCTTTCTCAAATCGTAAAACAGCGAAACTGTCGTTATTAACGAAGTATTTTCTAAATTTGTTTATTTTGTAGAGAACTCTGACGATAATTCAAGATCAAAACACGAAAAACCTTCCAACGTTAATTCTTAAGTTACAAGAACGAGCATCGTCTGGCGGTAATAATTTGATGAACCGGATTCGTGGTAAAAATTCGAAATCTGAAATGTCAGATGAAGAACTTGAACAATATATTGCGGATAATTTGGAGAATTTTAAACATGAACTATTGGAAAACACCCAGAACTTTCAGCAAATGATACTTTCAGCAAGACCAAATCCTGAAATGAAAAAGCAAAATCCAGAAGATTACCAAATTCAGTCAGAAAATTACAGAGAGTTACTCAAATTGGGTACGGCAATTGCTAAACGCATGCGAGAATCATTAAATGATATATTAACACAATATCAACAATATATTGAAAAGATCTGGATAGCTATTTGTCAAAAACAAGATATAGAAGCTATACGAAGACAGTTTAATGAAGCGATGGACCAAAATATGGATAAATATTGGAAACCTGTGTTTGATAGCGCTGATCATCTCATTGAAGACATGAATCAAAACGACACTTCTAACAATGCTCAGTAGGCCTATGTAAAACGAACAGAGATTTTTTTTTAAACTAGAAAATAAAATCATGATTTCAATATTTTTCTTTGAATGCTGCATGCTTTGTTCAAATATATTCACAAGTGAAAGGGATCTTAAACAAATTTATTACTGATGCAAAAATGAGGACCTGGTAAATTTGAAACTGTGACTAGTTTCTGTCCAATGATCCTTACTTGATATCTCATGCTATTGTGAAAATAAGTTCTTTACCTTGTTCCACACCGAAAACTATGGTAGTACATCAAATATTTACTTTTATAAGGTGTGGATGTGGGTATAGTTGAGAGAATAGAATTTACTCGTTCACGTTCACACTCATCTTAAACATGATCTAATAAGATAAGATTTATTTATATTCAACACACAAAGTAGTAATTACATAAAATAAAAGACTGAATAGTAAATGATCATACCAAGTGAGATTTAGTCACATTCTCTTTCTACTTCTGAGCATTGATAATTGTACTTCAATTATTTTACCCTATGATACAAATATAAGAAAAAAATCCATAAATATTCCATTGATGAAAATCATATCTTAAGTTTATTAGAAAAAAATGATTAATACAAACACGGACAATATCTTTTGTGTTTTCTATATATATATATATTTTATGAGAAATTTCGTTTATACATAAATGGAATTATGTTACACTGAAGGAATGCTGTTTTCGTTTAATAGTCAATCGAAAAAAAAAAGTCATGAAAGACACACACACTTGGACAAGAAAATATAAATATAAATGAGATTTAAACAAGGAAAAAAAAAGTGTAAATTATTCCTTTAAGACATAATTTCCGTATCAATTCGATGAGATTCATTTTCTTTTTCTTCATCATTATGAGTTTTCAAAGAAAGTTTTGATGTTGGCCGATAGTATTTCAATACATTTGTCCATTCATCATATGGAAATCGCATATGAAATGCAGAAATAATCGATTTGCTATCATCTTCATTGATTGTTTTTGTCTATATTAAAAGAAAAAAGAGAAATACAAATCTAATAAATTTTCTATAAAATCAAATTACGTCTATAAAATTTGCAATCAATTCTAATGACATTTTAGTTTGAAGAATGGCTCGCGTTGTATCACAATCATATGAACAGGAGATTAATATTGGAAAAAGTATATCCATATACAGTATAATCTTGTATAATGAACGCCCTCCTATGTGAACAACCTGTTTAACTGAATACCTTCGAGAACGCTTGAGCACATTTTGCTGGTTTTGCACTCTTCGTATATGAAAACCCCTTCATTTAGAAATGTGAACATATTTTGTAACCCTGACTGTGTGCATAAATCTTGTAATGTGAACAAAGATAGATGGTGTCACACTTTTACGAAATATATTTCGATGAATTTTATTGGCTATGTAGTTGTATCCATACAGAATATAGAAAGAAGAGAGTAAAAAGAAACAATAAGAAAAATTCTTTCGATATCTGTTTATTAATTATGGAAGCAAGAAATGACTTAAATTTAGAACAAAAGATTAATTTAATCAAAGATAGTGAACAAGGAATATCTTATCGATTATTGAAGGATAAATTTCATGTATCAGTTGGCAGTATATCAAATATTCTTAAAAGAAAAACTGAATGTTTGGACGATTATGAATGTAACAAGAGCAAAAAAAATGAAACGAAAATTATATTCTTTTGTTCTTCACTTTCAATCTAAACTAATCGATATTTATCTTGATGGGAACAATTTGAAACAGAAAACCATTCATGAGTATTTCCAGCAGATTTGAAGAAAATCTTCATTTCCTATTTAAAATAGTTGTATTAAAAAGTATTTTGTGATAAATAATGATAAATTATTAATAAAAGTATCAAGTGATGATCAGAGAGCACAGAAAATAGTAAAGGAATTGTATTTAGATTTATTTTTGTCAAAGACCCTCCAGTATGATCACCCCGTCATTGTGAACATTTTGGTAGGAACCAACGGTATTCAGATAAGCGAGACTCTACTGTATTTTTATTTGAATAATATGGAAATTATTGATATCTAGATTTTCAAATAATCATGCACTAAGGATGTGGGTGCAAATGTCAAGAAAATAATCCCACTCACATTCACATGCACAACCTCACCCTCACACTCACACCTTCATGATTAAATAAAGGCGTTATAAGTAAAGATTTATTCTCGTTTATGATAAAATTTGTATGCAATCACTCTAAAAAACAAGACGCATGGGTACACTATTCGTGCAGAAACGTTAAACTACAGGAAAAGTACAATAAAATATGCTCGAATACAAATGAAATACACAAAGTCTAGTAAGTATGTTTGAATAAGTCTTGGATGCATTTGGTTAATCATGTATTATTTGTAAATATAAAATATGTTTATTCAAAATTTTCATCTTTCCATTGTGGCTCGAAGTCTGCTGGTAAAGCTTCAACATTTAATGGATATGATTTATCATCATATTCTTTGTTGTCAATCATAGAACTTTTATAACGATTCACGATTGCATGGCGAACAACCATCCAAGCACGTCTTTGATCAGGTGGTGGGATCGATTCATTGCATGCATTACCTTCTGTTGATTGTTTTTTTAAACTATTATACCATGCTGGGTGTCTTTCATTATAATATTTGGCTTTTGGAAATACAATTTCATCTTCAGTCTCATCGCTCTTTTCATTCTGCAAGTTATTCGATCGCCGTTGTTTTCCAACATGAACATCTATTGTCGTCCAGCGCTGATAACATAATTCAAGACACGGTGTACGTAGTTGGTGATGTACCCGCCCATGAAATGCAGGTGCTAAGTGATATGTACTTTCATGAGTTTCAAGAAATCTTGGCTTAGGATGTGTATAAGAATCTTGCCAAACTTCAATTTCTTCTTTGTGGTGAGGCTCTGGTTTACTACATTTAGCACCACATCCTGGACATCGGACTTGACAACCAAGCCATGGTGCAATGCTCTGTTTACAACTGTTAAATGCTTTACTTTTGATATTTTTTGTTAAATCGGTGATTTTTTCTTCAATATCTTTGTAACATGTAGAAATATTTGCAAAACCTTGTTTAAATAGTTGTTCATCATTAATTGGTATGCGAATAACATTATTCATTAGAAACATCAAGCATAATTCTCTTTCCAATGATTCTTTCAGTTTCAATTCAGGTATGTCAAGAATTGCATTTCGTATTCCATCTTTTAATTGAACAGTGTCGTAATATGTATGTTCTTGAACAAATTGATTTGCTGTATTAATTGCTTTAATAATTAAATGTTCAAATTTTAATGTACGATGATGTGTTATAGTATGTAAGGTTGTTTTTATTTCCTTTAAACTCAATTCAGTAAAATATCGATTAATATCATAAATATATTTAAGAATATTCTCACCATTTGCCTGACTTATACTCTCTGCATAAGCTCGTTTTTGTATAGCTTCATGATTAATAAATTGACTTTTCATAAGATCTTCTTTTATATCTTTATCAATTTTACGTTGTAAAAGATGGCTAATTTCTTTTATAATCTGTTTTCCAATTATTTCAGCAAGTGTTCGTCCTAATTCAAATGAATTATTCATCACTGTACATTGTTTATATAAATTGTTTTGACATTCTTTTATTGTATTTGTTGAATTTTGTAAATTTAATTCATAATCTGATTTTTCTTTTGCTATTGCTTCGGTAATTATCGTATCAAGACCAATTACAACCAGATCTGAACAGAATATGTGTTTCTCTATACAATTTCCTTTGATGATATATGGAGAATTCATTGCATTTTCAATATGTTGAACGAGATGTTGAACAGTCATTGAATATGATGAAAAAGATTGTGCAGCCTCGATTGATGTTAAAAGATTTTCTTGAAATTCTAGTATAACATTACTCCATATCTGTGCAAAAGTTTCCTTATTCTTGTCTACTTTCTGACTGTTTGTAAACCATTTTATGTCATCTTTTAAATTTTCCCATAGAAAATCGATATATTTATCTAATGGTCCGGTAAACCATGATTTAAAACCTTTCCAATAACCACCATATTTGTGTGGAACCTGTTGCATTGTTTTTCTTACAGACCATGATAAACAAATTTCAAATTTTTTAAAATACGTTTGAAATGCTCCTTCATCATGTATAGGAGATAACAATTCGTAAATACTTCCATGGATTCTTTTTCGCTGTTTACACAACAGTTGACTATTATAGAACTTTAAAATGTTCCGTATAATTTCAGTGTTTGTTTTCGATGATGATTGAAGATTCTTGCGATGTTGTTCTATCATGGATTGAAATTTCATGTCAGGACGATTTTTCAAATCATTTAATTCAAGGCTTTTATGTTCATCAAATTCTGCTTGTACTGACTTTATTAATAATTGTTTTTGTGCACTATTCACCTGTGCCTTCTTTGATGCATCTATTATACGTGTTTCAAAATTTTTTCTTAATAGATGTTGTGCAGAATGAATTGTTGGTTCTAAATATCTACTAACTTTTGATTTGATTTCTGGTAGATAACAACTTCTTTCTGTTTTATCATTAAAATCCATTTGTGCTTGATTGACGGCGTATGTAATTATTCCAGTTAATTGATCATTAAATTTATTATTAATAGTATCCAGTTCTTTAACAATACAACCAGCGCTTGAAAATTCTAATAACGTTCTTTCAATTAAACTTTCAACACGTAGAAAGACAGTTGCATTTGCTGTCTTAATTATTTCATTCGCTATAGTTTGAAGTTCTTTTAATATCGAAAGTTCATGGAGTGTTTTACATTCTAATAATCTAGAACCTAGACGATCAATTGCTTCCCAATTACTTGAAATTTTTGTATATAGATGTGTCATATCTATATATGTTGCATCTATTGTAGATGATTGCGGTTCGATAGCTGAAGTTCTGTTGATTTGGTAAAATCTTCGTGGTTTTGTAGTACTTGTGATATTATTAAATATTATTTGACGAAGCTTAATAATTTCTTGTGGGAATGTTTGATTTCTCCAACATCGTGGTATATTTGAAATAGCATCAGTGTAATGTGAAAATGCATTAGGTAATAAATAAACATTTTCATTATTAATCTCAAGTTCATCATCAATTGAAGTTTTAAGAAATTTACTATCATTTTGTAATTGATCTTTTAATTCTGTTAATTGTCGAAAGAATGTTTGTTTTGATGAAAGATCTGCTTGATCTCTTAAAACAAATAATAGTTTTGGTTTAATTGGACTTTGGATATTCAATTTTGCGTAAAAACTCATACCAATAAGATCTTTTAAATTTGAACTAACTTCACCTTTATGATTAATTAAAACAAGATGTGAAGAAAGTACAGCCATTGTAATCATCTGATTATCAAATATAGAACCAGCTTCTTCCAATGAAAGAAGTCCTTCTGTATCAAAAATAACAATTGTTTTGGATTTCCAACGAATAACGCTCATATACATTCCAATTGTACAACGTCCAGGACTAACACGAAAATTACAACCAAATGTTGTATTCATTAATGATGATTTAGCTGATGATTGTTCACCAATAACTGTTAAAACTAATGGTGGTCCATGTGTTGTTAACGAAAGAAATTTTATGCTTTCGTCTATCAATCGACTTTGACATTGTAATGGACGACCACGAAGTATATGAATTGGAAAGCCTTTCTGCATTAAACTGACGAATGCTTTAGCGATATCTTGTATAAGAGTAGGAGGATTAAACATATGTGGTGAAAGTTCATATAAAGCCATTATTTCATCACAAAAGAGACCAATAGTTAGATCAATATTCAGAAGTTTCTGATTAATTTCATTGACGAGTCTAAGTTGTTGATCAAATTTGCTTTTAACATTATGTAGTTCTTGTTGCATTTGTGTCTTTTCTGCATGGTTGAAATTCTTCTGTGTTGACAAGCGTTCTTCTATCTGTTTAATTCGTGAACTTAATTTTGAGGCTTCAACTTTTGCTTTGCTTAATTGTTCAAGTAATGTTGATTCGAACTGCGATCGCCATTTCTCTAAATATTTTTTAGTTATTAATAATTCTGTATATGAACATTTCGTCAATAGGTCAATGAAAAAACCAGTGTAACTATTGACAGTTATAATTTTTGATCGCTCCCGAATCAAATTTTCTTTTCGAGTTTGTATTTCTTTTGGTGAAGCATCCCAGTTATTTAACAATTCCTTCTCACATTGTTTTATTGCAGAATCCAAGTAACTAACTGGAGTTGTAATACGAAGATTTTCTGTTGTCTCATTTAAATCATCGAATAGTTGTTTAAGACGATCTTCAATTTCAAAATAATAATGAATCGGCGCACCAGAATTTGTTGAAGTTTTAACAGTAAGATAATAGGATAGAATAGAAAATATCGATGTGCATTTTATTTGTTTCTGCACTTCTGCATTTGTACTTTGTCTCAATGTTTCAAATGATTTAAGAAGACGTTGTGAACGTGTTAAATCTTTACTTTTTTTATTATTATCACGCCGATACCATAATTGAGAAGGTGGTGCTGTTATCCATCTTATATTCTTCCAATACCCATATTGTGATAGAAAAGTATTAATAATTTTTTCTGCATAATCGCGTTTATCATCATAATTTGGATCGAAAATGACAACAATAGTAGGTTTTGTTTTTATGCATTCTGAGTAGTTCATCATAGAATTTAAAAATACACCATTAAGATCTTCTTCTGTAACATAAAGAATTTGAAGTGAACAATATGTTTGAATAGAAGTAATAATGTCTTCATTAAAAATATTAATTGTTCCATGTACATCAAAAATAGTATGCGATTCATCCTTTTGATTTTTTTCATCTGGTGAGCAAAGTACATCGATACATCCATTTCGAAGAGTGGAACTTCCATCTGTATTCAATGTTTCCGTGCGTTTGTCAGGAAAGATATATTGTAACATGCTGGTCTTACCCATTCCAAATGTTGATTCACTACCAATTTGTAAAATATATTGACCATTTGTCAAACACATTATTTCAGACAATAAATTAAAGTTGATTTTATATTCGATAGAATTTATTTCTTTATTCCACATATAATATGCAAATGGTACAGGTAAATCATTTTTCTTAATAAAATTACCAAAATAACGTTGACTTTCATATGACATAGAATGAATTGTTGTTGTTAGTAAAACTGATTTTGTTATTGTACCTATTACATTACAAAATAGTTGAATACTTTTTTGACGTTGTTGTGGAAATTTCGCCAAATCAAGTTGATTGCATGATGGCAAAATGTGAATAATATCCATTAAACTATGATATCTTTTTAAACTATCAACTATATAAGCGGTGATTGAGTGATTTTGTGTTAATTCTTCGATAAGTGTTTGTGCATTAATCGTTTCATCTACCAATGTATTGAATGTTTGATCTAACCCAATAGATTGCCTAATATCTTCAGAGCATAGACATGACCACCATTTTTTCAATAGTTTATAATCATCATTAGTAAAATACTTAGCATCTATCGCCGTAGAATGGACGCAGTTTGCATCATTGAGTAGATCCTTCAAATTAATCTGTATGTTTCTATTTGAAACATGTCGATTCGGTGCATGACAAATAGCTTTGGCGCCCACTCTTCCTAGAAAGTTGAAAAATATATAAATACGAAGCTAAAATAATATTAAAAAAACATTAAATTAGCCAGCGAGAAAATGCCAAGTCAATATGGTGTGGGGTTGATGTGGAAAACCAAAAGACACTCATCCGCCACGCATCACAACCACTCTCATACACACCACAACTATAGTGATACATTTTCAGCCTCGATAGCTATCTTTGACTTAGATATTTCATATTAACGGTAGCATAATAAACATAAAAGATATTCACTAACCTGCTGGTACGATTTTGCAGCCTTGAGTATCATTAGTAACTGAGGCTTGGCTTGTGTTTCCAGTCATCGATAACTGTTAATAGTCAGAGATAAAACATATAGAAAATCCCTTTATATGACTCATTCTTTAGTTTTTTACCATTTCTGAAGTATCGGTTGATTTCAATGTTATACAGGTGACATTGCTATCTGTTGTTGATATTATAGACTTCTGCTGAGATTTTGATCTAAAACAAGATTTTTACTTGAAATACACGATGCGAAATTTTAGTTTTGTGGAAATTATTACTTTAGCTTGGCAAGTTCAATTTTAAACAGTATTCGATATTTTAATTGAGTAATCAATTCTTTCAACACTGTATCGTCTAAACCATCGCTCATTAGTAATGAACCATCAATGTCGTTATCTAAAAATGTCGACAAAACGATTAATTTTTTTGAGAAAAAAGTAAACTGTCTAAAGATGTAGGATGGAATACTGCAGCTGTTTAAAATACAATCTTTATTTATAAACTACCTAAAGGCCTTAACGATATGCTTAAGTTTTATGTAAAAAGATCGAGCAAGACTTACCCTTAAAATTTTTGATAACTTCGCCTAAACCAATAGATTCAAGCCATTGAATTACATTTTCTATTGGCCAAGATTCTGGTGTACTGTGTATAGCAACATCTATTCCTACAAGAAAAAAAACAGAAAATATGTGTATCAGATCGATAGGGTGTGCGTGGGTGTGAGTGGATGAAGATAAAGAAAGAGTATTCACATTCATATCCACCCACATCCCAGATATTACTCGACTCCATGACATCAAACATGAATGGAATAAGTTTGAGCTCAACCAGCTCATTTATGACGTCAAATGTCTTTTACAAATAAAGTTCACTTACCGATTTCTCGATGAACTGTATTGAGCGATAGATGTGGAGTTTCGATTAAACTGACTCTATGTAGTTGTTGCTCTCCATTACTTTCGTCTGATACGCCTGTAGAAACATAACGCATAACTTTATCGATATCTTCGTTGCATCTTGCTACATGTTGAAGCAAATGAAATGTAAATAGACCATTCCGACCATTCTTGGCAACATCCTTAGCTAATTTTCCAGGAGCACAAGCAAAAACGATCATTGAATCTCTCGACGTCCGCATACCGGTAAGACCAGTAGGCAATGCTGAACCACCTCTTGTACCCGAACGTATTAAAGCTTCATTTTCGATGCAATAATCACGACAACAATCTAGAAGAAATATGGTTGCAGCAGGTTCATTATTCGACATGCGTTCAAGAGTATCTTGTGCATTGATAGCTTTAGTCTTGAGATTGTTCCTGGTTTTTATTCGATCATTGTCAACAGGTAGTAAATAGTTTTGATCATTCCATTGAGTTCCATGACCAGCAAAGAAGAAGACAACAAGATCATTCTTACAAATGGAATCTATGAATTCTTCAATGTTTTGTTGCATCTTAGTGTAATCAGCATCTACTAGCACGGTAACAGTAAAATTAATGGAGCGCAATTTTTCCGACAAATCATAAGCATCATTAATGCAACACTCGAGTGTCTCCGCAGTTTCATATGAGTTGTTGCCAATCAAAAGAGCAATTTTCTTTTGCCTCAGTTGTGCACTAGCCATGTTGACATTTATCTAGAATAAAACAAAAACAGCATTTAAAATTCAGTAAAAAAATAAAACATGTCTTATTCACTAAATATATTCTACATAATATCGTTTTGATCATCATCTATAAAGCGAAGATTGTCGAAATATTACTTCCAGTGAACATTCTCAAGATAATTTCTTCAAGGTATGAGTGTGGGTATGTGGGTGATACTTTTAAGACACCTACATTCACACCCTGAAATGGTAGAATACATAGATTTCTATAGATAAATAAAATGACAACAGGTGATCGTGTGAATAATTCATCATTTGTTTCTTTTTTTCGACTATAAAAATTTCAATATCCGCCTACACCCACAAGTTCTACCATTGTCAATTACAAAAAAAATAAAGTATCTACTAATGCATAACTGTATAAGAGTCTAATTTGTCCTTGACCACCTTTTGCACTGCTTCTTGCTCTAACAGTCCCATTGTTCGATCAGTCGTGTGATAGGGACAAGAATCGGACCTATTAAAAGTAGAAGAATTGAATCCAATTTGACCACGAGTTTTGACATAAAATCCCGACGTAAATTTGAATGATTTTCTATCACCATAAATACTAAAGTACCAATCAGCTAATTGTTTATGCTGTGTGCCATGTGCTGAATCCTTATATTTGTAGCAAGATTCGCAAACCAATAGGACAATGTTTTTATACTGAGCATCAATAGGATAAAAAACAAGACCTGTTTTTGATGTGTTTTCACATGGACAGTTATGCATTGACCATCCATAACGAGTAGATAGTGAAACCGTGTCTCCTATAGAGTCATCACCTGCAACTAATTGATTCTCATCGATTAAGTGAAGTTTTAGATGTCTTGTTTTGCTAGCTGACATTTCACCAGCAATTCGTAGTATAAAACTGCAAAAAAAGATTGAAATACAAAACTGCGTCAAATTGTTCAGTGGTCCTTTTTCGTCACATATCTTCATAGAGAAAGACGAAATTATTTTGAATAGCTATATCTATCTCTGTAGTTTTTTTAGATGAATCATACAATTTTATAAAGTAAAACGAAAGAAGCTTGGTTGATTGAGAATTGATAATGATGAAAAAAACCTTATGTATTGTTTTCTGGAAGTCAAAAAAGAACTTTATTATACATTTAACCGTGGTCTGTTATTTTATAGACTTCTGAAAGAACTTGATATCTGTGCGTGACTCAAAACTTAAAGTATCCTGTATCATCAAAATAAAAACAAACCAGTAAACTGACGTAGTTCAATAGAGCTATAAAGGAGATATGGAATTTTCATTTTCGTAGATTATTTCAAGAACATCTTCTACACATAAGAAAAAGATTCGGGTCTACATGAAATAGGGTATAGAGATTAGATCAGTCATTGATTGTTATATGTTCGAACTGGATTAGATAAGCGTCTTTTATCAAAGTTTTTCAGTAGCGTTTTTGTGAATGTTTAATTTCAAATGTTGTAAGAATACGAAACTAGCAAATTGATAGATGTGAGAGAAAGTTAGCAGTTATATCAATTAAACTAAGTAAAATAACTCATTCGCCTCAATAAATAGTCTTTTCAGTTTTCAAACATCAAAAACTAAATCGAATTCGAAAAGTTTATATATCATTACTCCTAGTTTTAGAATATTTATGACTTTGAAAGGAAATGATGCCTTAGAAAAGCAGGAAAAAATGAACGTTACAACTTACCTTATTTAATGCTGTGAAAAATTCCACGTACGTTGAATAGAATATCGTTAACAAAATTAATACAAGATAACAGTGTAAATGTAATATGCAAGCTGATATTATCCAAAATAGATCGTAAAATTATCTAAAATATATTCTAATATGATACCATCAAACAGGAAAATATATTAGTGATTGTTCGTTCGCCGTGTTAAGTTAGATATCGTATCGAGTGTTTAAGAAGTTTATTGATAAATTGTACAAGACAATAGTAAATAATAATGTAGAAGATCGTGGCGGGTTACTTAAAAATGTGGACTATATATATGGAAGAATGATTATCTAGGTAGAACGAGAGATAAATATACGATATCAGAAGATATTACATTCACATAAAGAGATCCATGTATAAGATATTATATTATAAGTGATACCAAAGTAAAAGAGATTACATCAGAAGCAATATTTAAGTGGAAGAAAGAACGAGAGATCACGATATATATAAGGGAAAGAGATGTTCGTCGAGGTTAAAAAGAAATAAGTATCAAACGAAGTAAAACGTATCAGAGAAAAATACCACTACGTAACAGGCACTACGATAGGACAATCTCTTATTACGCTGTAAAATAATGTAAAAAAAGCAACATACTGATGCTGAATTCTAAACAGTATAATCGATACTTTCTTAAAAAAGGTTTAAATATTAAGTTCATTAAAAGAGTAGTTAGAGTCAAAGAGTAAAACATGTAGCACTAAACTGTATTAAAATGCTCTTTTTTAGATATAATATCTTCTCGAAATGTGTTCATGTTAGTCTTACCCTAAGTTGTAGAAGGAGATGATAGTTTGAAGAATAGTTTGTTTATTTAAGAAGAAAATGTAGGTATTTATAGGGCCAAGAAATGGTTACTTTGATTTTTTCTATCTCTTATAATACAATATATTCTAGGTAAAATACTTAAGTGATATCCTTTTGTTCATCACTAGGTAATAACACATTTCAGTATAAGTCAAAAGAACAGAAGAAGAACGCATTAAGATAATGAAAGGGAAATCCCCATACGATCATATATGAAAGCAAATTCCATATAGATATAGGCATGAAGTAAAACAAGAAAATACTATATGATCATATACATATCAAAGAATAGCGAACGAATATTGTATATGTTCGCTTACAGTTCATGTGTACGAAGGACACGTACTTTCTATCTGAGAATAGAATGGAAAAAACAAAGCACGTTTTATGTTAATAAAGCGAAGAAAATTATACACAAGTTCTTTGAAAAGTATATTCTATCATTCTTCAGATATTAAAGTTTGTTTTTATTATAAATAAACGTCGTGGTTTGGCGTTACAGAAATAAAAACGAGCTCAAATAGATGAAGTGTTAATGAATGGATCTATGTCACCAAAGATAGAACAAAAGTGTTCTTCTTTTGCATTTTATGCATATATGTATCTGACAGATTAATTCAGAAACTACTAGAAATTGTCATTATATGAAATGAAGTGTTATCTGGTATTTTAAATAGCACACGATCCACTATTGACTTCTATAAATATTCTTTGAAAATCAATAAAACATTTTTAGAAACTGCCCTGCTTCTCTTCAGGCTTCCTAGTTAGGATGTTTTTTTGAGAGTTCTCCTGGTAAATAGTAACGATAACTTTACACCAGTAAGAATATTCTTGTGTTTATGCTTTGATTAAACCCATATATAAAGTCATTGATTTTGTTATTCTATACATTATCATTCAGGATATATTTGTTTTGTGAAGTATTTTAGACAAAAAAAGCTGAGACCAGTAGTCTTTATAAGAATAGAGATGTAGGCTTTGGTATTTTCCCAAGTATTCTTTCATACAAAAACCGATATGAACATAATCCAATATGATGAGATTTATTTATATTCAACACTACTTCTGAACATTGATCATTGTACTTCAACTATTTTACCGTATGATACATATATAAAAACAAACGGATAAGTATTCCATTGATGAAAATCATATCTTAAGTTTATTAGAAAAAAATGATTAATACAAACACGGACAATATCTTTTGTTTTCTATATATATTAATGAGAAAGTTCGTTTATACATAAATGGAATTATGTTACACTGAAGGAATGCTGTTTTCGTTTAATAGTCAATCGAAAAAAAAAGTCATGAAAGACACACACACTTGGACATGAAAATATAAATATAAATGAGATTTAAACAAGGAGAAAAAAATGTGTAAATTATTCCTTTAAGACATAATTTCAGTATCAATTCGATGAGATTCATTTTCTTTTTCTTCATCATTATGAGTTTTCATAGAAAGTTTTGATGTTGGTCGATAGTATTTCAATGCATTTGTCCATTCATCATATGGAAATCGCATATGAAATGCAGAAACAATCGATTTGCTATCATCTTCATTGGCTGTTTTTGTCTATATTAAAAGAAAAAAGAGAAATACAAATCTAATAAATTTTCTATAAAAACAAATTACGTCTATAAAATTTGCAATCAATTCTAATGACATTTCAGTTTGAAGAATGGCTCGTGTTGTATCACAATCATATGAACAGGAGATTAATGTTGGAAAAAGTATATCCATATATTTTGATTCAACAAAATAACGAAATGGTAAACATGATAGTTGTTGAAGTACTGTTGGTCGATTACCAAATGCTAAACGACACTAAAAATAATACGAAAAATAAAATTATGTATAATTAATCAAATAAATAATATACTTGATTGTCTTGATTTAAAACACAATAATAACCGATTAAAAGAATAATTTGATGTAAAAGATTATCATTCGTTGTTGACTGATTATGATTACAATAAGCAAGAATATAATTAGCTACATGTCGAAGTTGAAGTGAAATAGTATCTTCACCAAGTGTAGTCTAAAATATGAAAACTATGCGTATACGAAAGAATAGTTTTAAATTTATCGAATGTCAGTATTATATTTCTATTACCCTATTATAATGACAGAACAGTCCAAAGGTAGTTTCAAGTCCTTTCACTCAATCTTTCCTGTTTACTAGCCTCACTGAGTACTCTACACGGCAATCATGACTAACATACGATGAATTTTACTTCACATTTTCTTACTTGGAATGTATCAAGATCTAAGACAGCAATGGAATTTAATAATATCATAGAATTAATTGCAATTGTAATTGTTTTTTCATGTAAAATAATTATATTCTGATTATTTTCCGTTATTGTTTGATTATTATTACCATCAGTTTCATGTATAAGAATGCCATAGAGTAATGAAAGTATTTCACAAAAATTTGTTGATTTCATTATATTTAAAACTTGTGCTGAATCATTATTTGATTTTTTTGATGATTGACCAAATGGAGGAGTACATGATCTAATTTAACAAAACAAAATATTATTTTATCATTAAATATAAATAAAAAAAATACTTTGGTTTAGAAAAATCAACCATTTGTTGTAAAAGATTTAAACAATGAATAATCATATCAGATACATGTGATTTCGTTGTATAAATAACTGCACGTACTGTTCGAAAGAATGACGCTATTCGATCAAGAACACCTACATTTGCCATATAACTATAAGTATATTAATGTTCAAAACAAAAAATAAATAAATCAAATTTTATATTTAACCTTATAAAATCTGTTACACGACTCATTGTTAATTTATCTTCTTTAGTTTCATCTTCACGATTTTGTATATCTTTTACTATTGAATTATACATTGAAATTAAACCAGCAAGTGTTTCAGCTAAATTAGTCACTAAATCAATTTGAGCTAATTTTTCACTTTCACTTTGTTCATTATTTGTTGTTAAATCATCAATTTTTAAACCCTAAAACATTTTTATTCAAATCTCAATAAATAATAATTTTTTGATTTACATTTAAATGTCGAACAAAACTTTCAACAAGTGTTAAAAGTTTACCACTATTAAGTAGATAAATTGCATTATCAAGATTATGATTTGTAGCTGCTCGATAAACTGAGACAGTTAGTGCAATAAGACTAAATTTATTGAATGAATAAATAAATATTTAATTGAATAAAAGAATATTACCTTTCAGGTGCAAGTGCTGGTTTATTACATTCTGCTCTTAATTCAATCATTCTATTTAATGTAATATAACCATTTAAACTAAAGAACACACGTTGTTCAAGTGGTGAATCCTGAAACGAATCACTTTTTTATTTGATATTTATAATGAATAATTTACTTTTTCATAACCATGTGTATCAAAAATTTTAACAAATTCAGTAAGAATACGTTGACATGCTAAATAATTCGTTGTATTTAATGGTTCTTTTCTCGTTGTTGTATTTAATGATTTTTCTAATTCATTTAAAAATCGTTGAATACTAAAATAATAGACTGAATTATTTAAAATCAATTAATTCATTCTCATATTACCGTGCTTTATGTGTCGATGTTAAATAAGGTCGTTGTGCATTTTCAGCTTCATAAGCTGCTGAACTAAAAATTGTAAAACAATAATTAAGTACATCGTTTAAGGAAAAATCGAATTTACCGTTGAATAATACGTAAACGTAGTTTTTTAGCACGTTTTTTCATTGTATGTTTCCGTTCTCGATTATAAGCCATTTCTTGTCGAACAATATCATCACTAGTTACAACAACTATACATTCAGTATTAAAAGTATCCTAAGAAAAAAACAATGATTTTTATGAATAAATGATAAAATTTCTTTACAATTTCTTCCTGAGTTGGTTGTTTTTTTATTCCATTCTCATTTTTTTGATGAAATCGTTCAATTAATAATTGATTATGACGAGTACCACGTAAATGTGTTTGTAAATGGAGATCCGATGCTAACTAAAATAGAAAAAAAAGCGAGTTATTTAATAAATATGAAAATTAAATAATAAAATTAACCAAAAGATTGCATAATGTACAACATTTTCGAGTTGCTGTTATTAGATCGTCAACTGTTATGAGGCTTGTAGTAGATGTAGTTGTTTTACTATCACCAGCAACTGGAGACATATGATGATGATCTTCAGCACTTGGACCACGAAATGTACTCATTTCCATCGCTTTTCGACGAATTTCTTCAAGTTGTGTTATATGTCGTCGTGCACTTTCTTCTTGCTATAGACAAAAACCGAATATATATTAATAATGAAAAAGTATAACAGAGATAAAACAAACTTTTAATACTAATTTTTTCTTCAATTCATCTGTCGATTCTTTGAGATAGGCTACACGTTCGGCACGTTTTTGTTGAAAAGTTCTATAAAATGATATTTCGATAATTTGCATAAAATGTCAAGTATAAAAAATTTACTTTTGTTTTTCAATAGCTGCTGTTTGTTTTTGTTTACGTTTTTCATTTAAAAGTTGTTCAATCATTCTTTCTTTTGTTTTCCATTTTTCTTGCATTTCATTAAGACGTGTTTGTCGTATAGCTTCTAATTGTTTACGTCGATTTTCAGCTGCTAATTCTTTTTGTTTATGTTCATCATGTTTCTTAACACGTTCTTCTTCGAGATATTGTTTAAATTGTTCTTCTTTTTGATAACGTTCTTTTAATGTTTGTCGACGATTTTCTTGTTGTAAACATTTAATAAATGCTATTTCTTGTCCTTTTAAATCTTCATCACCAGCTTTTTTAGCTTTTAATAATAATAAATATTGACGTTTTTCTTCGGCTCGTTGCATTTTTATTTCAATCGTAGTTTTACGTGCTTTTATTAATTCTTCTTTCCATTGTTGAACTTCATTAACCTTTAAAAAAACAAAAAAATATATGTCAATGAAAATTGTAAATAAATTTTGATTTTTACTCGTTGAGTTAATTCACGTAATTTACGAGCTTTTTCATCGCGTAATGTTTGTCGTTTAGTTAATGCACGTGCTAAATAAATAAGAATGGATAAAGAAAAGTGTAGTATATTATCATACCTTGACGTTCAGCTGCTTCACGAACAGTTTCACTCAAAGGTCTAAAAAAACAACAGATGATTTATTTGTTTATATTAAAAAGAAATGAAATAGTACCGAAAACGTGAAGGTGATGATAGTTTTTCATGAAGACGAAGTTGTTTTGTTCGAGATTTACCATCTGGATTACAATCAATTTCATCACGTGAAAAATCTATTAAGCTTAAATCTTTTTCATCTTGATCACCTTGCAATGACATAAAATAACTTGAAGTTTTTGTAGTCTAAAAAATAAAATATATAAAAAAAACTGATTTGTTAGTTCCTTTACCGATAATTCACTTTCTTCTAATTCTGATCCATCATCACCACCTAATAGAAGATCATCATCACTAACATTATTGATTTGTTGTTCAAGATCTTCTTGTTCTGCCATCAGTGAAGCAATTGTTCGTTCTTGTTCAGCTTCTAATGCAGCAGTTAAAGATTCTTCTTGATCAAATGCATCGATTATTTGCTAGAAAAAAATACACATATATTCATATTTCTATTCTTTTCAATATAAAAATTATGCGAATTTTATAAAAAAAATGAATTGGAATTTTTTCTCTTAAACCTTTTTAAATAGAGTTATGCAATGTGATGGAATATATTTTTAATGTTTAAGCAAGTTAGCATGCATAAATTTAATTAACTTTCAATAGTAATTTAGTATGAACTGCAATGAGCAACACTGTACCTGAATACTAAAGAAATATAAAGATAGATTTAACATGAATGTTTATCTTGTATCTCATTTGTCACTGTTTAACTTATATTAAAAGATCTATTTGAAAAGACTTACTCGATCCATAAAATCCATCATTCCTCGATGATTCCTAGATAATACTTCTTCATCACCTTCTTCTTCTTCTTCTTCTTCGTCAGATGTTAAACTTTGTTCCTTCATTCGATGATGATAACGATGATATCGAGTAATATCAAATAATTCATCATCAGCATCTCCAGCTGTTTCATCAGGTAAAAGTCTTTTCATTGATTGATTTACATTTGTAACTAAGGTTATTGGTGAATCATTTGTTAATGTTGATGATGAAAATAATGATGGTAATGAAAGTAAACTTGAACTTTCGGGTAGTACACGATATTTATTTGATTTTTGTCGTTTTAATTTATGTGTATCATTCGAAGAACGATGATAGGATGAATTCGTATTTCCATTTAAATTTAAATCACTGTTATTTAGACGTTTTTGTCGACGCAATGAATCACCAGAGTTAGATATTTCACCTAATTTATAGTTAAAATTAGAATTTTCAAAAGTTATTTTTCAAAAAATTACCGTTAGAAATGGATTGGGTATATTCAGATGGCCTAAAATGTAATAGATAAATAAACTAGTAGTATTCTTTTTTTGTTACCTTTTCGTTTCGTTGATAAGGCTTTGTTCATATTGGAAGTTTTTTGTGAGCAATTCAAAATCTTTACAACATTGACACAAATATTCTACAATTTCCTGAATTGAAATAGATATTAATTGAAAAAATGAAATATATATCAAGGAGACACTAACTTGACATTGATATATATTTTGATCAGATTCACATGTTTGATAGATTTGTTCAACAGATCGTTTTAAATTATCGAATAAAAAAGTCCAATAACGGGAATGAATATCAGAAGAATTGGAATCTATTTGACGAGAGGACATATGATGCGAACAACTAAATATTCTAAGAAATAAAATTTCATCAAAATAAGGAAACAATCTCTTATACCCATTGGAATTTCGTGGTAATGGTTCTTGTTCAGGTGCAGATATATTTGTCATCTAGAAATAAAAGTCATGGTAATGGTATTTATAACAAAAAAAAATTGTTTATTTTTTTTTCGCTTTCTATAAGTATTCTGTGCAAACAAAACTCTCAATGAATCACAATTATTGAGATGTTTATTCATCTATTAAAGCTATGCAATGAAAAGATTCGTTAAAATAAATTTATTCTTAATTATTATCCTTATACCATTTAATTTTTGACAATTAATCAAATCTAATATTTGATGTAAGCTTAAATAAAATGACATAAAAAAGTCTAATCTTCTAATATTTGACTTACAAAAAAAAGCAGTCTATGATATTTGAAATTTAAATATCAAAATATTTTTAAATCTATCCGAAAATTTCAAATTTCTAAAAATGCGTAACTATTAATTTTTTTACCTTGTCTGGTTGTTAAGCAACTAAATAAAAATATTTTAAATGATATTAATTGAAATTAAACTCATATTCATCTATTTATTAATTAATTTAATATTTAATATCATTAATAAAAATTCAATATAAACACATTATAAAGATCTTGACAACGGATTGATTTACAAATAAAAACAGTTTTGAAAAAATTTGTCATTGATTAAATAAAATGAAAATCTGAAAGAAGAAGAAGAAGAAGAAGAATTCTAAAACTTCACGTGAATCATGATATTTATTCTATTAGTTAACTATTAAACCAATAACAATCTCGTTCTTTAAAGCATGTAAAATATGTAGATGATTGGTTATTTCATATAAGAATCAGCTGTATTCATATTCTATCTCTCTTCTTTTTGTTGGAATCAAAGAAGAAGAAGAAGAAAAAAAAGACGCGAAGTAACTTACGCCTATTTCATAATGAGATAGTATTTTGCGTAGAAAGAAAAATCATTTTCCTTGATAGTTTTTTTTTCAATTTCACACATCATCATTAGAAAAAATATGCACCTAGCGCTAGTCAAACTATATCAATCGACAGTTAACTTGTTTTTACATTTTAGGTTTTTGTTGTTTATTTATTAGTTGATCACCTTTTTTTTCCCTCTCTCCCTCTCTGACATTATTATATTGTATTTTTTTTGTTAAATTTTACGTAAAGATTGTGTAAGTGATATATATTACGATAGTAGTCAGTTCATTTTTTTAGTATCGTTCATTTCTTCTTGTTATGTAAAATGAAAAGAAGATGCATGAACCATCATCTGAAGGTTATTTGATCATTATCAGAATGTACTTGATAGTCAAGTGAGCATTGAGAAAATTTAAATTGTAATGTTACTTTAATTGAAATTTATTGATAGAAATTGACTTGATAGACGTAATTCTTTTTTTTTAAATGTAAGGTACATTATAGATCATCACATCTATCTTAGGAATGTTGATTTCATTCATAGAAAAATGTCATGATACTTTTTTTTATTTTATTATTTTTATATAAGCCTTTTTTAGTAAAAAGAGTTGGCGTGTAAGCAAACAAGCTGTGCTTGTTCCTTTCTCATGTGCTTTTTTTTTACCAACTCGTCATTAGAATATATTATCATGTCTCGCCAAAGATAACATAACTTTAGCTTTTATTTTATTTCCCATTCTTCAACAATGTTTTGACTGACGCAATAATTAAAAAAAACTCTCAACATACTTGAGTCATGTCATTACGAAAAAAACACTTATTTATACATATTTTTTTTTCTTCTCTTTCTGTTCTCTTTTGTAGATCATTGACGCATATACATTAATACATGTAACTTAATCTAGACAAATCAACGGTATATGCGTTATAATTTTTTCGTTTCTTCAAAATATTTTTAATTGTTTCCTGTAAATATTAATGTTAATATCCAAATAATTTTTGCTTATATTATTTTAAAGTTCGTCTTTTCCTGAAGGTATGTTTTTGTATTTTGTTTCTAGTAGTTTAAGACTAAGGACGATATTGACATTAGAGCGTGTGTTGCATATGCATGCACTCGAGCACGTAGAGCCCGCGTTTTTTTTTTCCTGTCTTTCTCATGTAAAAGCGTTTATTAGATGATGAAAAAAGCCGGGTTGGTGACGAAAAAAGAACAGAAAAAAACACACATACACACACACACATACACATCCACATATACGTAGAAGAAAAGTGTGCAAGATTGATTCGCGTGACGACAAAAAAAAAAGGCGACTTGAAAAGTAAAAGACTATATCTGAGCATTGTTCCAGAAATCGTGATATATATCAACTATTGTGTAAGTGTTTAAAGCAAAAATAAGAAATAACGAAAAAAAAAACAAGATTTTAAAAATTATTATTGATAGTACAAGTTTACGAAATTTTATCTGTCTTTTTAGTATAATAATATATATGTTTGAATCACTTTAAATATCAACAATATGTTAAGATATAAATGAATGTATATCTATTTATATGTATATTCATTTATGATATTTAATGAAGTGGGACGAGCTGATGTTGTCGATTCAAACAAACTTTTTCCTTTCTGTTTTTTTTTTCTCTTCTTTTTCTTCTTCTTCTTCTTGTTTTAACTTGATAGAATCGACTAGAAAGAAAGCGAAAGAAAAGAGGTGAGAGGGAGGTAATATTGTCGTTTTGTTTATCGTTTTTGTTGTTATCTTATAGAATACATATTCTGATGTCTAGCAAAAGTCATATGTATTATTGTCTTTTTTCTTTCGCTTTCTTTATTTATATGTAATATTATCTTTGTATTATTTATATATTCTAAAATTATAGTATAGTGACATATTGAATTGTTCCCTAATGATTAATCATTATTTTGTTCGTTTACCTGAATATAATCAGTATTTTTTTATTTGTCAGAAATGTTTTTTTAACGTCACTATCGATTCAGATAACAATATTTTTTTTTCTCTTCTCAATGAATATTTATCATTAACGCTGTGCATACTTTTTTTTTGTGTATATCAAATAAGTAATAGTAGGAGGAGGATAAAAATGTATTCATATGATTTTACGTATATCCAAGGTTTAATGAACTAGTTTTATTATGTAATACTTCCTAAATAGATAAAATATGGACAACACTTCCTCTTTTTCTTCTTCTTCTTCTTCTTGTTCTTAACAATAATAACGTAAATCATACATTAATGTTGTCTGTATTCTTTCATCGAACAGAAGCAATAATACCTAACACATCACGAGAGAGAAAAGCAAAACGGGTAGAATTTTTTTTTCTTCTCCTCTTTCTTTTTCTTCTTTTTTCTTTACCCTATGCACATTACTCGATGAGAACTGACATACATCGTCTGATTGCCCTCCTTTCTATTTCAAATAGTATATGGGACGACATAAGAGATAATGCAGTTTATTTGACCTCCTAAAAAACATATACATTAAATATTCTTTTATCATTTTTTAGCCATGGTGGTTGATATTGCTCTTCAGCAACAACTACCTGAAATTTTTAATACTAATCATAGTCATCATCATTCATCATCATCATCATCATCACCGTCATCATCATCTTCATCATCTACATATAAACGAAATACTACATCAAGTAATAATACAATGACAAATGGTCATCGTCTTATGGTAAGAAAATATTTCGAAATTAAAATTTCAAATTACATCATTTTTCTCTTTTTTTTTGTTTAAGTCTAATGAACTTGGAAAAAAAGCGGAACAAATTCTTGGACATGCAACATCTGTTGTAGATTATCGTAGACAACAAAGTATGGATCTATGTATTTCACATCCACTTCGATTAAATATTGAGTAATTATTCTTTTTTTTTCTGTAACAACAATAAACTTACATCATTTTCTCGAATATTTTAGTAATTCAAAATCACGAGCTACTAATCAACAAATTCCTCCAGTATCAATTTCAAATCGTTCGAATATTTCTGTAGGTTACAAAATAGATTTAAATCGTTTATTTTTCAACATACTGTTCTATCTATTCAGAAGAACAGACATATGGAAGCAGTTGAACAACTTGAACCACTTATTCTTAAAGTAAAGTTTTTTTTATATATGTTTTTATTAAAAAATAAATTCGACTTTTATATTAGTTGGTTGCACCATTGTCATTTACGAAATTACCTGAAATAATTTCTAGACATTCAAGTAAATAATTTTATTTAAAAAAAATGCTTAATTTTTATTTTCGTTTTCGTTTAGAACATGTTGATCATATAAATGAAAGGTAATTTCGTTAAGAAAATTAATTACTTTTATTTGTATAAAATATTATTTAGTCATCAAGCCGTTCTTGCATTACCTCATGAAACTAATATAAATCTTAGTGAGGATGAGAATGAAGAAGAAGAAGAAGAAGAAGACGACGACGAAGAAGAACAAGAAGAAGAAGAAGATGTTAATGATGATGAAGATCATAAAATACCAAATGAGAATCCAATGTAATATAAAAAAATATTTCTCTATTTTTTTTCTATAAATATTTTCATTCAAGTAAAATCCAACATTCCGACAGTGATAATGACGATAATGATGATACCGCATCTACCCATAGTAATACGGAGAATGATGATGAATCAAATCGAACGGTTTGTTTAAATTTATTATATTAATTAAATTTAATTAATTGTTTTTTTGCTTATTTAGAATCCAAATACATTCTCATTATCAGATTTTATATCTGGAACACATTCACCAATAGAAACAACAACGACGACGACGACGACGACGACTAATATTCGAAAAAGAAGTTTATCACCACCAACACCTGTCGAACAAATAAAACCAAATAAATATAAAGAAGAATTAATTACATCATTTTCATTATCTGTAAATATTCCAATGGATATGAAACAACCTAAACTTCCTATCGCCATTCCTACATATTTATTTTATGATCAATCTATCAAAACAGAAAGTAAAAATTTACCCGAAATAATAATTCGAAATATTATTTTTTCTTTCTAGACAATCAAAAACCTGAAAAATCACAAAGAATATCAAAACGAGATATTAATGGGTCAATCAAACAAGAAACAAATATCGATATGATTGATAATTTAACTACAGTAAATAGTACACAACAAAAGAAAAGTAAAACTAGTCATGTATACAAACAAGAGCCAGCTATTGTTTCGACATTAACACATATTAAAGAAGAACCTAATACTATGTCAAATATAAAACCATCAAACGAAATATCATTTGCTGGAAATATGGCAACTATTGCACCTATGATAGGACAACCGAAAAAAGAAAAGCCAACAGCAAAGTATGTTTAGAATTCACTGTAAAAATTAAGGAGTAGTTGCTGCCCCTTATGAATTTAGTATTAATATAGATGATTGTTGAGATATAAAATTTTTAGTCGACATATTTGCCATACAAATTGTAGAAATATTCTATATTTACGACAGAGACGCAAAATCTCCAAAATAGTCAAGAAATTCCACCCCAGGTAATTTCCCTCCCGCGCGGAACTAACTTTCGATAAAAAAAAAGATTGGTGAATTAATTTTAACAATGAAATCAACTTCGTTTCTTGTTTAGTTAATTCTATGAAATACAAAGAACAACAACCTTCTTTTTTCGATCTTCTAGTATCTTGATATTTTTGTATTCGTATGATTTCTATAGAAGTTTTACATGTATATTTTAGTGTTAAACCACTTTTACAAACTGCATTAGTTGATAATTCTTCATCTACAACAAATAATTCAAATGTTGTTAATCCACCTGATCGTTTATTAACAACAGCAAGTACTTCAGCAAAAACAAATTATGCAAATTTAAGGTATAGAAAAATATTTGTAATAATATATTCTTACTCGTAATTTAATCTTTTTCAAAATAGAACGATGTCAACGAAAGAATTAAATTCTTTAGCTCGAGAAAAAAAGAAACAAGCTGATAGTGAAAAACGAACATTTGATGATGTTAAAAAATCTATGTCATTATATCTTGAATCTGTTTGTTATTTTATTCAATGTGCTAATGGTGAACCTATATTAGAACAACGTAGAACATTATTAACAGCAACATTGGCAATGCTTCAGTTAGTTATTTTTGAAATTTTTCTAGTTTAAACATTAATTTTTGTATTTAGACATTTAGCAATTAATTATCAAAAAGTGTTTCAAATATCGATACTTCAATCAACTGAAATATTAAATCATCTTCGGCCAAAATTTCATTTAATCAAGTAAAGAGCTTCTTTTTTTTCTCGTCTTTGTATAAAAGAAAATGATAATTATTTAGTTATTGGTTACAATCATATATATATCAATTACAATATAATACAAATTTTCCATCAATTGAACGATGTGCGACTCAAGTTAATGATTATTTGAATCATACAAAATCTCCTGAAGATATTAATCCTAATGTTTTACATGATTTTTCAAAATATATGATAAATTCTTATTATTCAACATATTATTGGAATAAGGCTGAACGTTTAACACGTGATGAGCCATCAAAAAGTAATTGAAATAAAATAAGAAATTTTTATTTTTATTTCTATTCATATTTTATTATATAGAATTTCTTGAACAGTTAATAAGACAAAATCAAAATCGACGTTTAACGCGTGATGATACAACATTTGATTTTCTATTGTATATTTTTGATGCGATTGATTTATTACGTTTAACTGTTATTTAGTCCATTTTCTATATCTCAAAAAACAAACAAACACACGCACACACACAATCCTCTTCCAGTTTTATTTCAACATAGACACACTCCGGTTTAGTTTTTGTTTTATATAAATATGTATGTATAAGTGAATTGATCTCGATTTCTATATATTTTTTGTTCCTAAAAAAAAAGAAAAAAAAATTAATTGATAATTCCATTTGATTTATGTATATGTCTATTGTGGAATTATTGAAAAATATTATATAAGCTATTTGACAGTTCTTTGTTTAACAGAATTACATTTATTTACACCGAAGAGTCTTTTTTTGCTATGTTTATATCATGTGCTTGCTGTGTTGCGCATACTTTCTTATCAAACATTTTTTGTCTATCTAATTTTTTTTGTCTGTTTTGTCTTTGTCTTTCTCGATTTCCCGAATGTAATGTTTTGAATGAGTGTAGGATGATAAAACTACAAATTTAAATCATTCTGTCTTTCCTTATATAGACATGTAGCTTACTCTATCTTTTCCCATTTCTTTCTTAGCGAAAACAATCGACAACTCCGGTGGTTGATATACTGCTGATATTAACTCATTTTTAGAATGTCCTATAATTTATCTCTATGTGTATACGTCTTTCACAAACCATCAGATTTGTCTTTTTAAAACTTTCTCTCTCTCTTTCCTTCTTTCTTTCCTTCTCGGCCTCTCAATATATTGTCTAGTTAGTTTATTATTTGTGCACATGATGAAGAAAAATGTATTTATACTTGATTGTTCTTTTAGAAGAAAACGGAGTGTTTAAAAATTTGTTCTTGTTATTGGTGTTGTTGTTTTGTTCATTACTCTTTTTATCTTCAGTTTTGTTTTATTATGATTTACATAAACCAAAAAAAAAGAAAGGCAACCAATAAAAAAAAATATATGGATGAACATTTTGTTTTATATTTTATCTTGTTCGTTTTAGATTTCTAATTTTGCGGCTACCGACTTCGAAAATGACGCGGGGTAATCAGCGGTAAAATTTCCTTTTGAAATTTTTTTTTGAAATCAGAATAATCAACAAGTTTGATCTGTCTAGTGATCTTGCTCGGGAAAAAAATTTAAAAAATCAAAAAGGAAAAGGTCAGTCAGCGGCTGAAACGGAAGCAAATAAAGGATTATCGTTACAAGAACGTCAACTACGCGATGCAGCAAAGTATTTCAATCGAATATATTTTGAAAAAAAGCAGAAAAAGCAGATCTAATTTTTTCTATTTAGAATGCGCGAAAAACAACAATTAGCTGCACAAAAGAAATCAGGTGGAAATAATAATACGCCAGGAAATGGAGGTGGAGCGGCTGCATCAACTAACTAAAAGTGATATTTGATAATGAACATTTTTGTGTATTTTTCATATTAAAAAAAATGGATCAAACTTGATCTTGTTTGTCTAAGTTTTATTAACACAAACTTGTTCATCTTTTTTTCTTTATGTATAACTAACAACTTCATTTTTGTGCTTTATTCCAGAAATAACAAACAAAAATTAAAACAACTTTATTGATTATGAATAAACATCTTTCTTTAAATTTAATAACTTATTTTTACACATAAAATTGAGTTGAATCAAAATGTAATCATTCAAAAAGAATGTCATGGTTATTCTCTCATAGAAGTGAATGATATCATCGGATAACAAATATTATTCAATAAAATGTTATCTGAAAGATAAAAATAGATATCGTTATCTATTAAGATTATTTATCCGATATATGGTGCTTTATTCGTGTATTAATGGTCGTCCTTTAAGAATGATTCCGAACTTGAATTCATTGGGAATACATTTTCGTTCGATGAGTAACCAAATTCAATGAATATAAATTTTGATGAAAATTTTTTTTTCAATTTATATAATGTACATTGCTATTTGTATACTTTATCTCTAGTATGACTGCAATATTTTTTCGTCGGCACAAGCAACTTTTCATCAATTTGATCTCTGCCTCAGGTCTTCTAACTCTCGGTGATTTTTGTGCACAATTTTTTCATGAAAAAAAGACATCTCTAGATGATAAACGTTTACGTATGTTTATCATTATGATTTGTAATTTCTTGTAATTTAATTTCTAGTTGCTGCATGCCTTACTGGAACAGCTATGGGTACTGAAGGACATATTTGGTATAAATTTCTTGATCGTGCTATAGTTCAAGCAACATGGCATAATGTATTTAAAAAAGTGGTTCTTGATCAAACTATTGCTGCACCTATTTATACAATGACATATATTATTGGTATGATAGGAGTATTGATCTCTATCTTTTACTAAAAAAATTTCTATTATCAAGAACACATACATTTGATTAACGGAATTTTCATTTAGGTACATCTGTTTTGGAAGGACGAACATCTTCTCGAGAATTGAAGAATGATATCAAAGCAAATTTCCTTCCACTTTATATAGCCGATTGTGTTATTTTTATACCTGTTCAAATCATAAATTTTAGATATATTTCTAAATATTATCGTGTACCATTTATGTTTTCTATATCGTTTGTTTTTAATTATTTTCTAAGCGTCTATAAACATAGACGGCAATAATACTGCAATTCATCCTTTTTGTCTTTCTATATGTATTAGTTTTTTTCGAAACAAAACTAATCATTCTTCAAATAAATCGTTTCAGCAATCAAATAATCAACAATTTTTGATGAAATAGTGTTGCTCTGGTAGGCTGAAGAATTTTCTTCTACCCACATTATATCGTCATCGCAACATAGATATAAATCTCTCAAGATTGTTTACCTCTTATTAAGTTGTAATAAGCAACTAGTAACGTCTACTAACTATGTACGACATCAACTATGTCTGTACACAGATTATATGAAAACAAAAGTTGATATGTGCAAGGACAGGAAAATAGCTGCGAATATTGCAAGTATTACTAGTTGCTTATTACATTACTTCAAGAGGTAAATAATCAAATCTGAATTTGATTCATGTTGCAATGACGAAATAGTGCGAACAGCAATTTACTTGCAGTTTGCCAGAGCAACAAATTATATTCCAATTAAAAAGAAAAGAATAATTAAACTGATGATAGATATGCGAGAATAATATATCATTAGTATCAAACTAATTAAAGTTTCGAACATGATATTTAGAGATATTTACAGTCTAAGAAAAAGAATCAAAATACAAAGAGCTGAATAAATATGCGTGTGAAATTTATTTATGAGTATCTCATAACAGTAACATAATATTTTCAGGAAATTCACATTATGATTATCAAATGAGATCATGTACGAAAGATATTTGAGTAAATATTACATTTTTGACTAATCTCTTTCGTGTACTTGAATATTCAATTAGGAAAAATATTGTTTTTATATTTTTTATTTATACAATAAGTAACAACAGAATGTATTTATTTATTACTAGAAAATAATTGTTAATTCGATTGTTACTAGGGAAACCATATGTCATGTTATATTTTTCTTATCTTCCTCTTCATTGAAGATTTAGAAAAATATCTATTGGAGAATTGATTATCCAATAGATTCACGAGTTTTCTTAGTTAAATGATGATCCGATCTGGTTTCACTAGTTTTATAATGATTCACACAATAAAAAAAAGACAACATGAAGGGGGAAATAAATAATTAATCATTTTTAGATATAATAAACAAAATGCTATTAAAAATTGAATATACAATAGATTTTCTTTATCATTTTATCTCCGATATTTAAATATGTCTTATCTCAATGAATCTTCATATCCGATTATTCAATAACATGTAGATTTATTTTTCTTATATTCAGATTGACTTAACACAAATAGATAAAATGTCTCAGACATCTACAACTATTCAAGTACCAGCACAACTTTCACGTGATGAAACACGAGTATTAGAAGAATGTAAACATGAATCACTTATGTATCGTAGTATACCATTAGGTCTTGGTGCATATTTTGGATTACAATATTCAATGTCAAAAAATATTATTTCAACAAGAGGAAAATGGTTTAAAATTGCTGGTGTTTTAATTGCTGGATATATTATTGGAAAAATATCTTATACATCAACATGTCGAAAGAAAATTTTAACACAAATTCCTAATAGTAGTTTAGCACAATTAATTCGTGGTGTTGAAGCACATCAAATAACTGAAATAGATGTTAATCTTCAACCACAATCAGATAATCATCCAGTATCAGCTGATGTTAATCAATATGGTGATCCAGTTTATAAGACAAATAAATAGTTAACTACCTTTTTTTTATATTTGATATTTTTTATTATGGATTATAGTGAGTTGATAAATAACTATTGATATTCTTCTTAAACTTGTTTTATTCTTTAGTTTCGAGATATTATTAGAATGAGTTATAAGAGAGAGAGTATATTGTTAAAGAGAAATGAAGAAAGTTATGTATTAAGATAAATTTCTTTTACACCAATCGATTGTATGCATGATTAATCTATTATTAGAATTATATAGGGTCTATGTCTTTACATGTACTTGAATGTGTATTTAGAATTAAGTTTTCATATGTTTTCGGTTCGATACACTTTCTATATATATAGATGAGATTTATATGCAAAATGAATCGTATTTCTTTACATAAGAATTTTATAAATTAAAGAAAAAATATTTTTGTACTGTTCTATGTTATCATTTGCTTTCGATTACGTGTTAGGATAAAGTTAAACGTGCACTTATACATACATATACATATTCTTATGAATATAAATAGATAATTATTGTATAATCAGTATTTTATCGATAAAAATTCTTAAGTGTAGATATTCTCAATAATTATTTCTATGAACAATTACGATACTCTTTAAATCCATTTAAAATGTCAAAAGAGCATAGAAAGAATGTTATAATAACAAAATTTAAACAAAAGATATTCAAGTATTTTAAGTGTTTAGGTATTTATTTAAATCAGAAAAAATAGGAAAGAAATCGATTACATAAAATGAAATAATTTTAAGTTAAGCTAGTAGTTCTCTTTGATATAGAGGTTATATTAAAATCAATCTTTTTTTCTTTTCAATATGTAACAGAATAAGCACATAGTATTTCTTCTTGTTCGTTTTCTCTACTGGAGATATATACATGCATATATATATATATATATAATGACCTCTGCAAGTAAAAAATGACACGAAGGCGGGTGATGTTGTTAATGCACATCAAGCAATTTAGTAAGTCTCGTTTTCTTCCGTCTTATCAGTCACGATATGGCGTTAGTCGGTCATCTTGTACGCCTCGTCTGCAATTCTTTATCTTGAGACTGACCGAGCGACCACCGCCATCATCGCCGTTATTACTCTTCTCTTCTCTTCTTTTTCTCGTTTTTTTCTTCTTCTTCTTTTCTGTTTTAGCATTTTTCGTTCTGCTAACGACATCGACTCTATAGAGCAGAAGGAAAGAGAGCAGTTCTTACTATTGATAATATTTCTTTCTTGTCGACAACAAATGATAACAATCAAGCAAGAGTTTCAACAGTATGCAAAGGCAATATATAGAAACGAACAAAGCAAAATAAAAACAAAAAAAAGAAGAAGAAGAAATCGAGCTAATAACAACAATACAACTGCAATAGCAACGACGTATACATCGTTGTTCTGAACATTTATCCGTCGCACAAAGTCAGTATACGTGTTGCACAAACATTTATAGAATAAAAAAAAACGAGAGAAAAGAACGATAGAGAGAGAGAGAGAGAGAGCGAGAAAGAAGAAAAAAAGAAACGTCTATGCATATCATTTTACAAATAAGTACGATGATCATACTTCAAACACGCTCTTGGCCAAAACGGTGATTATCGTCGTACCACTACACACATCATGTTACTCAAGAATTTCCTCCTACTCTTCATATTCTATCCAATAATGATGGTGGAAATGGTAATTAATCTGTCATATAATTTTTTCCTCCTTATAATATCTTTTTTATTCTCTTCTAGGTAAGATTTACTAGCCAACATAATCGTCGCCATATGCCATCGTCATTGATTAAACTAGTAATACTGTTTTTTTCTATATCTTTGACAATAATTAATGGATTATTATTTTTTCTTAGGATTTCACAGCTAATGCTGTTTATAATAAACTCTATCAACGTTCATTAAACATAAACAATACAAATGTTATTAGTATCGAACCACGTAATAAAGTTTGGTTTGCTATAAAAAACGGAACAATATATGCATTACCATTATTTGGTGATTATTCAGGTCCATTTAAAGTTCAAATAGAAAATCCAAATCCAATAAAATTAAAATTAAAATTTGATTTTGCTCCATCATCATCATTATTTTCACCATCTGATCATCTTCTTCTTGCCTTATTTAATATATCATCCGTAAATTATAATAGTTCATTAATAAATCGTTATTTTATTGTACGAACATTATCAATAGCCTTAAATTTAAGTGAATCCTTAATAACAATACATAAAATCAATGGTACAATGATAAAAGTTTATTTTTCATGTGATTTATATTCTACAAAAGATCTTGCATATCAGATAAAATCATTAATTAATTATTATTATTCAAAACGTTTACAATTAGTTTCGTTTTTTCCTTTACCATTAATTGAAATATCAATTCTACGATTATCTCATCAACCATCTACAACAACAACGGCAACAAATTCAATGATAGAAATAAAAAAAGCAGTTATGACAATAAGACCAAGATTATTAACTAATCGAACATTAACACCTCCATTAAATAATCTCATACTTCTTGATCAATTTTATCAACCACTTGTTATTGTTCCATTAGCAATTATTTTAATTGGCTTATTAATATGTACAATAATTGCATTTTGTCTTTGTTATAATCGTCGTTCATCATCATCATCCACATTACTTTTACCAAGTGGACCATCAGGTAGTCCAAATAATAAATATTTATATGAAAATTATTCATATCGTAAACATCGACAACAACAAGAAATTTATCGAAAAAAACATTATTTAAAAGATCAAAAACAGTTTATTTCTAAAGGTAAATATTTTAGTTATCTTACAAAATAAATCTTTTATTTTTTATTTTATAGGCATTCCTGTGGTATTCGCTGAAGAACTTGAAGAAAAATTAGAACAAACACATACACCTTTAGTTATGAGAATTGAAAAAGCACCATTTTATAATGAACAAGAACAGAATGGATTAGAAAAAGTTACACTTTGAATGAATATTTTGTTTGTTATTTTGTAGATTAGAACAAAGCTTTCTACGTTCTCCCTATTGAGAAACATTCTTTGTATGTAATAAGCGAATATTTTCATACTTTTTCTCTCATTGTTTCTTTCTGTTGATGCATTTTTCTTCTTTAGTATAAATAACTCAGGTTTAACATATTTCTTGTAATGACATACGAAAATAGTCCTTAAAACACAAAACCACATCGAAAGATTTTATACTTTTTTTTAAAGGTGCTTCCAATATTTGAAAGTGTTTTATTCTTTATGCATGTGAATATATATATATATATCTATATATCTATTCGTATGAATGATACATGTTTGTATTTAAGATATGAATAGGATTATTATTAATTTACTTCGACAAGCAGAAATCAGTTTTTCTAATATATGTATTCAACAACAACGATCATTTCAGTTATCATCAAATCGTTTACAGAGTGTTGAAGAAGTAATTTGACTTATATATATATGTTTATAATTTTATTTATTTGTTTAATAGCAAGTACAAGAACAAAAAAAACGAAATGTCGAAGTACAAGATATGCCGGAATTAGTTCGAGATTTTCTTGATCCAGCTGAATTTTATAAACAAGTCAAAACTATCTGTGGTATTGATCATTTTTGTGGTGTACCTGATTCTTTGCTCAAAGGTATATTTCTAATATTAATAAACAATAAATTGACATATATTTTTTTTATTTAGATTTTTGTGCTTATGTTACAAAAAATGTTCCGTCCAGTAATCATCTGATTACAGCAAATGAAGGTTCAGCTATTGGTGTTGCTTGTGGTTCTTATATGGCTACAGGAAAACCATCATTAGTTTATTTACAAGTAATTTTTTGTTTAGAAAAAAAAACCAATAAAAATATATTTCAATTTTAGAATTCTGGTCTTGGTAATATTATTAATCCTATTCTATCTCTTGCAATACCAGGAGTTTATAGCCTACCAATGTTACTATTAATTGGTTGGCGTGGTGAGCCAGGTAAACGTGATGAACCACAACATCGCATACAAGGACCTGCAACACCTGGTATTCTTGGTAAGAAACAAATAATTTATTCAAATATTGCTCATATATATATTTAATTTCTTTAGCTGCATTAAATATTCCTTTTCAAGTATTACCAGATTATCATGAAGGTGCTAGTCAAGCTCTTGAAACAGCTAAACGTTATATGGAAACAGCAAAAGGTCCATATGCATTACTTGTTAAAAGACAAACATTTTTACCATATTCATTACCGAAAAAAACTGATGATTCTGGGTAAAATTTACTTGAAGTTTTATAAGATATTTAAAATATCACATTATACAAAATTTAGATTAGTTTTTACACGTGAAGAAGCTTTACAATGTGTAAGCGAATATTTTCATCATCGTGATGTGGTTGTTGGTACAACTGGAATGCTTAGCAGAGAATTATTTGAACTTCGAAAGCAACGTGGTGATGGACATGAACGAGATTTTTTAACTGTTGGTGGAATGGGTCATGCGTCATCAATTGCTTTAGGTATTGCTCTTCAAAGACCAAATCGAACTGTACGTTAAAATTTCTTAATTTTTTTCATAGTTTAAATAAACTTTTTGTAGGTATTTTGTTTGGATGGTGATGGTGCTGTTATAATGCATATGGGTGTATTAGGAAATATTGCTGCAACTGCTCCATCTAATTTTAAACATATTGTTTTTAATAATGGTACACATGACAGTGTGGGTGGACAGCCAACAGTTGCTGGCGATTATAAACAATTTTCATTTGGTCGGATAGCTCAAGGTTGCGGTTATAAACATGTAATGTTAGCAACAAATAAGAATGAAATCAAAGAAGCAATGGAAAAACTTCGTGCAATTAAAGATGATGGTCCGGTTTTACTTGAACTTCGAGTTAAATCTGGTCATCGAAAAAATCTTGGTCGACCAACTCGATCAACAAGTGACAATAGGAAAGAATTTATGCATTTTTTACAGCTTAATTAATGATTTTGTTATATTTATTATTACTTTTTTTTTCTTGTTTTTTTGTTCTACTTCATTGTTATACTATTCAATTTGCTTTTGAAATGACATCAACAAAAAAAATCACTCGTTACGCAATCAAATAATATAAAATGTTTTTTTTCAGATGGGTCAATCAATAGATGATAAAGAAATTACACGTGAATTATGGCAATCACGTTTACCAATATGTTTTATATTATCCGATGAAGATATGAGTAAAGTCAATCGTTCTGAATTACCTGAACCACTTTATTTAATGCTTGCACGTCATAGTTATTTTCCGTGTATTATCGAAAAAATTCATCGATATTATTCAACATATTTTAAAGAAAATGTAAATGAAACAACGAACAATATTAATCTTGCTAATTTATGGTTAGAATTTGAGAGTATTCCATTAAAATGGCATTATCCGATAGGTGTACTTTATGATCTTTATGCATCATCTGTTTCATCAACATCACATTTACCCTGGCAAATAACTGTTCATTTAAGTAAATTTCCTGAAGGTGAAATTTTACGTTTTCCTGATAAGGAATCAATTGAAGCACATTATATGTCAACAATAAAAGAAGCCGATGCACTTAAACATAAAGGACAAATTATTGGTGACATGCAAAAACGTGATCATAAACAATTGTGGAACTCGTTATTACAAGATAAATACGATGGTTTTTGGAATATCAATAATAAATTAATGAATTATACCGATAGTTTACAATATTTTCGTTATATACCATTCCGAGTTTATATCGTAGATAAACCATTTATACAAAAATTATTTTCACCCTATGATATTGATCAAGATAAATTTATGACATTAAATGATTTACTTGATTTTGTTTTACATCATGAAGCACAATGTGAATTATTAGCAAATGAAAAAAAAATTTTAAATACAAATGTTGATGATTATCAAGTTATTATTCATGGTATACAACCTCCAATTAATACACCAATTCAATGGTTAAGCGAACATTTTTCATATCCAGACAATTTTCTTCATATATGTCTTATTGAAAAACGTACATAAAAATTTTTATTCTGAACTTTATTTTACATATATATCTATTTGTGTGATTGTCAAAATTCGTTATGTATTTGTAAAAAAGATAAGGTATGGACGTAACACTTGAATATTATTAATATACGAAAATTTTACACATGATCAAGCCAAGAATATTAGATTGTACACTATTGAAATCATCATGAAAACATAATAATCTGATAAGATAAGAATTCTTTGATGTTTTTCTACGAGAATGTACATGCATCAAATGACCTAATACTGTTGAATCATTACTCTATGATGAATACATCAATAAAGAATGTTTGTTCGAAAGGTCTATTGCCAACAATAAATTAATACTAGAATATAATCAGAAAAAAGGTCATATAATACTCGAAATATACTGATTACAAAATTTTTATTAATATATAGGTAATTCTATAATAGGAAGATAATTGAAGTCTGATATTAAAAGACTCAAAATTTCTATTAAAACGTTGTGTCATTTTTTAATGAAAGTAATTTCAGTCTAGAATTTTATAACAGCCTCATTTCCTCTCAAATATGACTTTAATTATAAACTGTCAAAAGCAATAGATTCAATGTTAATTAATCGCTTGAATTATATTAAACGAATATCCAGATTTTTCATTGATCCATCAACTATCGACCTCTGTTTATGATGTTTATTTTTCTTTGTGATTTGACTTTATCCTAAAGAGATGATTCATTGTGTGGAGAAAAACCAAATACTAAATATTACTATATTTTCATTTGAATTACAACATATTACCTTTATAAACGAAATATGCCGTGTTTAACAGTACAAACCAATGTTGCCGATAATCAAATAACTGATGATTTTCTTAAACAATTGAGTGTAAAATTATCTGAAATTGTAGGCAAACCTGAACAATATGTTGCTGTACATGTTTCGGGTGGTCAAAAATTATTCTTTGCCGGTACAAATGAGCCAGCTGCATATATGGAACTTGTTTCAATTGGATTATCTGCTAATCAAACAGCAAAAATTAGTAATGAAATTATGAGTTTTTTTGAAGAAAAACTTAATATAAAAACATCTCGTATATATATAAAATTTACAAATGTAGCTGGAAATATGATGGGTTGGAATAAAGCAACATTTTAATGATTTTATCTATTTTTCTTTGTAGATAATTTAAAAAAAATAGTATTACAATGATTATTCGATGCATACGTTATGCTTCTTCTTCTTCTTCGATAACAAAAAAGATAGAAAAGCCTGTAGACGATTACACATATTGTATAAATAGTGTACGTAAAGCTGATTATGAAAATTTTTTATGTACAGGATTATTACGTCCATCATTAATTCAACGTCCAGCAATGGCTATACGAGCATTAAATGTTGAACTTGCATTAATACGTGATCAAGTATCAAATACTCAAATTGGACAAATGAGACTTCAATTTTGGCGTGAAACAATCGATTCAATTTATTCATCATTAAATGAAAATACAAATAGAAAAATTAATCATCCCGTTGCACGTGAAATTAATTTAAGTATTAAATACAATCAATTATCAAAATTATGGTTTCATAGATTAATTAAAAGTCGAGAAATAACATTAAATGATATGCCATTTTCAGATATTGAACAATTAGAGAATTATCTTGAACAATCAATTACACCTACATATTATCTTTTACTTGAATTAGCTAAACAACGAACATTAAATGCTGATCATATTGCTTCACATTTAGGTCGTTCTCAAGGTCTAATTAATATTGTCCGTGGCATCCCATATAATGCTCATAAACGTCGTTGTCTTATTCCTCTTTCCTATCTTAATGAACACAAAGTATCTCAACAAGATATAATTAATGGTCAATTTTCTAATGAACAATTTCGTCAAGTTATATATCAATTATGTAATCGATCTTGTTTTCATTTACAGAAAACAATTGAATTATTTGAACAAGATAAAATTTTTCAAAAACAATCTTTATTTTCTTCATCAACAAATTCTACACGTAGTTTATTTTTACCAATTATTGTTATATATGATTATTTAAAACGTATAAAAAATATTGATTTTGATCTAACAAATAAACATATTAATGAAAGAAATCCATGGCTTATTTGGAATTTGTGGAGGCATAAATTTCCATCGTCAAATGATCTTTCTTCTTTTTAGATATAAGTACAAAATGTTTGGTAGTACTGCAGCGGCAGCAACTCAAAAAGATGTTGAAGTTGCTCAACCACCAGATGATGCTATATCATGTATGAAATTTTCTCCAGCATCAGTTCCACAAACATATTTAATTGCAAGTTCATGGGCAAATGATATTCGATGTTGGGAAATACAAGCTAACGGACAGTCTGTTGCTAAAGCAATGCAAAAACATGATGCACCTATATTAAGTTGTTGTTGGTCAGAAGATGGCTCAAAAGTATTTACAGCTGGTTGTGATAAAACAGCTAAAATGTGGGATTTACAAGCAAATACATTTGTTCAAATAGCAGCACATGATCAACCAATACGAACTATTCATTATATTCAACGACCAACTTATTCATGTGTTATGACTGGTGGCTGGGATCGAACTGGTAAAATAGATTTTTTAATTTATAAACATTAAATCATTTTCTTTTTTGTATTTAGTTAAATTTTGGGATATGCGTCAAGCTCAACCATTAAAACAATTAGCGCTTAATGAACGTGTCTATGCAGCTGATGTTTTAGGTCCAATGGCTGTTATAACAACAGCCGATCGTGCTTTACAAGTCTATTCACTTGATCAAGGACCAACTGAATATAAAAAAATGGAATCATTACTTAAATATCAACATCGATGTATATCAATTTTTACTGATAAATCTCGAAATCCAAATGGATTTGCTGTTGGTTCAATTGAAGGTCGTGTTGCTATTATGTATGTTGATACAGCAAATCCAAGTGCTGATAATTTTACATTTAAATGTCATCGTTCAACACCAGCAGCACCAGCTAATACACAAGATATATTTTCTGTTAATGATATTGCTTTTCATCCTGTACACGGTACATTAGCTACAGTTGGTAGTGATGGTCGATATAGCTTTTGGGATAAAGATGAACGTACAAAATTAAAAACAAGTGATGTTATTAATGATCAACCAGTTGCATGTTGTTCATTTGATGCTCGTGGACAATTATTTGCTTATGCAAGCTCATATGATTGGCATAAAGGACATGAAGGAAATAGTCAAACGAAAAAGAACACAATCTTTTTACGACAATGTTTCGAAGAAATGAAGCCAAAACCAAAAAGATAAAAACTGTTTTTTTTACTCTTGTGATCTGTATATAATCGAGAAAATAAGAAACATAAAAAAAAATAAATGTGATTTTATTAGCCTAGAAAAAAAAACAATAAACAAACATAATGATAGTAATAGCTAGTTTTTTTTGAAGTTGACCAAGAAAGAATTGTAATGAACTTAGCTTTTGAATTAACATTCAATTCATTTTATGATTATTATTAAAAAGTAAGAATTGGTTTTTGTATGACTTTGTCTTATATTAATAAATAGGCAAGTCTAATTTATGTGAAAATCAAAAAAGTTCAACTAAATCTGCGTTTTCTCTCTTGGAGATCGCACTCATAGATTTGCATATAAAAATTGTTACAAGATACATTCTCGAAGTATGATCGTACAGTGACTTTACATTTTTCGAAATAATTGAATTAACAAAAACTATTGTGATAATTTTTATTTTGAGAGAAAATCAATATTATTGAATGAATATCATACAAAAAGAACTGAACTAATGTAACGATTTTCATTTTCGTGAAATAATCAAAGTCATGTTACTATTTCGGAGAAAACCAGTCAGAATAACCATTTATATAAAATCTTATTCATTTTTTTATTTCTTGAGTAGATTTGAAAATTTCTCCACAATGATTTGTAGTTAGAAATCCATTCTGATATAATCATAACCAAAGGGTCACAGTCACTTTTTTTCAGTTTACATTTGTCATTGTTCTTTTCTATATTTTTCCTTTCTTCCTTTTTCAATTCATTCAAATGAACTATTCTTTAATATTGGAACAGAAAGAATAATTCATTCTATTGTTAAAATAAACTTTTGCTCTCCTTCTATTCTTCTATGTTTCTATTGAATATCTTTCTTATCTAACATAACGAAACTCTACTTGTTTAGACATAATAATGTAACCGTGAAGGTCTTTTCCACAACACATATCTTTTCAATATTTAATGTTTACCTTACCGGTGAGTATTACTGATCATATTATGTTCTCTGCAGGAACATAGTTTCAATAGACACGTTTTCTTTCTTACCAGTTTTATTTTACTTTCAAAAAAAAAATACAAAGAAATTATAGTTTTTTTTTTATGCGTTCGAGGCCTTCTCTATATATTCGAAGATTAGGATGATTTGTCGGTAATGATTGTTGTCCAATTTGTACAGCACGTTCATAAAATGAATGAGCTTTTGAATAGTTGCCCATATCTTCATATACTTGACCGATGTTGTTATGGGAAGCACTCAAATCAGGATGATTGGAAGGAAGTGATTGTTGCCCAATTGCAAGATCTTTCTCATAATATGAAAGTGCTTTTGGATAATCACCCATGTTGTAATACACAACACCGATGTTGTTATATGAAGTACCCAAATTAGGATGATTAGAAGGAAGTGATTGTTGCCCAATTGCAAGATCTTTCTCATAATACGAAAGTGCTTTTAAATAATCACCCATGTCGTGATATACCTGACCGATGTTGTTATAGGAAGCACCCAAATCAGGATGATTAGAAGGAAGTGATTGTTGCCCAATTGCAAGATCTTTCTCATAATACGAAAGTGCTTTTGGATAATCACCCATGTTTCTATAGATAATACCGATGTTGTTATAGGAATGAGCCAAATTAAGATGATTGGAAGGAAATGTTTTCTGATACATAGCAAGCGATTTTTCATAATATGAAAGTGCTTTTGGATAATCACCCATGTTGTAATATACCAAACCGAGGTTGTTATAGGAGGCACCTAAACTAGGATGATTGGCAGGAAGTAATTGTTGTCGAATTGCAAGGGCTTTTTCATGATAAGACAGTGCTTTTGGATAATCACCCATGCTATCGTACACTAACCCGATGTTGTTATAGGAAGCACCCAAATCAGGATGATTGGAAGGAAGTGATTGTTGTCGAATGTCAAGAGCTTTTTCCTGAGATGACAGTGCTTTTGGGTAATCACCCATGCTGTCGTACACCATACCGATGTTGTTATAGGAATGAGCTAAATTAAGATGATTGGAAGGAAGTGTTTTCTGATAGATAGCAAGCGATTTTTCATAATATGTAAGTGCTTCTTGATGTTCTCCGTGATTACGTTTGATTCGACCTAGTTGATGATAAATATTTCCCTTGTCACTTTCATTTGTTGCTTGATGAAGCAAAATTTCATAAACTTCTTGAGCTTTGTCAAACTGACCCATTTTAATTAACAATTCACCTAATCTGTCCCACCCTTCGACATCTGGAAAGGTCTCTTGCTGGATACGATCAGTGAGAGTACGAAGATCTTGATCGTTGTCATTGGTCAATATTAAATTCACTTGATAAAGATCATTATTTTCATCAATTGGTTTAATATCTCCAATACGAAAAATGGTATGCGTAGAGAAGAGAACATCATCTTCTCTGTGAAGATAACTAACATCTGTAACTGAAGCAAATGGAGTTGTTGAATCAGTAGGTTTAATTGACATAACAAATAGAATTCCAACAAGATCAGCATTTGTAGCAACTTGTTGTAGAAATTCAAGAGCAGTATTACGATTTTTACTAGTTGATAAAAAGTTATTAAATGAAAGAAGTCCACCTTTAGTTTTTGTCATTTCGGTGAAATCTTCTTTTGAAAGACATTGTCCACGATAAACTGTAAATGTTTTACCTAATTGATGGCTATCGAATTGTTCTGAATGTAGCCGTTGTATATCACGATGTAGATCATTAATAAAGAAGCCCATTCGAACAATAATATCAACATCCATTAATCTTAATGCTTGATTGAGCATACGACTTAAAAATGCATCCCATGTATACCACCAAATGGGTGTCTTATTTTTGTATGTTGCTTGTAATTGATTAACATTTTTTAATTCATTTTCATCGTCACCATATACATCACGACAGTAAGTGATAAATTCTTCGAAATCTTTATCTTCGAAGTTAATCGTTAATAGGATCTCTTTCAATATCTGAGTATACATAAAGGTTGGATCTAATTGATCCAACTTTTTGTTTGATGCTACAAAGCTGATTGATGTGGCATTTTGTTCACATTGTTGGGCAGCTTGCTTGAGAGTCTCACAGATTGATGTTATATCTGTGAAGACTCCTTTTATTTTAGGCCATTGTTTATGCCATTCTTGATTGTTGCAAAAAATAAATATGGTATCTACTTGAGACATTTTATGCACATGTCGCACAATATCTTGTCCAACTGAACCAGAAACAATCATACATATTTTGTTGTTGGTAATTGTTTGAATAAATTCAATACATTCTTCACCATCTGTAAACGTGTTTATGTTGTTAACTACACGTTTTAATTGTTTGATTGTATTACTGCAATCAGTATTATTATCATTAATATTGTTGTCTAACCAAATCAGGAGGACATTTTGCATTCTTCGCATGTTCATACGCCGATTTGCAACTGCATCCTTGGGAAAGTTTGATATGTGTGTCGCATTAGCTTCTGTATTGGTTTGAACAGATGTTATTGATTTATCGTTCACCATTGTTTGTTGTAATGTGAACTACTTCAAGAAGAAATGTCTATAAATGAATGAGAATAATGTGTCATTTTATAATATAAGAAGTTTTTTTCGAGCGTGTTCTTTTTATGATCATTTATATTGTTTTCTCTGTTGCCAGTATTTTACTTGGTTTTTTTTATGTTTGTTAAATATATGTCACTGACTCAGCTGGGGTCGGATTCGACTTATATTTCCTATATTTTGTGTGGAAAAGTGAGAAAATGTTCGAAAATTAGTGAGTTCTGCTATAGATAGTCTTTCATCATTGGAAAGTTCATATACTTATTATATAGTCAAATATTTTTGATGAATGAATGTATAATATCAACATCAGTTTCAAATAAATGATATGTTTTCCTTTTCGCTTACTAAATCGATTGATTGAAAATTCTTCAATACTACGCTAAGTAAGCTAACAGAAAAAAATTAGTTTAAAAAACAATCATATATTCTACGAAACTTTTTACTGTTGTGTTACATACTTATCCATATAAATTTATACACTTATACTGAATATATATTACATTAACAGACTTAAGAAAATAAACGACATGATGAAGAAAGCTAACAGATAAAACTTATTTTTTCTGTTGTTCAAAAAATGAGACTAGATAAATAAAACGTACTTGTAATAACGTAACTGAGATGCAGACAACAAATGAAAAATCATACACGAATCAATTACATACATTTCCATTCATCCATTATCTCTGCCGTACCTTCTCTCATTCCTCTTCTACAAACCCTGTTATGTGTATATATATATATAATTTTACACGTGAGGTCGTTAAACGATATTGTAACATCTTTTATTTTATTATTCCTTTCTTTTATCTTCTCCTCCTTTCATACCGATCTTATTTTTCATTTTTTTCTTCAAGTATGAACCTGCATGCACACATTAAAGTAAATGAAAGAATGTTATCTACAGATAGATGAGAAAAATCTATTGAAGACATTTCAAGATCATCCAATTTTGAAAATAGAAAATTGAAGTTATTCAACAAAACTTCTTGTTTTTGAGAATTGAATTGTAATACTTCTGCTTATCTATTTTGAAGATATCAATAATACAGAAAACAATTGATCGTGTACATTTTTTTAATAATCAATATGTTTGTGTGATCTTTTAGAGTAGCTTATATTCGACTAAAAGTTATTTCTGAAAACTATCACATATTATCATATGAAACATTTGCATAAAGCACTTAACTGATTATAATTTGTGAAACTATCTGTAAAATATACTTTCAGGTTCTGAATAACAATAGTAAAAATTGAATGTACTTGTATAAATATAGATCTTCTTTATTTACAACATCTGTATTTATGTTTAATGCTAAACAAAGAAAAATATAATTTGCAATGAATAACTTAACTTTATAAAATTATTCAAATTTCTTCAATTTGAGAATAATTTATTAACATGTACTGATATTGTCATACAATTTTCATTTTTATATGTAACCAATTTTTCCTACATAGGTTAAAACAATAAAGAGAACGCAATTTATTTGTAAACGACCATTCTCTTCATTATATATGACAGAAGAATTTAAATTAATCTTTTTAATCAAATTAAACCATGACTTAGTTTTAGAAAATAAAATAAAATTTGTGTTACAAAACATTAGACAATGGAATTCATTCATAGTATATAGTCACACATTGTTCTTTCGTTGAAAAAGCATCGATTTATAAATCAAATCGTCTATATAATTCATTTACTTGGATACATCTGAAACTTAAGATCTAGGGCGTGGGTACATCTCATATATATTCTAATTATTCACATCTTCAAGATGATCCGGTTGAAAATCGGTAAACGAATGGTATCAATTCGACTTCGATATTTTCATTTTGCGTTTAAACGGAAATTTCTTGATATTTCGTTGCTAAGATAATCGTAACATAAGATGACAACTTTGTATCTGTACGTTGAGAAAACAAGAAAACTCGCGAAGTATTAAACAAATGCTTTGCTTCGCATCACATTAAAAACTTTTGACAATGTTCTATGAACTATCTGAATAGCTCTTTCGCTCATATTATCTAAATTTTCAAATATCAGCTGATACATTTATTTTTTGAATATGTAATAGAATTAACAAAAAAAGCGCATAAAAATAATTTTGTTAATTTGTGTTGCTTGTTCTTCATTTATGATTTGAAAAAGACAAAAAGGTAAAATAATGCGAGAAACAATGTCTGTAACATCTTCAACACAAAATAAAATAAATAAACGATCGAAAAAACTTTCTCATTCACGAATTAATAAAATAAAAATATGTTCAAATGGAGATAATAATAATAGAATTTCCATAGAAAAAAATCAACAAATTCAAAAAGCAATTCCACTGTTAGCTCAAGCATTTGCTAATGGATTTTTTACAGAAGTTAATTGTCGTATATTATCAGAAAATTTACTTGACGAACTTGCACATAAAGTTTATGAATTTGTTCAAAAACAAGGTGAATTAAATCGTACATTAATATTAAATAAATTTATGAATGAATCTCTTCTTAATGAATTTGTTAATAAAATTTATATTGGAGATTTTGAAGAAGATAAAATAAAAACAAATGAAATGAATTCAATGAGTATAATATTATACAAAACAAAAGATGATAATCCATTTATTCATGAAGTTTCAGTTGAAGGTGAAAAACAACATTTTGGTTGTCGATGGTCATTACCTCATTCTCAATTTGAATCACTTTGGGAAACACTTGAATTTGATTTACCATTAAAATCTCAATTAATGCAATATGTTTTTACTGTTATTAGATTTGATAAAGCAAATATTGATAGAACTGTTATTCATTGTAATCAAACAATTCTTCTTTATGGACCACCTGGTTTGTTTTTATATTCTATTTTTTAATTAGAATCTCATTCGATCGATTCAAAATACTTTTTGTGAAACACGATCTTAAAGAGTTATTGAAGTGTTTATGGATAGAAATTTGCACCCACTACCGTCCACCTGCACTGACCGTAACCGACTGACTCGATAACCCCTATCACAGATCATGATAGACATTTTAGTTAAGGCCCCCCCCCCCCCACTCGAAAAAATCGATTTTCGTCAAAAAAGTCGAAATGGAGATAAATGCATAGGAAGATAGCCTGAAGTTTGCTCTTTCAGAAACACTATGGTTTTTATTTGGTACTCTTGGTTTTTTGATGATTTAGGCCATGTTTTGCTTGAAAAATAGGCTTTTTTCATAGAAAACCTAAAATGTTTTTCGTTTTTTCTCAGTTAACACTTTTTCGAACGCGCATCCAAAATTTCTTGACCAAGGAGCGTCCAATATTTGAAATTTTTTTTTTATTTGAAAGAGCATGTCAAGGCGCAGGGCATGATAGAGTCCTTTTTTAGAAAAAATTTTTGCTTTGATTTTATATACAAACATTAATATGAGTAGGCACCCATTTTTTAAGAGTTTTTGAGTCATTGACATTGTGCCTTCTTTTCGTCGTGAAAAAAGTAAATATTTTAAAAAAAGGGCTCTACCATGCCCTGCACCTTAACATGCTCTTTCGAATGAAAAAAAAAATTTTTAATTTTGGACGCCCCTTGGCACCAAAATCTTGGATGCCAAATCAACTACTTTTGACCCTTACTTGATGCATATCTCCTCAAGACGTCGTCGGATCGGGCTGAAATTTTTACCACAGCTTCTCCAGTATAGGCCCAACATATCCTGAAAATTTCATGCGATTCGCACGAGCCAATCCTGAGAAAAGTTTTTGAGTGGGGGGGGGGGCCTTAATTAATTACCCATCACAAACATTTTCTCAGAACCATCAAAAGGCGTGAGACTTGAAGATTGTGATATTCGACTGCAAGGTACTACCATAGATCGTGTATAACTCAGGTCTAGTCAGAGTACCTAGGGACGAATTTTTACGGGATAAGCAACAATAGGTATATCTGGTTTCATATTTTAATACTGCAAGGATTGCGCTAACAGTTTACTATGTTGACAAATGATTTCTTTTTCTCTAACGATAAAATATTTTAGGTTGTGGTAAAACAACATTATGCAAAGGTTTAGCTCAAAAAGTTTCAATAAGAATGAAAGAATTATTTAATAGATTTTATTTTTATGAATTAAATGCTGGTTCATTATTTTCTAAATGGTTTTCTGAATCATCTCATAATTTAACAAGATTTTTTGAAGATATAACACAAATATGTTGTGATCCATTAACATTTGTTATAATACTTATAGATGAAATTGAATCATTATCAATGTCACGAACATCATCATTATCATCGAATGAACCATCAGATATGTTACGTGTTGTTAATACACTTTTAACACAAATTGATCGTTTAAAATCATTTTCAAATATTCTTATATTAACAACATCAAATTTAATTGAAATTATTGATCAAGCATTAATTGATCGTTCAGATTTAATTTTATTTATTGGGCCACCTTCAATAAAAACAATATTTCATATTTATCGTGCTTGTTTTCATGAATTAATTGAAAAACATCTTATTTATTCACAAAATCAATCAGAAGAAATTAAAGATAAATTATGGAATTTAGCTAAATTCAGTGATGGATTAAGTGGAAGAACATTAAGAAAATTACCAATGATTGCTTTTTCACATATTCAACAATTTGATCATTTTATTCATCCTGAACAACTGTTTAAAGCTATGCATCAACAATTAATCAATCATAAAAATACTAATAATTATTTACAACAATTTAATAATCAATAAAATACATTTCTTGTGAAAATTTATTTTTAAATATTTGTTTTTTTCGACAGAAAAAATAGTGTTATTCATATAAATTTAGAATTTTATTAGAGCACAGATTTAAAAATAAAAAAAGAATGTAGAATATCACGGGTTATAATTATTCCGCATGTTTAATTAATATTTTCACTTGCTGGATATGTATTCATGCAAAGAATTGTCGGTAAAAATAAAACAATTAAAGAGCACGTTCATAGGGAGTCGAAGTTACTAAATATATCGTTCGTTATCATTCTAAAGTATTGGATCAACAATTCTCTCAACATATAATATTTATAACTGGAATACAAGACAATAAATCTGACGAGGGAACCTTTGCTGAAGAGTCTCCCCGTCGCCAGATCTGAGTGCATATCGTATAAATTTTCAAGGAAGCGATACGCACTCAAATCCTCCTAGAGTTTTTAGTACGATATATTTTGATTGGAATCCAACGGGGAGAGAGGCATCTAAAAAGGTCGCCACGTTAGTCTGAATTTTATAACTACTATCTATACATGTATTATGAATTGTTTATTATTTACAGTAATAATATTTTATTTTAAGATAAGTTTACAACATATAAAATACAAAAGATGTTCAAAGTATTAAAATCAAATGTTAACTCTGTGTTTTCATTTCAAATGCAGTTCTTCCATATGTAATTGTTGGAAGTGGATTTATTTGGTTTTGTCTTCGCCAAAAACATATACGATCTTTTGTTGCTTTGCGAAAACGACTTGATGATATCCAAAACATATAACAACTTCCCTAAAAATAAATAATTTCATACATTCATTTATTTCATTCTCGAAAAAAAAAACTTCAATCAACATACAGTAAAGTAGCCATAGGTTAATAAAGTGAGGATTGTACTAATAAAATATTCCATTTGTAATCGATCTGCACCTTTACTAACTCCAGATGTGATCAGGCTGTAAAGATTATTTATTCCATAATGTACTATGCACACAATATTAAGTAATACTTGAAATAAAGTCATTCTCATTAATTGACGATCCACGTCTTGTCTATTAAGATTTCTTGTCATATGAATATTACGATAAGCTAAATATCCGAAGAACACCATTAATATAGCTGGAATGCTTGTGACCAGACCTAGAAGATATATTATAATATAAATACCATAGGCAGCATTTGTGTTTCCACATGTTTGTGTAATAGAGGATATCTCATAGAATATCAATATAGGTATTCCATGGAGACACCAAATTATAATAAAACAGAGAACAATTTTATGTGCCCATTTTATATTACTGCAACGACGAATTTTTACATGTTTTGATGTAATGAGAAATTGATCGATTGTAGCTAAACATGAACAGGTTAAATTGATTAATGGAAGAGTACTGACAAAAAATGGTCGTATTTTACACCAAACAATTGATGTACGAGTTAAATCAATTCCACCTCCTGTGGCAACAATGCGTGATATAAGATTAATGACTATATAAAGAATATTATCTATTGAACCAACAAGAAAATAAAATGTCGAAGGATTTGTACGATAAGAACGAATACTTGAAAATATCAAGACATTCATACCATTACCAAACATACCGACAAGAATAAGAAATATACCACCATAAAATATAAGTTGTTGACTGATATATAATAATGACATTATTAATTCTTTTCACTTTAAGTAATGTTAGATTAATCTATTAAACTTACCTGTATACTATGATAAATAGAATTTGTTTTGGAAAAGGATATACAATGAAAGTATAACGTTCTAATAAAATAATGAAGCTTTGAATTACATTGTTCCTGTCTATATTATTCAGTTGATGCTTCCCTTTCATTATGATAATTTTAAATAAAATAAAATTGTTTTCCATGTCATAATAATACTGTAATAAGAGTACCTGTAAAAACTAACGTATATATAGCATTACACTCGGTTCTCCTCTTTGAACTGATTTTGCAAGATACATTAATTATAATAAAAAACGCATGAAGAAATAAGTGCATTATATTGCGAAGAGAAAAACTTAAAAGTAGAAATTAATTACTAATTTTCATTCAGTTTTGAATTAAATCACATATGATTATATACAAATGATGAAAGCAAAGCGAATTTTGTACTGCTGCAATGTCTGAGAATCTTATTGTATTATCTATAGAGAGGTGCAGAATCTTCCTCATGCGCCCCCGCGCGGGAGGGGGGGGGGAATTTTTTAGAAACTGCATTTTTTGGGGAAATTTTTGACAATTCTGGGGAATTTTTGAAAATTTACCTCGGGGAAAATTTTTTTTTTGGGAATATTCTGCACCTCTGTATCTATAAGATATAATTTCATCAATCCTAAATCCAATATGCCACATATATAATCGATATATTCTTTGAATTAATCTTTTATTTTAATATATAAATTTTCGATAAAATGTGTTCCATAAGTAAACATATGTCAATTCAACTAATCAGTTATATAGGATCATTTTCTTGATTTGCACACACATTAAATGTTTGAAAGATTCTTTTTGTACTGGGTTTTAGTAGTCAATTTCTTATTACGATAATTAGAATAAATCCGTGTGAAATTGAAACTAATAGGACAATTACTGATAAGAAATATACCAGTTGTTATATATGCACTTTTTGCTGAATATTGTAAAGTATTTCTATATATATATAAATAAATAAATTCTACCAGCATGTGTTACTGTATTTCAAGAATTTGTGTCCCGGTTTTATGTACATATATCTATAAGTCAGAATATCTACACAATAACATGTGATATTTTACTCGCTTTTTACTATTTGAAAATAATAAATTTATGTTATTGACATAAATATAAGTATCAGAATTCATTCTTCGGAACTAATATAAAAGGACATATAGTCTACTTAATTATAAACTATGTTTTTTTTATATCTATTGAATTATCTATTCTAAGTATTCAAATTGATCTTGATCAGTTATGATTTAATACAAATTTCGATAGTTCTCAAAGTCCAACAAAAATATTTTCCAAATGAAAAATTAATTAATCATTGTTTTATTTGTTTCTGATATTGGTTATAACAAAGAAATATTTGATCATTCATTGCCGTCGTGATTTTCCTATTTGTTTCAAAAGAAGATAAACATCTTCGCGTACAAAATTTGTCTTTTCTATATCATTTCGAGATTATTCTGGTTGACCTTCATGATAGAATACGTACATATCTTTAATAAATAAAATCCCTTGATATTTTAGTAGAAAATGTTTCATAACGCACATGGAAGAAATTCATCGAAACGTACGATACGATATTTAAACAAAATGCGTATATGTATATATAGATGTATCACGTGAAAGACGAAATCATTCTTTTATTTTCCATACATATACACATATACAATGAATAAGTAAGGACAAAAACAAACGAAACTTTATGCACTAGATATTATAATATATAATTTTAGTCTTGATGTTCTTGCTGAATTAGCATCAAACCAAAAACCAATTAAACAAGAAACAGATTTATTAAATTCTTCATTTGTTCTTAAAACAACACAAAAAGGTAAACCATGTATTATACTTGATGGTCATCGATATAAACATCGACGTGATAATCTCGATGGTTCAATGTCTTGGACATGTACACAGTATGTCAGAATTCTATATATATATCTATTCTATTATTTCATTTTTGTATATTAGTGAATTATGCAGTGCTAGTGTACGAACATATGGCGACCGTGTTGTACGTCGTAATGATGGTCATTTACATGGTCGAACATTACGTGTTGATCCTCAACAAGAATTTTTATCCCGTTTAAAAAAACGTGCAGCAGAAGATACAGTTACAATTCCAAGAATTTATGATGAAGAATTAGAACGATCAATAAGTGAACATTCAGCTGATATACGTGAACATTTACCAACATTTACATCAATTAAATCAACATTATATCGTCATAGACAACGTAGTCAAAAACTTCAAACAATGGATATTGATTGTAAATCTTTACCTCCAAAGAAACGTCCATTAACAATTGATATTGATAATCATGATGAAAAACGACGAAAATATTCTTCTTTATCAACATATCCATATAATTATCTTTTAGCACAAAATTATATGTTTATGTATGCTTATGCATCAATATTATCTAGTTTTCAACAACAAATGTGATATTTATTTATCGTGTTTTATAACTTGGCAATAAGCAGTGAAACCTCTTTTTCTTGTTTGTATGCGCTGGTTTTATAACCGTGTCTACAGATTTGTCTTGTCTTGTCTTTTTCTTTTTCTTTTTTTGTCTAATTTATTTTCTCTGGTTGATATATTTCATGTTGTGTATTGTTTTTGCTAAAAAGAATTTCTTGTGCTATTGTCAGATATACATATCTATATATAAATATATATATATATATATAAACAAAATCCTATGGTTACATTTTGTTGACAAGGATTGAATTTGACTAGATTTTTATTGCTTTTTCAACAACGACAGGAAATGATAGTCATTTCTTAAACAGTAAAGATAAAAAGAGACAACTCGGAAAAATTTACAAGAACATATAAAGACTCGTTCTCTTAGACGGAAATATAAATGACATCGATCTATTTCATAAGAAAAGAACGAAGTAATAACAATCAACGAACAATAGAACTTCTTTTTTAAAGTAACTATAAGATAATGATATAGTTTATTTTATATGTATATATATATATATTGATTGAATGTGAATATATACTCATTTATAATAATAATTAATCATAATAGTGAAGTTATCAGAAAAAATTATTTTACTCTTAAAATTTACAATAAAACATAATTTTGCCTTAAGCTATAATAAGTCTTATTGTTATATTTTTCCAAAAAGAAAATTGATTTTATATCATATTTCGTTATTTGATTTAATAATTTTTATGTATACATCTATATATTGATCTTTGGTATATACATAATCCTTATTGATTTGCTATGCATGTTTTTCCGGTTTAGAATAATGATGTCTTCCTTTTTCTATATCTCTATATGTATATATGTTTATCTGTACGTGTGTGTCAAAAATAGCGTCAATGAACTCTTGCTTAGTTCCGATCTAATCAGATATTGATGAGTAAAAATGAGGAAGTAAACTCATTCGTATATTTAACATAACGAACAACAAGATATAGGATGGTTTCAGACATTATTACTGAATGAATAGATAGGGAAAAAGTAAAGAGAAAAGACATGTATTCATTCAACAGTAAAAAGTATAGAGGTAAGGGGAGAGCCAATTACACACAAGAGAAACGTAACATATATAAAAGAAGAGAGAAGAATTGGTGTGACAAAGACATAAGAAAGGCTTGAGTAAGGATGCGACTAGAAAAAAATTGAACGGATGTACGCCTATATACTTGAAAGTGTGCGTGCTTTAGAATAAAGATAAAGTAATAGTATGGTATTTATTATTGTTTTTGTTTTTTTTTTTGTCTATTATTATAACACGAATATTGATAAGTAGAAAAGAAAATCACGATATTTAGTTCTATTACGAAATTATCAATTGCTATTTTATTGTTTGATATTATTGATAATATAGAATGATAGTATTTGTTTTCTGTGTCATTTGTTACACATCAATATAATGGTCACCAAACTAAAAACGAACTGAAAGAAGAAGAAGAAGAAGAAGAAGAGGAGGAAAGGAAAGAAGCAGAAGATGAGCTTATTGATTATTTATTCATAAGAAAAAGTTCAAATAGAGACAAATAACATAGAAAAAAGCAAACAGAAATGAGAAGATGATGATGATGAAGAGAAGAAGACGAACAAGAAGAAGAAAAAGAAGAAAGATAGAACTAGCTAAGTCGTTCTATTAAAGTTGATAGAAAGATGAAGTCAACTAACGCATGCATGTCTGTAGATAACAACAATCATGAGACACATCAGTGTGTTTGTTTCTTACATATAAATTAACAATTTGATTTATAATCATATCTATTGGTATGTCATACATTGAATCTATTGAATAATGAGATCATATTTAATAATAATACTAATATATAAAAGATAGACGAAATAAGCTTTTTCTTTCTTTTTTTTCATATATATATATATTCATAGAACAAAACAAAAGGTGTAAATCGCTTCGGATTGTCTTATTTCTAATAAAGCAATTTTTGTTCTATTGAAAAAAAAAATCTAAAGATTCATAAAACTGGAAGAAACCTTTTGGTAATAGTATTCATCAAAATGGAATTAGAGAGAAGAAGAACAAGAACAAGAAGAAGAAAGAAAAGAAGAGGCTAACGTGATCGTACATTGCCATTCATTTTTTTTCACATTAATTTTTTTTTCTCCCGTTTCCTCTTACCATTAATATAAATAGGTAAAATCTTTAGTTTCAACTTAAAAATAAAATTTGTTCAAATAGGTTAGCTAATATTATAGTTAAACTTATTGATTTAGGATAAATGGCAAAGAACATAAGTTTTCACTTTGATCTTTGAATGAGATCATTTAACGATTGTTTCTATCATTAGAGAAAAGAGAGTAGTAGTAGTAGTAGTACTTTTAATGATGGTACTATTGGTTATAAATGCATGCGCATCGCACTTGTCCTTCATTCCGGAAATGAAAAACTTTTCTTACGAAGTGGTGATAGTGTAGACTAGATCGTGCTGCGCTCATTTTCATCATCGCCATCTCTCTCTCTCTCTCTCTCTATTTTCTCTCCCTATTTCTCGTTCATCATCAGGCACAAAATTTTTTTGCCTATTGCCAAACGATAGTAACATTGGAATGCAAATGTGATACTCGGGTGTCGGTTTAAATGATTTGTTCTCTCTTCAAACGTCATCAAGTTTGTACCGAATCGTAATGATTCGATTTGCTTCGACTCGTGTGTGTTAACTCGATTTTATCCGATAAAAATCTACATTTTCCGATAACAACAACAGTTACAAATATATTCATGAAAGAAAACCAAATTTCACATGCTACTTAAACTAATTCATTCTTTATTGTCAATACCTTTTTTTTCCATTCAATATCAATCCATATAAATTTTCTATTCTATTATAGATTTTTCTTTTTTCAGAAAACTATTTTCTTCATTTTATATTTTACATGTTAATCATAAATAACAATGATCAACAAATTTCTTACAATCAACAACAAATAATAAGTAAATAAATAAACGCGTTTTTTTTTCATGAATATAAACCTAATTATCAAATGCTCTCTACTAATGTATCTATTGACAAATGTAATCAAGATTTCTTCTTCTTCATCGTCGTCGTCTGTATACTTAAAAATATAACGATGGACAGATGTCAAACATATACTAAATCATAATGTCTAATGGCTTCTAATTATCTGTAGAAAGACTGACAAACTATCCTATATTCGTAAACCTTTTTTTATGTTAAAGATTGATACTTTAGACTTAATACATTATCCTGATTGTTTTTCTTTCTGGTATTATGATAATAAATTCTATATTTTATGAATATTAGTTATACATATTGGAAGAATAGGGACAAAAAATAAATCTCTCTCTTTTTTTTCGCTAATTAGATATTGGTGAATTGCAATTGCCCTTTATTTGGGCGTTATATTAGTGATGGCATGGATCAAGCATCATCGTTCAAATCGTCTATACGCTATGAAGTGTGCAATTCCGATGCTGACAATAATACTTCATCAATAAAACCATCAGAACAAGAATTATTATCACTTACTGATGACGAACTATGTGAAATTACGATTTCACCAACAACAATTAAAACAACATCATTATCATTATCCTCACCTAATCATCATACATCATCATTAACTCCATTAATTCCTATAACATCAAGTGGTATTCATCGAGCATCATCTACTGATTTAACAACACATCTTAAATCATTACCATCACCTTCTCCATCACAACATCAATTTGGTAGTACTCTATCAATACATTCTCTTGCTAAACAAACGAATACACAACATCGTCCATCAATAAATTCTCCATGTTCATTAAGTAGTCGTCAATCAATCTCAAGACAATCAGTATTTGGTACACTTGCAACTACATTAACAGCTGTACGAAAAACATCATCATCAGCATTAACTTTAGCACAACAACGATTATCAACTGATAATGGAAATTTATTTTCTGCTTATCAAGGTAAAATATATCGAATATAATTCATGTCGACAAAAGACTAACAACTCTTGATTAGTTATTTCCTTTTTTCTTCCCGATTAGTACATGAATGATTTAAATAATGAGCAATTCTTGTCGATTCAAAGGAATTATTTTTTTCTTATTATAATTTCAATTTTTTATTTTTTATAGGCGATTATATTCGTCAATCACGACAATTACGTAAAGCACGTAGACAAGATATAAAAGCTCGTTTTGAAAAATTTGATTTAAATCCTCCAACAACACGTCGTACACGTTTTACATTTATATTTGATCCAAGTGGTCGTTTATCTTATTATTGGACATCAATCATAAGTCTTGCATTTCTCTATAATTTTTGGATAATTATATTTCGTTTTTCATTTCATGAATTAACATCGAATAATTTTATTTTATGGTTTATATTTGATTATTCATGTGATTTTATTTATTTAATGGATATTATGTTTAATTTTCGTACAGCATATTTAGAAGAAGGTGTTATACAAACAGATCCAATTAAATTACGACATTATTATATGAATACAACAAGATTTTATATCGATTGTCTTTGTTTAATGCCATTAGATTTTCTTTATCTATCCATTGGTTTTAAATCAATTGTTCGTTGTTTTCGTTTAGTTAAAATATATCGTTTTTGGACATTTTTGGATCGAACTGAACGACATACAAACTATCCGAATTTATTTCGTACTATTGTTATGATACATTATTTATTAGCAATATTTCATTGGAATGCATGTTTAATCTATATACTACATACGCGATCAAAATTAGATATAACAACACAATTTTCATTTACATTAGATGATAGTGGTTCAAATTATTTTAAAGCTTTGTAAGTTAATTCGAATATAAAAGTCACTTTAATGATATATTTGTTTTTGAAGATATTGGTCAATAACAACCTTAACTTTAACACAAAATCAAGAGACAAAACCTGAATCAAAAGAAGATTATATCTTTTTAAGTTTTCAAATTATTTTTGCTTTATTATTATTTGCAACAATTATGGGACATGTTGCATCAATTGTAGCAAATTTAAGTAATGCAAGAAAAGATTTTCAAGGTAAAATAGATTGTGAGATTTATATATGTAAATTTTCATTTTTGTTTTTTGTTTAGCAAAATTGGATGCTGTTAAAACATATATGTCATTAAGACGTGTGCCGAATAACCTTGAAGATCGTGTTATTCGATGGTTAGTCTATTTGACTTTGTTTTAGAATAAATGTTAAAAGATACTTAAGATAATGGATGAGACATTTTTATAGATGAAAGCAAATAAACGAATAAAATCTTTCAAGATGTCTCTACTTCTCAAAATTTTTCTTGTACATAGAACGATTGACTTCATTATAAACACAATAGTTTTTTTCCGCAAGACAAAAAAAACAGAATATATTATATATATATTTAACGGTCACTTGTATTTGTATGACGACACAGATTAAGACTCAACTGATTTAATTAGTAACAGTTGTCATAGACGAATGATTAAGTTATTTAACATATATTACAAAAATACACAAGTTCTATCCCAACATTATTAGACATAGAATAATTTTAGATACGCTACACTAATGGCTATTTCTTTTCGGATAATATATACGGAGTACGTGTGATTATTATCGACGCTCTAGATTAGTATGCATTTAATAAACCTTCTATTCAATATTATAACACAATAATAATTGAGAAAAAATATCGATTCAACTAAGCTGTTTTTTGAAGAACATTCGACATTGAACAATAAAATATTCTTTATTTTCTAACCATTCACATAGATATTATAGCAATCTTAATTGATTTTCGAGTACTCATAAAAGAAATTCTTCTAGTGGATAACATTTGTTCAAGTTCATATTTTACTTATAATATGTCGAACGATACTAGTCGTTATTAATTAAAGAATTTTCTTTTAGGTTTGATTATTTATGGATGAGTCATAAATCTGTTGATGATAATCATGTTCTATCATTATTACCATATAAACTTCGTGCTGAAATAGCAATACATGTTCATTTAGATACATTAAAACGAGTAACTTAATTTTTTGTCTTTGAAAATTTTCAATTCAATAAGTTTTTTTTAATTTAGGTTGAAATATTTCAGAATACAGAAGCTGGATTTTTAAATGAATTAGTTTTACGTCTTAAACCTGTTCTTTTTTCTCCTGATGATTTTATTTGTCGTAAAGGTGAAGTTGGAAAAGAAATGTATATTGTTAATCGAGGAAAATTACATGTTATGGCTGATAATAATAAAACAGTTTTAGCAACATTAAAAGCCGGTAGAAAAACAAATTTTTTCTATGAAAAAAAAAGTATTTTATTTTCTTTTAAGGTTCATATTTTGGAGAAATAAGTATATTAAATATGGGTAGTGGAAATCGACGAACAGCATCAGTACGATCAGTTGGTTATTCAGATTTATTTTGTCTTTCGAAGGAAGATCTTTGGGAAGTATTAAAAGAATATCCAGCTGTACGTGTTAAACTTGAATCGATTGCTGTGAAACGTCTTGAAAAACATAAAAAGCCATTAATACAACTAAGTAAATGAGAGCAAAAATCAATGAAATTTCTTTTTCTACAGATAATTTTTATTTAGTTAATCTAAAACGAAGTAAAAGTTCACCAGGCTTAATCGAAGCAAGTTGTCGTATACCATTCTATGCATCTTTTCGACGATTAAACAGTGACACACAACGACTTTCATCAATTAAAGAATCCGATGTCAAAACCAGTATGCAATTGAATTCATCAAATCCTTTACTGATCACAGCACCATTAGCATCATCAATAAGTGTAACATCATCATTAAATTCTGGTTCAGTATTATTAAATGACATTGAATATTTAAAAAAACGTCTTATTGAACTTGAACAAGAAAATTATTCATTAAATCCAATACTTAAACAACGCTATATTGAAATTGAAAATCATTTGAAAATCCTTCAAAGTAAACAAAATGAAAAATAACTTTTATCTTACAACAATTATTTCTCCTTTCTTTTCTTTTTTTTTTATATGCATAATTTTTCTTTTTGATGATCGTCAGATCGCCTAGAATTTTATTTAGAAAAAAAAAACACAACTATGACTTGTATAAATGACAAAGTCAAAAGGAAAAGAAAACAATATATATATATATTATATAAAATTTTTACAATAACAACAAGGTTGAGAATTTATTCGAGATGATGAACGTGATGATGCTAAAGCTACCTAAATAGTTAAATAAATATTTTACAGTAGAGATAAATTAAAATCTATACTGTTATTTTTCGTCCATCGGCAATGGAACCATTTTTTACACGAATAGCATTCATACCATCACCTAAAATCAAGGTTAAGCTTTCCTAATGTTCGACAAGGATGAATATGTTTTTCTTGGTAGAAAAATAATTAATAATAAATTTTACACATACTGTGAAAAACAGCAGTTCATTTGAAATATTCAGAAAATTGTGCTTTTTTAATTGAACTGGATTTCTATAAATGGAATCATACACAGGAAGTCAATAGCCCATTGAGAAAATATTTCTCTATCGATATAAAATTCATAGTTTTGCACTGATGACAAGTATACTATAGAATTATTGGATTTTACAAGAACTCTTACTTAATTATTTTCCTTATTCTTCGATCATACTCAATAAATAGTGTAAAATATTTAATATTTACTACACCTTTAGCTTATTGATATAGGATTATATTAATTAAATTTGAAATGATTCTCTCATAGGCCAAAGACTGTAATATGACTTACTATGACGTAAAAAAGTAATAAATCCAAAACCCTTGATAAATAAAAAATTAATTACTTCTATCATAATAAAATATTGAATCTTACTTTTGAACCACGTTCATTCGAAACTATTTCTGGATCTTTTACTGGACCAAATACCTATGAGAAAAATATTAAACTTAGGAAAATAATTCGAAATATTTACTCATACCAAAAATTGTTTTCGTAAATCATCAATAGTCCATAAAAATGGAATATTTCCAATATGAACACGTAACGGTTGTTCTTCTTCATGAAACTATAAATAAAAATATAAAAAAGACACAACAATTCAAATATATATTTACTTGATCATAAGATGTCATAGATAAATGTTGATTTTTTGTTGATAATGAATTTGAATGATTCTAAATAAAATAATTAATATATATACAAAAAAACAATTTATTCACTGGATTATAGGATACATGTTGATTAATATTTCCATTTGATGTTGTTATTTCCGTGCACAAAATTTGTTCATCTAATTGATGCGGATAGAGATGCATAGCAATAAGCTAAATTTAAATAAACAAATATCTCTAATTAAAAAATTCTTCCCACAAAATATTATAATTACATGTCGATTCATTGTTATTCGTCGTACTCTTCTCTTACCCAACGAATAGATCTGCTCACTTTTGTTGCCAGTGATATACGAAAGCAAACACGTGTTTATATATATATACATTTTCCGGGGGATTGTACAGAAAAGGAAAATATAAGAATTTCGAAATAATGAATCATTCGTTAAAATTAAAAAACGTCATTTTATCATTAGTCATGCAAATAGAATAAAATTAAGAGATGTATGCACTTCATGGCATTCAAAGTAGTATTTGTTCTATTCCGAACATTAATATAAGTTCTTTCCTGACATATTCAAGATATTATTTTCATGTAGTGTATTAATTCTATTTTTAACTGAACATGTTAAAGATGTGTCTTATTATACTAAATCATCTTATCCTACATGCTTAGTAAGATCTCGTTGTTTCGAAGTTTCTAATTTTAGTAATATAGTTTTTATCTTTTGACATAAACCTGCTCTGCAAGTATATACTCTTTCCTGCTTAATAATTACTTGTCATTCTACTCACACTTGATGCAACTAAGCATATTTTTATTGTCACGCACATTGTCTACTCTTACTATTTAATGGAAGAGAAAAAAGAGAAAAAAAAGCATTTATATTTCTTTTGAAATTACGGTGTCAATAGTCACGTAGATATTTACAATATGGCTGAGAATGCAGATCAATTGAATAATTTCCGTACATGGGTACAGGAACAACAACCAATACTTAATTCATTAAATACAGATGAATTTTTATTACGTTTTCTACGTGTTACGAATTTTAATTTAAATCATGCGAAAGAATGGTTAATTTATTTTTGGAAACATCGTACAGAAAATCCTCAATGGTTTGTCTTATTTGTATTTTTGAATAAAATTCATTAATTAATCGTTTTTTTTGTTAGGTTTTTTAATCGTGATCTTTTAAAAAATCCAATCATGCTTGAAATATCAGAACTTGCATATTGTATTCAATTACCAAAAGAAACAAAAGATAATCATCTTATATTTATTATGCGTATTGGACAATACGATACAACAAAATATACATTTAATGATGTAACAAAATATGCTTTTGCTGTAACAGATATTCTTAATAAGCAACCAAGTGCTCAAATAAATGGTTATATTATAATATTAGATTTTTCAAATATTAAATTTCAACATGTTAATCAATTTACACCGGATTATACACGTCGTTATGTTAATTGTTGGGAAAAAATGTATCCAGTAAAATTACATCAGGTACATTTTTATAATTATCCAAGTTTATTTGATCCAATTTTACATTTATTTCGAATGTTTCTTAATACAAAATTAAATGATAAAATTTATTTACATTCAAAAGCATTGGAGAAATCATTACATCAATATATTGATCCCGATTTATTACCACAAGAATATGGTGGTCAATTAGGTTCAATTGAAGGAAATTTGAATAAAACATTTATTCAATATACTAGAGAAGATAATAATTATATGATTCAATTTGATCAGTATGGTGTTGATCTTGATCGAGTATCAAATATATTAAAAGCATTAAAAAAAGAAAATAATAATTAATAATTTATCATCATGAGTTATATTTATGTTGTTTTAGTTATATCAGCAATAAATAATAATTAAGCATATATTTTAAACGGAAATAATTTATCTAGTTATGATAACTTAGTGATGGTTTACGATTAGGATGTCATATCTTTCTTATACGAAGGAATATTTTGAGATGATAAAAAGATTTCGAACTCGGAAGACTTTTAAAAGAAAATAGTAAATCGATCATCACGCCATCCTCAAGTAATAAGAGAATGAATCAACTTAAGGTATTTTACCACTTACTAAAATCTACAAGAAAAAAAGTATTCAGAGTTTAAAGACTTTTATCTCATTTCAAAGGTTCCCTCGTTAGAAATTCAAATATTGTCTTATGGTAAAACAACGCCTAATTCAAAAGAAATAGATAATAAAAAGATGAAATTTATTATTTTATGAAGAATGACACAAACAGATGAAAATGTGAATCATGATTTATTCTCATAAAAAAATAATCTATATGAATAAATTTTATATGTAACTTTTCAGTTCGATTGCCATCGATTTATTGATACTATTCGAATAAAAAAATCTTTTTATAGAACAATGTGGACAACGAAATATACTCTATTTTTATACAATTAATTCAGTATAAATATGAAACATTGATAAATAAATAACTATATTTAGTGTTACTTTTAAAATTAATGATTTAATTGAATGCTGACGCTGAATAATATTCAAAATATACATTTCAAGTAAATATATAATTCTTATTCTAGATGTAGACTTTGCTACAGCTTGTAAATAGACGACAATTGAGGAGAATTAATATGCAGACATTTTTTACACACGAATTAGTCAATTAAATTCCTGCAGCCATGCATGCTAGCAACTATTTACATTCCGTTCTTGATATTACTGTGCAGTTATCATATATAGCTTAAACGAATAAAGCATAATATTTCTTAAATGAAGTGTGCTGTCTTTTGCCATCCATTGGGAAGGAAATATAGACAAGAAGTTTTAAAAGGGGTAAGAACCGAATTTGTTAGCAATCATCCATTGTTTTCATCTTTTTTTTTTACAAATCTCGAAAGAGTTTTGTTACAGATGTGTATCACGTATAGTACATATGATATTATTTTTCGATTGAAAGAGTATTGCCTGTACGGGAATATAGCTAGTGAGGAAATAAAGACAATAACAGAAACTTTTAAAACATGATATATACATTCCAGATATTATAAATCGCAAGGTAATGATACATTCAATTTGCTTTTCAAACTATGAAGTTCAAATGGAATTCATCTATCCTTAAAGTTTTCATGTGATAGATTTTTTTTTCGTTTAAAAATGTTAGTAAAAAAATTTAAAAAAATATACGAGCAGAAAAAATTAAGTTCAGAAATTTTTAGTACGAGTCTTATAATATTTAGCAAGCATTCTTCGACAAATAAATAATTAATGCCACACAAATAAAACATATTTCAAAGTATGATTGACAACTATATCGACTGCCTTTACTTCTTACACCAGCCCTTGTAGTTGCAGTCGTTGTCAAAATTGATGTTGTATTTGCTCTCATGGTTGTTGTTCCGGTAGTATTAGTTGTACCCATAGTTGTTGCTGTGGTAGTATTAGTTGTTATTCTGGTGGTATTCGTTGTACCTACAGTTGTTGCTGTGGTAGTGTTAGTTGTTATACCGGTAGTATTAGTTGTAGTAACACTACTAGTTGCTGCTGTTGTTGTATTTGTAGTATTTGGTGTTGGAATACAACCATAGTATCGTTGAATTTCAATAATATCAACTGGACTTAACTGAACACGTTGTCCAATAAATGCACTACTATTCATTGTTGGAATAATAGTAGGTGCACTAGCATTCGTTGCAAATGCATTCCATTCATAATGCATTACTGACCCATAATCATAAGATGTCATCAGAGTATCGGCTTGTGAATCACTGTATTTCACAAAATTATTTGTATAAGCTATGATTGAGAAAAGCAAGTGAGATTTTTATTTGAAAATCAAGATAAAAAACTGACCTGAATCAATATTTGCCCACTGAATAGACACATATGAGTCTCGATCAGGTCGAGATTGTTCATGATACATTCCTGTTTACATAAGAAGAAAAGTTGTATTTTATTAATATAGTGTAATATTTAGTATACCTAACACATGAGTTAATTCGTGTTGAACGATACCTGATACCATACAAGTAGAATACCATCCATCGAACAATGAAACAGGACGAACACCACTATAGCTACCCCACGATCCAACCTAGTCAAATATAGAACATTTATTTTACTGATACACATATTCATATCGTACTTACTGGAGAAGAACAACCAGAACCATTCAATATTGTAATGAAGTATGGATCAGATGCATTTTTGGGTCGAAATTTGATGCATTGTGTATTATTAACCATTGTAAGATTTTCCATTGCTCGCATCTGTGCTACGATGAAAAGTGTATTGCTTGCAGCTAGAAAATATGAATCTGTACTGATATTTATGTACATATATAAATTCTACAAACAAATGTTTGAAGCAAATTCATAAGGTACTATACCACCAGGCCATTGATTGGTAGCTGCTGGTTTTATTGCAACACCACGCTATATTTTTCAATAGTTACTCTACATATTTCATTTTATTTTTTCAGAAACTTACTGCACTAGCAGATTTCGAATCCGGATGAGGCACCATATCACCTTCTTGTAATCCATCTGAAAAACACACAGTTATTATTTAGAAACATATCTATTAGATTTGTACTTACAATTATATTCAGGACTACCAATAAAACCACTTTTTGAAGTACCATCAGACTATATTTGTAGGGTGTGTGAATTGATATATGTATATAATCTACAAATGACTTACTTGTGCAAGAGATACACATTGAAAGTTTATAGCAAGACCCAGAAGAGTTATAATAAAATATTTGAATGAATGCATGATAATTAGGATATTGTTGTAAAGCTTGAATTGTTACTACTTCTTTCTGCTTTCTGAAGCGATTGCAATATTTCATTGAGTATACAATAGAATTTATAGGACTCATTTTTGATTCTCTCGGTTTGTTTATCGTCACGAAACAAATAAAGTTTTGCGTTGGTATGAATAATTGGTTTTATTTATTTTAGATGATGCCATTTCTTTTACGTATTAGGAAGTACTCCAGATCAACCTTGTATAAATATTTTTGTTCCCCGATGAAAAGTAAAGAAAGTTTACTGATTTTTAAATAGAATCGAAAGATTTTTTTATACACAAACAAACCTGACTTTTCAGTTACTTAGGTACACATACAAAAGATTTTAAATGATAAAATAACAGTCTAGATACATATTTTTCATAACTTGTTCAAATCTATGAGCTTTGAAATAGAATCATCTCTATTTGTGCAAAATATCATACACAAAAGAAAAACTTATATCGACTGTATATATTCTGAATTCATGTGTCATAAATATTGACGAAAACAATAGTTTTTTAATGTTGTATTTGCTACCAAGGTTTATTTCTGTTACGAGAAAAATCTATTAGGCCGAAAAAACTTCAGTATTTTTTGCTCAATTAATTGTTTACATTAGAACTTGTTGGTAAAAAACTTTATTTTATAAGAAGACTTTTAACTCTCATGCAATAATGTTTTCGTAATATTTCAATGTCTTCTACATGCAGAAGTGCTTTTGATTTTGATAAATTTTGTTTTTTTTTCATGATAAAAACTTCAACAAATACTCAATGTTTTTTCATTCGACTGCATCTGTGATTTGTTTGAATAACAACCAAGAGCAATATTTTTCTCGGTAAATTTGACTGCATACCATTAGTTCATTTTTTTTGTTCTGTTGCATGCAATGAATAGATTAATGTAGTCAAACGTTAGTATCTTAAAAGCTATTTTCATAATGATATATCTCTGAAATTTATAGTGAATAAAATACATCAGAATATTTATCAATCAAATCAAATATGAAATTTTAATTCATAGAAAATCAGTAGACAATAGGATAAATATTTTTATTTTTGTTTCAGGCGTCACAAAAACAAATAAGTATCTATGGTACAATAATTTACTTTGTTTCTACTTATCCCATAGATGAACTACAATCAGATTCATATAACCTATATGTCCTACACATACCTAATATTAAAGTATAAAATGCAAATAGAAATACATTATGAAGGATGATTGTTTTGGTGAATAATATATTCATTCATATATGCGCATATATTTGTTATGTTGTGATTATATATTTCAGCAGTTGTTTTTCTTAGACGTATGAAGTGTATGAAAGAAATCGAAGCGTGATTGAATTTCGATCATTTAATTATTTTTATTTATCTAAGAATATGGTAAATAAATTGCATGAAATTATTAGATATATGACGTATATTCAGTGAATACAAGGTCACAACTGTTTCAACCAGTAAAATTGTCAATGGATTAAATGATTGAATTATTGATTCATGCAATAATATCTATGTACCTAAGAAAAAAAACACGCAAAACAAAATTTTCTTGTCTTTTTATGAATATTAAAAAGGGGGCGAGAAAATGTTTACAATGCAAAAATGAATTCTTATGAAGTATAATATTATTTAATCAATTATTCTTTCGTCTAGAAAAAGTATTTGTAACGCTCCACTTATGACTGGGATTTAAAGGAATATGCATATTGTTTGATTTCTCCGACTTTTTTAATAGTAAACAAAAGTAGTCGATAATCAGAAAGAATTTTGCGACGAAAAATAATTTTAATGATCAGTAGTTCATTTCAATCTAGAGATGTACCGAGATTGAACTTCTCGGTCTTGATTTAATCTCGGGGCTGAGAGAGACTATCTGTGTGTCTGTCACGTTTTTACTTTGCATTCTTTAATTACTTTTGTACATTTTCGTTTATAATTTGATCTTTTAAAGAATATTCTAGAAACTTCGCCATGTCAAAATCGAAGATCTGTTAACTAAAGAAATTCAACAAAAAGTGCAATGCTAGGAGAAACGAAAAAACCGAAATCTAGAAAACCCAGCCCGAGAGTCTCGTTACATCCCTATTTCAACTAGAAATAAAAATAAAATAAATGATAAATATATATTCGATAATACTTTAATCATCTCGTTGAAAAACGTTTTATAGATATAAAACTATTACTGAATAATATTTTTATAAAGCCATACAACATACAGTTTATTCAGCGAATTATCAAAAATAGTTCAACGTTGAATTAAAATTGTATGATTTGAATAGTAATGTTAAAAAATCATAATAATTCGCCGAAATGTTTCTTTTCGAATGTAAATGTGTTTTTACTTCAACAAGTGTTAATAAATAAAATATAAAAAACATTATGTGTGAAACCTTTATAAAAATTTTGATTGAATTTAAAATACGACATAGTAAAAAAAAGAAATTATATTTATTTCAATTGATGAGAACTATTTCGAACGTTGATTATATATTAAATTACAATGTCATATCATAAAAGAAATATGTCGATCACCTGAATTGTATTAGAGATAATTACTTGAAAATTTTTGATGAACTTCGAGAATGCTTCGTTATTATTCGTGCCAACAACAAATAATATTAAAGTATATTGTGATTATTATTTTAGTGTTTGAATTCGAATTAATTATCTAATTCTATCATATTGCTTTAAGTATGACAGAATCTATGTCATCGATGACCTTTATTACGAAATTCAATAAGTTGAGAAACATGTGCTTTAGTTTATCGATATATTTTATGTTTCTGAAAAAAAAACAATGCAACGGTTGATGTCGTTTTGTTTAATTCCGATTCCTCGAGTATATGGTACATAACATTGAAAATAATCGAGTAATGGGATAATAATGTCTTTCTTTCCTCTGAACAGGTGTTATATTATATGACTACTGTCGGCGAAGTAGAAAAAAAAAATAAAACTACATGCATTTTAAACGATAAAGTCAACCAAAAGAAATATATTTTATCAAAATGTTAAGTCCGCAGTATAATAAATCGGGCATTAATTCATTTTCATGCCGAATCAATACTTTTTTTTATTAGAAATGTTATCGTAAGCAGATAAATAATTATGAGAACAAATCAAAAATTATATTTTACATATGTTCCCATCAATAAAATAGTGTTAGATGAACATTATTTTGTTAAATAAATAACTATTATTGAGCAGATAAAATGTATTTCAAAGTATGATGGAAAAACACTTGGAGCTCCTATGCTAGTTACGCCCGCTTCTTCAGTTGTCGTCGCTACAAGATCTAATGGGATAGATATTGGCATACTTATTGTTTCTGTGCTAGAAATAGTTATTCTGGCAGTATTAATTGTACTGGCAGTTGCTGTTTGAGTGGTGCTAATCGTAGCTACGGTTGTTATTTGAGTAGTGCTACTTGTAGTCACGGTTGTTATTACAGTAGTGCTAGTTTTAGTTACGGTTGCTGTTCTGGTAGTATTAATTGTAAGAGTACTAGTAGTTGTTATTGTATTTGTGGTATATGGTGTTGGAATACAACCATAGTATCGTTGAATTTCAATAATATCAACTGGACTTAATTGAACACGTTGTCCAAGAACTGCACTACTGTTCATTGTTGGAATAATAGTAGGTGCACTAGCATTGATTGCAAATGCATTCCATCCATAATGCATCACTGATGCATAATCATAAGATGTCATCAGAGTATTAACTTCTGAAGCATTGTATTTTACAAAATCCTGTATATTAGCTACGATTGAGAAAAGCAAGTGAGATTTTTATTTGAAAATCATGATGAAAAAGTTACCTGGATCAATATTTGCCCACTGAATAGAAACATATGAGTCTCGATCAGGTCGTGATTGTTCATGATGCATTCCTGTGTACATAAAAAGAAACGTAAAATTTTATTAACGTAGTATGATATATATTATACCTAAGACATGACTTAATTCGTGTTGAACGATACCTGATACCATACAAGTGTCATGCAATCCATGTAATAATGAAACAGGACGTACAACATTACGGGTACCCCACGATCCAACCTAGTCAAACGAATAAGAGTTGTTTTACTGATACACATATCTATATCGTACTTACTGGAGCTGAGCAACCAGAACCATTCAATATTGTAATGAAGTATAGATCGGATGCATTTTTGGGTCGAAATTTGATGCATTGTGTATTGTTAACCATTGTAAGATTTTCCATTGCTCGCATCTGTACTTCGATGAAAAGTGCATCGTTTGTAGCTAGAAAATATGAATCTGTATTGCTATTTATGTACATATATAAATTGTACGAACAAATGTTTGAAGCAAATTCATAAGGTACTATACCACCAGGCCATTGATTGGTAGCTGCTGGTTCTATTACAAGACCACGCTATATTTTTCAATAGTTACTCTACATATTTCATTTTATTTTTTCAGAAACTTACTGCACTAACAGAGTTTGAATCCGGCGGAGGAACCATATCACCTTCTTGTAATCCATCTGAAAAACACACAGTTATTATTTACAAACATATCTATTAGATTTGTACTTACAATTATATTCAGGACTACCAATAAAACCACTTTTTGAAGTAGCATTAGACTATATTTATAATGTCTATGAATTAATATATATGTATATAATCTACAAATGACTTACTTGTGAAATAGGGGCACATTGAATGTAGATAACAAGACTCAGAAGAGTTACAATAAAATATTTGAATGAATGCATGATAATAAGGATATTGTTGTAATAAAGTTTGACTTGGTGCTACTTCTTTGTACTTTCTAAAGTAATTGTGATATTTCATTGAGTATGCAAAAAGAATTTATATAAGTTACTTTCCGCTGTGTCATAGTTCTATCTTTATTAGAAAACAAGGAAAATACTAATTTTAAAGACTAAACTATTTTCATTTTCTTTCCAGTATGATTAACAGTGTTGAAAAAATCTGCAATTACTCTCGAAAAAAATATTCTCATTTTTTGTTAGAAGAAAAAAGGCAAATATTTTACTTCTTATATCCAAGTGCTTTTATAATTAATTGCAAATTTTTATTCAAACAAGTAATGATTTGCTTGAAAGATTTTAAATTATAAAAACATATAGTTATTAATATTTCTTCTCAAAAATAAGATGTTAAAACAAACATGTATGATGCTGGATGTATCGATATTATAATGAATACTGATATAAGAATTGTTTTTAATAGGATACGGAAGATTTATCTCTATTACAAATATATGTAATTAAAAGGAAAGAGAAAGTTCAATACTATTCGTACAATGGCCGATATGGTTTAGATCAGGATATTTCGCTTTGCCAGTCAAAACGATTAAGTATCACATATAAATGCATTTTGTGAACAGAGAATAACAAACAGATGAATTTTCAAAAACGATGTTTATATATCATAAAAGTTAATTTCAGTATTGCAATATTATTCATAGAAATTTATGGAAAGAGCAGTAAAAGTGCAATCGAACAAAGTAATATATATTTACTACGTATTTCATAGAAATAAATATATCTACATCTGGTTTCCTACTAAATAATTTAAACGTTTTTTTTTCATATATATGACAAAATATGTGCAACAATAGAAACTGACGTCTAATTTATTTTTTGTGATATTCAACATCCATTCATAATTACATTGCGAAAAAATCATGTGTGATTACTGAAATAGGTAATGAAGCATGATTTTTGTTATTATCATGAATGTAAATAAATGACTCATAGTAGAAGTTTTGAGCGCAAGTTTGAATTTGGGTTTTTGGCTGATTGTCGTACTGTAACCAATAGAAACTGTATTTTTTCCATGCGAAAAACATTTTTTCAAAATTCCAATTATTAAGTTTTACTACCAACAAATTTCACTCGTAAGAAAGTATCCATCTTGATGACTTTTATGCTGCAAGTAACTTAGCAGCTGTGTTATTGAATATATACAATACGAACGTATAAATTAATAATCACATCGGTTTCTTTAGTTATTGTTAATACAATCTAATGAATTACGAACAGTAGATGTGACCTAGTGATCGTTCAATTTTTGCTGCTTGTCTTTTATTCAAAGGTATTCGAAATAGTATGAGATAAATTTCAACAGTGTGTTTATGATATAGATTTTTATTTAGTGTGCATAGTTGTATCTTCTTCTCTACTTATACATATTACTTAGAAATCATTTCTTATCTATCGATATTAGGTGTCAGGCATTGAGTTTGCTACACATCAAGGTATTTGTAGAAGCCTTCTAATGCATTGGGGGCCTTATGCGTTCTGTGTAGTTAATATTCGAATAATACTTTCACTCAGATAATGTCCTTATGTACAACGAATAACTGTAATGAAGGTTGATCTTAATATGACTTTTTCAATCGCAACAGTTATTTCTCTTCCATCGAATAACACGCTTCAGATGAGAATACCAGTTCGAACTCCTACCTGTTGAACACATGGCTACAAGTCGTGGAACTTCTGTACTGTCCACAATCTTATTCATACCACCACTATGTAAGTCATTCTTTTTCTGATCGATGTGTTACTGGTACAGGCCTTGTTCACCGAGAAAGTGCTTCTGACAATGATGGTACGCGATGCGTATGTCAATCATCGTATTCTCCCTTCTGGTTTAATCTAAGAAATGTTAATTTTTAGTAACTTAAAAGAATTCTTTGTAGCTTAAAAATATATAAATTAAATGCTCTGAATATCATTTATTTGATGTCTGACAATTTTCTTAAGTTTATTAACATATAAGATTCTATTCAATCAAAATGTTAGATATAATTCTGAATAAAATATTAAAACTATAAATTTTAGTTATTTAATGCATAAAACAAGAACAACGTTCTAAACGAACTATAATCTCTTCAAAATCACGTGATTGCATTTCATTATATGATTCTATTTCTTCTTTATTAATCTTCTTTAATTCATATACCCAATTTACATATCGTCGAAGTTCTTTCTTTGATATATGTGGATCAATCATTTGTACAGCTCGTTTAAATTGTTTAATTGATACTAATCTTAAAAAATATCATTAATTTTCTTTCCAGTAAAACAAAAAGACGAAACTTACGGATAACCAATAAGTAAATTTTTTATTTTTTCAATATATTCATTTTTATCTAATTGTAATTGTTGACGAATAGTCATTAGAAATTCTCCAATATGACCTTCGTCATCTTCCATAAATAATAAGAAAACTCTTAAATCATTTTTTTCTATAGATGATTGTTGAGTATCTCTTTCAGCAGAACGAATTAATAATGATATACGTTCATTTGTCCAATGTGAATAAAGTTCATGAAGTGCATTAATAAAATCTGACCATTGTATTGTCTATAATAAGTTAAAAATCGATTTAAATGAAATATTTTAATTATAAAAGAGATCTATACATACAGATTGTGATGAATAATTCGAAGATAATTTAATAAAATATTGAAGAATACGAGCAAATTCTTTCATTTCATCATGATAAACATTTTCTTCTACTTGTCCAATTAATATTTGCCAAAATAAATTTATCTCATAATTATTTCGATAACGATTACATGCATCTTGCATATTATAACTAACTTCAATAGCGATTTCTTTATTAGTAAAACGTTTCGTTAGATAATCAAATACATAATCAGTTAATTTTATATTTGATTTTATTTCCAACTAAATAGAAAATTATTCAATTCTTTACTTAAAAATTAAATATACTTTTTGTTCATCAGATAATTTTTTTGACCAAATTTCTTTTATAAGTAAACCAGTTATTCTTCGACGCATATGTCGATTTTTAGTTAACTTCACGTCCGTATGTGGATTTATAGATATTTGATTGAAAAAAATATTTTTCGAATTCATTTCCTAAGTATATAAATTATTTAATAACTCTCTCATAAAACTTTGATAAATACATTTTTATTATTTATAATCATAGGTAAATATTCTTCTGTATTTTCTTGAGTAATTTCATTAATTAAAACATCAACTAATTGTTCACTTGTTTTTCCAATTGATAGATTTTGCCAATATGTTACAATATGAGAACATTTATCCCAATCTGGTCTGAATAGAAATTTGTCTATGTATATGTTACAGGGGAAATTAAAATCTAGGGCAGTTTAAAATTCCCCTAAGGGAAAATTGAAATAATTCTGTTTTTTTCTACTTTTTATGAGAAATCCTTAAGATTTTAACTTATACGATCTTGACAGTGAGAATGAACGCGTAGGTCAAGATGAAGGTCAGACGATCGCCTACACCCTCATGCTGGTTTTTACCCTTAACAACACTCTTGCTTTCGTTCGTAAGATTGTGAAGTTAAAATCTTAGGAATTTCTCATAAAATGTAGGAAAAAACAGAACAGTTTTAATTTCACCAGTAACATATATATTAAAATTCTTTTACCGTGGCGTAAGAATATTTTTAGCATATTGCCATTGAGAATAATAATCATTTCGTTCGACAAGAATATCAGTTGTTTGTCGAATTAAAATTCTATTGTTAAAATTTGAGTTTAGTAACGAAAAAAAGAACATTGCTCACTTGCAATTATCAATTAAATCTTCAAAATTATTTTTTAATAAATTATTTTCACTTTTCAATATATCACATTCAATTTTTAATTTATCATAATCTTCTCGTAATTCAACTTTACCATCTATATACAGAAAAAAATTATTTTCTTTCAAGTACAAAATTCACATACAAGCAAATTCTGTATTTAGTAAAGTTTTAATTGCAATAAGAAGTTGTTTACGACATTCACTAAAGTTATTAAAAAAATAGAAACAAATGTCATGTTTCTTTGCATTAGTAAATTGTTTTTTGCATTCCAGGACACTGAAGAATACTCTCTCGATTAGAAACAAATTTCGCCGAGTTTCTTCTCTTATATTGTGAATAAGCTGTTCTTTCAAATTGAAAAATATTCGATATATCCTCTTTACTGTATTCAGCAAATTTTACTAAACCCCATCCCCATAATAAAGTGACCGGGCTCTTGAATTATGGTTTCGGGACTTGCACTTTTTTTTGTGGCAAAATCGGCCTACCCCCTAGATCGGTTTTTGCTCCGGGGGGGGGGGGATTACTTTGCATGATCAATAATCACAGACATCTATTTTTGACTATTTCAAAGGGTTTTTTTACATGTGTATACAATGTTGATAAACTATTTATAATAAAATCTATAAATTAATATGAAGACTTCTCTTTAAAAGTCAACATTCAACGTTTCGAAAAATATACTTGTTCATATATACACTTACAAAAGTGTATAACGAAGTGTAATAATATCTATTTCATCTTCATTCGTAGAATTATACAATTCTTCATCATAAAAATATTTTGATAACAAATTTTCTTCGCTGTTACTTGTCTTTTCTTTCATAGTGTAAATAAAATTTCTAAATTAGAAAAAGACACACACCATCTGGTAAAGATGTCGTTGTATAAAAATCCTTTGAAAATTTTCGTTTAGAATTTAAATCTGTTAATTCATTTCAAATATTTCATTTCTTTATTAAGTTAAAGTTTCCTATCTAATGTCCCATCGATATTATTCCTACTCCACACGTTGCTTTCTGATAGGTTCATGAAATTCTATTACATCCAATCATTCAGACACACCCTATGCTCCGTTGTTTGCTTCGCTTTTATATAAGAAAAAGTAGAAAAAAAAAGAACTATTCATTTATTTCTATTCTTTTAGCATCATGATTCGTTTACCTTGTTCATTACTTTTACTCGCTTCATTTGCTTTTGTATATTCAACAGATCATTTTGTTGAAAAATTTGAAGGTAAATATCGCATTATTCGTATCCAATAAATAACTAAATCTTCTTTTTAATAGATGAAAGTTATAAAAAACGTTGGGTTCAATCAACCGCAAATTCTGACTTAGGTGAATTTAAATTATCTCATGGTAAATTTTATGGTGATGCTAAAAAAGATCTTGGTAAGTTTATTTAATTAATCTTATTATAAATCAATACGTGGTGTCTCTCTCTCTCTCTTAAGGTCTTCAAACATCTCAAGATGCTCGTTTTTATGGTATGTCTGCTAAATTTGATGAATTTTCAAATGAAGGAAAACCACTTGTAATTCAATTTTCCGTTAAACATGAACAACAAATTGATTGTGGTGGTGGTTATGTTAAAGTTTATCCATCAGGTACTGATCAAAAAGGTCTTAACGGTGATTCTCCATACCACATTATGTTTGGTAAATATAATTAAATACTTTTATTAGTTTTTTTTTATTTTTCTTTGCTTTTCTTCAGGTCCTGATATTTGTGGTCATGATAAAAAGAAAGTTCATGTTATTTTTACCTATAAAGGAAAAAATTTATTAATTAAAAAAGATATTGCATGTAAAGATGATCAATTCACACATCTTTATACATTAATTCTCAACCCAGATAATACATATGAAGTTCGTATTGATAATGAAAAAGTTCAAGATGGCAAACTTGAAGAAGATTGGGATTTCACCGTTCCAAAACGTATTCCAGATCCAAATGCTAAAAAACCATCAGATTGGGTTGATGAAGCACAAATGGCCGATCCAAGTGATACAAAACCAGCAGGTAAAATTTAATAAAAAAAAAAAAGAACTTTAAAATTATCATTTATTTTATTTAGATTGGGAAAAACCAGAACATATTCCAGATCCAGAAGCTAAAAAACCAGAAGATTGGGATGATGAAATCGATGGAGCATGGGAACCACCATCAATTGATAATTCTGAATATAAAGGTGTTTGGAAAGCTCGTCAAATTGATAATCCAGCATATAAAGGTGAATGGGTTCATCCAGAAATCGATAATCCTGAATATGAAGAAGATGAAAATCTTTATTTATATAAAGATTTTGGTGTAATTGGTTTTGATTTATGGCAAGTTAAATCAGGCACCATCTTTGATAATGTTCTTATCACAGATAGTGTTTCACGTGCTGAAGAATTCGCTAAAGAAACATGGGGAAAAACAAAAGATGCTGAAAAGAAAATGAAAGATAGTTTAGATGAAGCTGAACGTAAAACAATGGAAGAACAAAGAAAAAAACAAGAAGCTGGTTAGTTTATTTAATTATTAATATAAGAGAAGTCTAATTTATTTTTTTGTTTTATAGAAGACCACTCAAGAAAACCATCTGCTGATGATGATGAAGATGCAGATACAGATGATATTAAGAAGACTCATGTAAATGACGATGAATTATAAACTGATCAAATAAATACATTTCCAGTCAGTTCTTATGACTTAGTTTTAATCCGATTCTTTTTCTTATTTGTTTTGTCTCTTTTCATTTCATTCTTTTGTTATTGCTGCGCCAATATGAACATCATTTTGCTTGTTGTGTTGAAGTTCTCTCTAGCACGCTTTTTTTCTTTCTTTCTTTCTTTCTTTTTTTTTATATGTCTCTGTTTATGGTTTAAAGTAAAAACAAAACATTGTGATCATGAATCATAATAGGTTATTACGTAATTCTAGTGTAATAAATGTCATATATAAGCATTACCTTGACGCTTAGAAGAATAGAAAGAAAAAATGGAGTGTGTAAGTAAAAATATAATGTCCGCGGAACATGAAGATGAAATATTAGTATTAAAATCGATATTTAATGACGATTTTTTATCGATCGGTAATCAAGGTGATTCATATACATTCGAGCTTATTATACGCTTTGATTCTTTATTGAATAAAATTCGTTTGATTCATGAAGAATCTAACGCATCAACTGAACTTTCTCATTTACCACCGATAGTTCTTCGCATTACTACTAAACAAACATATCCTGAAGCTAATTCACCTGTTTATTGTATTTTATGTGATTATCTAACCGATGATCAATTATTATTATTAGCAAATCAAATGGATGCTGTATGGGAATCCGGTGAAGTTATTATTTATACATGGATTGAATTAATAAAAGAGTATATATGTAATTTATCGAATGAATTTATTCTTCGTTCTGCAATATCGTCTATTGATGATCCACGAATTTTATCTAATTATGTTAAAATTAGATCTAAACGAATTTATGAACAATTAATTGAATATGATCGAATACAAAATCAACTTATATTCGAACAAACACTTCATAGTTGTCCAATATGGTGAGAAAAAACACAAATTTTTATTTGATTATTTTCTACTATCTAATTTTATAGTCTGCAAGAACAATCTGGAAAAGATTGTTTACAATTTGAAAAATGTCGTCATTATGCTTGTGTTTCATGTTTAAATTTTTATGCAAATGAATATCTATCTAATAGTCAACAAAACAAAGAATTAACTTGTTATGATTGTAATTCATCTTTATTTCTATCTGAACTTCGTCGAATGTTTTCGGATGATAAATTATTATTAAAATATCAACAACGATTATTAGAACAAACAGTTGATATGGTATGGTGTCCACGTTGTCATCATTCTATTATATGTATACCATCAGAAAGTACATCAGGAAATCATTTATCCTTTGTAGAATGTCATTCTTGTCTATATACATTCTGTCGACGTTGTCAAGAAACTTGGCATCCACAAATTCAATGTCCAAAAGAAAAATCACTTCAAGAGTTTATGAATACTCCTGCTGAGAAACAACCTCCACTAAAACCAATTGATATTCAGAAAATATCATTAGAAATTGCAAATATTCAAATGATTGAACATTGTTCAAAACCTTGTCCATCATGTGGTGTTCGAATTGAAAAAAATGGTGGTTGTCAACATATGAATTGTCGTGCATGTAAAATACATTTTTGTTGGACGTGTGGATGGTATGGAACATATTATAGTGCGCATCCATGTGAACAAAAAGCTGAAAAAGCTCAAGCTGCACTTCCATATCTTTTAAGTGACAAAATTGAAACCTTAACAAATGAGAATGATGGACAACGCATTCCAAAGGATATTATAAAACGTATACAAAAATGTCCAAAAGAAAATTGCCGTCAAATTCACCTGAAAATTGGAACAAAAAATACGCTTATTTGCGAAAAATGTGAAACTAATTTTTGTTTTTTATGTGGAGAAGCTATTTATGGAAAATTTCATTTTTCTCAATATGGTTGCAAAGAATTTAGTACGATTTAGAATAACAAAATAACATTATGTTCTATTTTTGTAGAAAAGTTAATAACTAGATTTGTTTTGAAAGTTTATTATGACAAAAATACATTTTTAATATAGTAAAAGGATATTAATGAATTAAGAAATGACGGTCTATTTACTATCGAATTTTTTGAACAAATAACTATTTTATATGAAAGGATTTTTTTCACAAATGGTTATATTTTATGATAATTATTGATTTGAATAAGTTTTAATTCGATTAATCAGTTAGTTTATTATCATATATGAGGATATCAAGGACGATGCATTTACTAAATTTATAGTTACTGCGCCACATACTAAGTGTTGTGCTTTACAAAAACGAATATTAGCCTTGTCCTAGATTATTTTTTCAAAAGAAAAATCTATACTAAACGATATCTTCCGTTTGTTTTCTTATACAAGATATGTATCGCCATATGAAAATTAAACTAAGTAATGTTGGAAAGTTAAAACAAAATTTTTCAAAGTGCATAAATGTGTAATCGTAGAGGATTGGTCATATTTTAACTGTTTATTTATTTATCTTGATCGATTTTTTTTTTCTTTTTCCTTTAAGTTTTGTTTGTTTTTTTAGGACTTCTATAGTTGCTTTTTCTTTTTTTTCGTGTGTGTTTCGTGTGTTCACAAATCTTGTTTTTTTTCCTATCTTTTTTTTTCTTCATTTTGTTCATTTTGTTTGTTTGTGTGCGTGTGTGTTTATCGTGTTTAAATGTCGTCCGATCAAGGTGTTTCATCTTCAACAAACAACAATAATACAGGTTTTCAACCCGTACGTCCTAATTCGGACAATATGGGACACGGATTTGAAAATCAAATGCATATGTTTGCTATGAAACAACAGCAACAACAACAACCGATGGCTTCACCTATAACTGGTACGATTTATTCAGGTCCACCAGCTAAATATTTAAATAATAACAGTGGGTATATGAGACCTATGTTACCACCACAAAAATATGTCACACATAATGGCTCATCAATGCAACAACAACAACAACGTCGACAAAACAACAATGGAGTTGATAATGCAACAAATGATTCAGTCAAGTAAATAGAATATTAATATATATTTTATTGAAAAAAATTAAATGAAAATTATTTAGTAAAAGAAAAGTTTTTGTTGGTGGTCTTAGTCCAGATACAAAGATGGGTAAGAAATATCTTTTATCTCATTAAGTTTTTTTACTTAAGAATTTATTTAGAACATCTTCGTGACTATTTTTCAAATTTCGGAGCTGTTGAAAGTGCAACTGTTAAATACGATAAATCAGGTCGCTCAAAGGGTTTTGGTTTCGTTCTTTTTGAAGATCCTGATACACCCAATAAAGTAAATAAATAATTGATTATAATATTAAAGTATTTATTATTCTCTCTGATGAAAGGTTTACTCTCAAGATGTGCATATAATTCAAGGCAAACGTGTAGATACTAAATCTGCACATCGTCGTGATCAAGCTTTAGCTCGAAAAGTTTTCGTTGGTGGTTTAGATACCGAAATTACTGATGCTGAATTGCGAGAATATTTCTCTCAATTTGGAAACGTAACTATTTATTTAATTTGTTTTTTTTGTGAATATTCTAAAACAAATATGAAATATATATATTAGATTGCTCAAATCGAAGCACCAATTGATAAAATAAAACAAAAACGTCGTCCATTTTGTTTTATACTTTTTGAAAATGAGCAAAGTGCAGAAGAAGTTCTTAAACAACCTCGACATACCTTAGCCGGCAAATCTATTGATTGTAAACATGCAAATCCAAAAAATTTGGAAAACAACCAACAAAATAATAATATGATGCAACAACAACCATTAGCACATTATAATATGCCTGGTTTAAATCAAAATCTATTTCAATATCAACCACGTAAATAAACTAGAAACCGATCTGTTTGATTTTCTTTTTATAAATAAAATTATCTTATATATTTAGAACAACGTTCACAACAACAATTACAATATCAACAAGTTGCACTTGCTGCTCAACAACAACATTATCCATTTTACAAGTAAAATATCTAATGAATCAATTTATTTATTTATTTATATATATTTATAGTCAACAAACAAATCAACAAGGACAAAATCGCTCACAATCAAATCGACAACAATTACAAACAAATAATCAAGCATGGTCACCATTAAGTCCTGCTCAATGGCAAAATCCAAACTATGGTAAAATAAAATCATGTATTTGTATTATCAATTAAACCGTCTTCTGATTTTAGCTGATCCACGTTCATATGGTTCATATGGACCTTCATCGGCATCTGCTTCGAATGCAACTTGGCAAGTAGGTCCTCATCCACAAGGTAATTCTTATGGTCAAGGACGATCACAATCAGGTAATTCAAGCAATACACCTGCTGCAAATTCAAATTCAGCACAATATTCCTATCCGGGATGGAATTTTAATCAAGCACAAAATTCTCAAGGTCCAGCAAATCAATATAATTATGGTGGAGATTCTTCAAATGGTCCACCAAATGCATTTGCATATCAAGCACCAACTGGTTACGATCATTTTTCGTCCGATTCGGCACCTCCACCCAATTACAATCGTCAATGAAAACAAATCAAGAGCTAACATACTGTACAGTTATGTCTTCCCTTCTTCTTCTTTTTCCTCTACTATTACGTGTGTGCGTGTTTTGCTCGTTTTTGTTATGTTTCTATCTCATATATCTGTGTGATGCAAAGATATTGTTTGAAAAAAAAACACTTTTTGTATTATTTTTTTTTTGTTTATCGAGCATCATCATTTCAGATATTTTTGACGTTCATTTTTCTTTTCTTTTGATGTCATTAAAAACAAAGATCTTGTTTGTTATTGTTATTGTTGTTTGATATTCACCGGTTTTTTGGAGATTTACTAAAACACAGTATTCTTTTTTTCTTCTTCTTCTTCTTCTTTTGCTTTTTTGTTGATCTTGTTTATGAACGAGCATATATATACACACACGTACACGCTTCTAAACACCCTTCGTTTTTCTTTTTCATCTCCTTCTGTTCTTCACAAAAGCTTTTTTTTTGCTGGATATTCGATTCGTGTAAGAACAAAGTTCGAATAAAAAAAGAAACAGATCAAAAAAAACTTAAATTTTGTTCATGTTAACATGTATTGTAAGAAAACAGATTTTGCATTATACAAGGATACGTTTTCTTTTGTTCAGTTTTGACTATGGTAATTAATCACGATAAGAAGGTCATCAGCTTTTTTGTTACGTGAAACATGCGTATACGCTTTATTCAATCCTTGACAGTTGAAGCAAAGACAGACTTACTTCTTTTTTTCTTTTAGGGCATGTAAAATTCAATGATGCAGAACAATCATTTTTTTCTCTTACATGTACTAATGATTACGATATACGGGTCTTGTTACCCCTGATATAAGTTGATCAATAACGGTGACCAAGTCAGAACTGAATTAATCAATGGGTGGAGGTAATTCTCGTCAAAAACAGCCTTCTGTTCCTATTCCGCAGATGTCACAATATGCATCACCACCACCAGTTTCATTATTACCACCAGCACGACCGATTAGTCCAGTAATGCCTTCTATGGGAGGTGCTTCAAGTCTCAGTCGAAAACAATTACGACAATATGAAGAAGCTAATCGAACTCTTCAAGAGTTACAAAATCAAATGCAACGAGGTGGTGCTAGTGGATTGGGCCCATCGTCATATGGTGGTCCATCATCATACGGTGGTCCTCCTATTTTGAACGCATCAATGCCGTATAATAATAATAATAATACACCACCATCATCTTACGGTGGTCCTTCATCATATCCACCACCAAGTCCTCTTATTCAACGATTATCTGCACCACATTCACACTATCCTCAATCACAAAGTCCATTTGGTCCTGGTGGTTATCGAGATTCCGATTATGCAGCTGTTGCTAATATAGCTGGATTGAATCCAACTGATATAGCATTACTTCATCGAGAATATTTGAATCTAACACGTGGTGGTACAAATAAAATTGATCGTGTTGTTTTTCGTCAATTATTACGTGAAGCACTTATTGAAGCAAATAATGAAAATGTTGATCGAGCTATTGAAAATATCTTTGTTAGTATTGATCGAAATCGTGATGGTTATATTGACTTTCCAGAATTTGTAGGAGCATTTAGAGATGTATTAAAATCAGGTCCAAATGATCCACCAAATTATTTAGCACAATATGGCCTTTCTGATTTAATCAATGAACAATCACGAGCACAAAATTCATATCCTAGTTATGGTTATCAATCAATAGCACAAGTTCAACAACCACAAGTTTTATCTGTTCCATCACCTCATGTTCAACAAGCACCCATGGTTTATGGTGGTTCAGCTCCATTAGTGATTTCACTTGATCCAAATCAAACACCCTATATAGTCAATACTCAAGGTCAACCTATGACGGGACAACCAACAGCTTTACAATGTGTACAATTACCTATAATGTGATTGATGAGTTATTTTGAAGAAAAAAAATATATACTTTTTTTTTCTGTAAGAAAAGACAATTATTTTATTGCAATGTTTCGTATTCTCAGGCTAACATTTTTTTTCTTCTACTTATAGATTATTGAGTGTTCATATTTCCTTTTTTTCAATTCCAATAAAAAATAAAAGATTTCAATAAAATGAATCAGTAAAAAATTAATGTTCGAATTTGTATACCTCGAAAAATAGATTTACTCAATTTGTTATTCTATATTCTTTATCTATTGTATTAACAGATATATAATTAAATATAACAAATACAGAGGAGAAGGGATAATATTGAATTAGTACTTTAATTATCTTTTTTTTCTTTAACAATTCTAATCAAATATATACATAAGATAGATTATATATTAATAATCATGTTAAATTATACTTATTTTGTTATTTATTGACTGTTGAAGAGGAGGAGAAGAAAAATAAAAGATTATCTATATATTCTTTTATTAAATCATTTAATTCATTTCATTGCAAAAAATCGACGGAAAAGTAAGATGTCAAATCAAAGATTCATCTTCGTATGTATATCCATTGGTATTATAATACAATCAATAAATGGACAAGCACCATGTCCCGTTGAAGAAGATCCAGTACAATTAGCTGAATGTGCACAATTGGATGTTCAAGCAATTATTCAAGCAGCTAAAGGAAATTTAAAATTATTTTGTAATTTAGCTGAACGATATATGGAATGTTTTAAAACCAAAACTCGAAATTGTCTTGGTGGATGGGTAAGAAATAGGTTTCTCATTAAAATAAAATATAAATTCTTATTATTCATAGGCTGCTGAAGGTGGTTTAACTGAATTACAAAATTTAGCTCAATGGTGCTGTGTTAATCCAGGTCTTCCAGAACCTGATGAATGTCCACTTCATCGTAAGTAGTTCGATATATATATATATATTTCTTTTTTAAAGTGATTATTTAAAGGTAATCCAAAATGCTTTTCCGGTGATGATTTTGTTTCAATGGCAAATGGTGAAAGAAAACTTTTAAGTGAACTTCGACCAGGTGATCGTGTACTTGTTATGAATACACAAAAACAAATTGAAGAAGATGAAATTATTATGATGCTTGATAGTCAACCAAAACGTCCAGGTTTTTTCTTTTTATAATTTCTTTTTTTTGTTTCTGATTGTTTTGTCTATTTAGCTTTATTCTATTCAATTGAAACTGAAAGTGGTCATCGTTTAAGTTTAACAGGAAATCATTTTATTGCTGTTAATCATAATGATCAATTTCTTCCAGCAAATCAAATTAAATCTCGTGATACTGTTTTTATACATTCACAAGGTAAATTACAACCAGTTATGGTTCGAAATGTTAGCGAAGAATATCGTGTTGGATATTTTACACCAATGACTAGTCATGGTAAAATCGAATTTTGTCTAATTTGGAAATGTTTTTCTGCTTTTTTCTATTTAGGAACATTAATTGTTAATGATATGGCTGCTTCATGTTATTCAAGTGTTGTTAGTCATAATTTAGCACATCAAATATTAGCACCACTTCGTTGGTGGTATCGTTTTGCCAAAGTTTTTGCTGTCGAACAACCATTTGAATATTCACCTGATGGTGGTATTCATTGGTTACCAAAAGCAATGTTACAAATAACAGAAAAATATTTACCAAATGTGTTAACAACACAAAGTCTTTAATTAATTAATAATTATACATCGTTTTTTCTTTTGATTTGAACAATATATGATTTTAAAAAACAAAACACAAAATATTTTTTTTTCGCCAGAAATGTATGCTTTATTATTTTATTCTTATATTTAAATATATAAAATTCGAATAAACCCAGAATAGTGTTTAGTTCTATATTAACAATCCAAATATTCAGAATTGTCATTAATATGATTATAACTCGATTCGTTTAGAACTATCAAGTTCTATTTACAGAAGAATCTATTAAGAAAAGAATATTTTTAAAAGACTTCTTCCACTTTCATCCGATTGTTTCCATTATACCCTGTCAAGCACCAGCTAATAAACCCACCAATGTTAGGCAATAATCTCTTTCTATTGAATACGCATATTCTAAAGCTATGGCAAATGAATTAAAAATTATACGTAGAACATTAGATGCAAATGCTGAACTTCCATAAGAATTTAGAATAGGATCAGATTGATAACGTTTTTGAATTTCTTTTATATCACTTGATAGAGTAGTTTCAAATGAGAAATTTATTGCATCATTCCATTCATCACGTTTTATTAAACGTCGACAAATTAAATTAATTATACCAGATACTTGTCCAGCATGAGAACTAAAATGTGTTAATTGTGCTTCTCCATATGACATTTCAAATAATTTTTTATCATCAATACATGGACATAGAGCAAGTAGATATGAACGTTGTGCTGGATTATAGCCAGCTGATTTTGATGCATCAAAAATTCGATCGGGAGAAAATAAAAAATCTATTTTTGTTAATTTATTTTTCTTTGATTTAATATCTGCTCGTACATTTATCGAATGACTTCGACATTTTATCTGAAAAAGCAAACGACACTAGAATTTATTTTTTTTAAGCAGATACAGTGTTTATTTCAGTATTCCATAGATTAACTAGTCTATTAGCTGTCTCACGAAGATTTTTTAATTGTGAATTATTAATATTATCTATAAACATTTGTTCTGGAATTCCCCAACGTGCACCCGCTAATATTCCAACAATAGGTGCACAATAATTTCGATCTTTTGCATCTGCAGCTGCAATTGCTTGTGCTGCATTTTTTGATGAAGAAACATAATGAAGTGCAGCATTGAGTACTGTTGGTGCAAAAGCTGGATGTGTTGTAGTAGCTGGATTAGACCATCGAGCATGTCGTCCTAATATCATTCGTATATCTTCATGAAGATTCGGTATTGTAAATGCTGAATTAATTGCATCATGCCAAGTTTGATTTTTAAGAAGACCACGACAAATACAATTTACAATAGCAGCTACTTGACCTGCTAATGGACTATAATGAGTTAATTTAGCTTCAGCCATACTAATATCTGCTAAATCTTCATCACTAATATAAGCACAGAAAGCTAATGGAAATGAACGTTGTACTGGACCACAACCAGCAGTATAACCATCATATTTTTTATCAGCTGCTTTAACAAATTCATCTACTATTGATTGATCAAAAAGAAATTGTTCACGATTAATCGATGATCTTGTATTGATATGTGTTAATGCTTGTTGATAAACATATTTTGTTATTTCACCAATTTCACATTTATTTACATGATAGAGATAAAGATATCTTGATAAAATATCTGGCCCATTAAATCCTTTACAATCAAGAAGAGTCTCACCAAGATTTGATGCCATAAGTACTGATGAATTATGATTAGATGCAATAGCATGTCCAACAAAAGCTCCATCGAAACGTGCTAATAACGTAGTCATTATTTGAATACAATATCAATGTAAAAAATAAGATCAATTTAGAAAAAAAAAGAAAGTTTTGTCGATGTGAATACGACAGTAACAATGAAGTATTTAAAGTCGTCTAGTAGACAGAATAAATAAAAGTCGGCGAAAGAAAAAACTGCTTTGCTTTTCTCCTTTCCATTATTTTTTGTTTTGTCAACTTCTTATGTCTACAATACTGAAGCAAAAATTTATGCAACGTGTCATAAGTATATAAAAAATATCTCAAAATGCATAAACAGATCAATTTCAATAGAAATAAACGAAATCATACGATTAAAAAATTCTTTTTCTATATGACATTTAAAAATAAAATACAGAATTATTTTTAAATTTCTACTAACAAAATCATGAAAGAAAAGTTACACATTAATTCAAGAAATCTATTTTTTTTCAGTAGAAAAAATTAGTAATAATATCCCTCGAGAAGATTCAATTCCACGAAAGTCAATAAATGGTTACAATGTATGAAAATTTGATTTTTTTTCTCCACGATTCTATTTTCTAAGAATGTAACACAAAACTCCTAGAATCATCTTGATAAATTTATACATCGATCCGAAATCATATATACGTGACAAGTGAAAATTATCTATAGATCAATACTATATAATAACCATCGTATAAAATATCCTAGAACTTATCAGTTTCACCAAATCCAATCAGATATATTCGATTTTACTTATCGATATTTCTTTGATATCAAGATCAGTATTTTACGCTTATTTACTGTTGTGATATAAAATTTCTATAGGTTATCGATTAATAAATCTAGCGAACAAAAAAATGCCGAGAGTACCATTAATTTAATATTACATGAATGATCTGCGGTATCTGACACTTATACATGAATAGTTTATGATGAAATTATATTAATGGTACTTTTGGCATTTTTTTCTTCTATCTGTTAAATTTATGTAATCCTACTTATGTTAGGTAATCATTCGATTGACAGTTATTTGAAATAAGACAAAAAGCAAATATTATTCAACTTTAACAATTAATGTACATCACAATATCATTTTTCTCTTTATAAAGTATTAATATTTTTTTATAAAAAAGATTTAATTAGTTATTAATTTATTATTCAATTAGTATGCATGTCATTTTATATTCAACTGATCAAAGAACAATTATGTTAGGTTTTGGAGAGAGGCGTTGCTATGAAACTTCATTTCAAATGAAAAATTTCTTTTATCTTTGTTCTTTTCTTCTCGTTTACATTATTGACGAAAGAAACATACAATAGACATCTGAAATACATGCATATATTACATATAGGTAGCCTAAAAAATTAAAGAAAGAAAAAAAGAAAATAGAGCGAAACAAAATTTCTGTTCACATAGCAAATTTCTTGTCTAAACAAACAAAAAAACACCTAGCAAAAATTTCGTTGATGTATTTAACATCACGTTTGTAATGGCAAGTATAACTAGTCGAAGTGAATTATGTCCAGTACTTGATTCGGATTTATTTACGTTTAAACCAAAACTTAATGATAAAAGTAATGAAATAGCTCAAAATCTTTTATCTAATTTTTATGAACGTCAATTGAAACATCAACAACGTTTGCAAGAATTTGTGAGTGTTAATATAAATAACTAAATAATTATAATTATTATTATTCTATGTTTATAGCAAGAGATAGCTGCTGGAAATTATCGTGAATGGTATTGCCATGATAAACGAACGAAAAATCGACAAGAAAATACAAAATTGAATTCAGAAACTCAATCTGCTGTAGATGAACCAGTGTCTAATGATGATAAAGAACCACCGGCATCATCCGGAAAGGGTACGTTTTATAAAATCGTCTTATATATATACATAAAGAGAGAGAGAGAAAGTCTTACATCTTTAACTTTTTTCAACATACAACAGTATTGCTTATTTTTATTTTTGATTTAAGCAGCCCATCAACTAAATGATCGTATAGCAAAATTAATTCAAGCATATGGTTCATCTTTACCAAAAAAAACAAAATTACCAGCAATATTGCTACCAATACGACAGACAAAACGTGTACCAAGACAATCGGCACCGGCACAATTAGAAGTACAGGAGCCCGTCAAGCCCTCATCATCATCATCATCGCCACCACCGGAATCGCCATCTCTACCATCCTCATTACCGACGGCACCAGTACCACCACCTCCAGCTTCCTCATCACCACCGCCACCAGTGCTACCACCTCCATCATCTTCATCACCGCCGCCACTACCACCTGCGCCTGTACTTGCACCTATTGTGAAAGGTCCTACTCGTCGAGTACCTGCACCAGTTCGACCTAAAACACCACCTAAAGTTGTTCGTCGAGTTGATTCACCACCCAGACGTCCTTTAATAAATGATACAATCAATCCAGAACGACTTAGACTTGCACGAGAAGAAGCTGAACGAGCCATAAAAGTATGTCATTTTAAAATTTAACAAAACAAACGTTATTATTTTCTATTTGTTTTATATAGGATCATAAAATATTTACAATCATCGGTCCATATCCTGCCTTACGAGACGCTCTACGACGGTGAATATAATATTATATTGTCGATTTTATTTTCTTCTATATTTATTTATTTATTTATTATAGTCGTGGTTGGATTGAAAAATTCGATCGTGCTCTATTATTTCCACCTGTTCATGACAAGAAAAAGTCCGATAAAAAGCATAATAAAAGTGATGATGATGATGACGATGATGATGATGAAGTATTAGGCGATGATGATCTTAGTTTGTTAATAATACTAAATTATATACATATATTTTTCAAAAAAAAACTTTAGATGAAAATCCTCTTGATGGCGAGGATAATGGAATTCCACCATGGGAAGAAAATGATGGGTATTATGGAATTCTCTCACGTCTTGTTAAATCAGCTGTACCAGATTTAGTATGGACTGTACAAGCTACATATGATACAAGTACTTTAAATAAAGATCAAATGGTCAATCATTATGAACGAAATGGTTGTTTAACAACAAAAGTAAATCAAAAAAAATTTCCAGCTGAGGCTATTTTTTTCTTTTGATTTTTAGGTTGGACTTTGTAGTAGTCTAAAAAGTTTACCATGGTTTCATTCTGGTTGTGCTGATGAATTCTATCCTCGATGTTATAAATTAACGCATGACGATGAAAGAACTGCATTTATTGGTAAATAAATATTTGAAATTTTTTTACAAATGAAAAGTATTTTTTGTTTTACTTTAGATGATTATCGTTTAACAGCATGTATAAGTTTTCTTAAACTTGTTCGAAATCGATGTAAAGGAACTATTGAACCTAATATAAATGCAAGTTTAGATATGAGTCTAAGTAATTAAATTAATCTATTTATCAAAAAAATTAAGCTTAGAATATTTTCAGGTCAACCATCATTACAAAAAGTTCCATCAACATTTACTCAATTTGCTCTAGAAAAAGTTGAACAATTTACATTAGCACGTGATCATGAGGATATTGATATAAAGCAAAATTCACAGAAAGATTCAACAGAAGAACAATGGAAAAAATTTATCGAACAATTCTATGCTGCATCACAGTAAGAATTGTAAATACAATTATTTTTGATAATTTATATTTTTTATTTGAAAAGTTCTTATGCAGAGATTGATGATATGAAAACATATTTAAATAGAATTGAAAAATGTTTGAAAAATGTTGAACAACATTGGCCACAATATAATATTGATGGCACAAGAAATATTTGGATATCAAAGCCAGGCGCAATGTCAAGAGGACGAGGTTTGTTATTTAAAAAAGATAATAGTATTCTTCCAGCTGGAATCATACCTTTGAGAAACTATCGAACCATTCCATCTTAACATCTCTAATTTTGAACTGTAACATGAAAAGATGAATATAATAGAACTAAAAATCAATTATTTTTATTAGATTCGTTTAATATAAGTCGATAAAAAGTGACACTTCTCAATTACTTACTGTCAGTAAAAATAAAACAATTATACATGTCTCCGTTTACTTTTATATCTTTCTAATAAAACTCGAATTCAGGAAGTGCTGATTCCATTATCAACTAGAATGATTATTTAGAAAAAGAAAAAAAAACATTAATAGTACATTTTTATATTTAGGAATTGTTGTTTATGATCGTCTTGATGACATGTTAAAATTGTGTACATCAACAGTATCAGATAAAGCAAAATTTATTGTTCAAAAATATATAGAACGTCCATTACTTGTTCATAATACAAAATTTGATATACGTCAATGGTTTTTAGTAACTGATTGGAATCCATTAACAATATGGATGTATAAAGATTGTTATTTTCGATTCTGTACTGAACATTTTAGTCTAGCAACACGAAATCAAAATGTACATTTATGTAATTATTCAGTACAAAAACATTATAAAAATAATTCAAATCGACACAGTGACTTACCAGGTATTACTAAGAACATTCATCATAAATAAAATACAAATTTAGTGCTTATGATTATTTGAAAAGTTGATTATTCTATATCTATTTTCTTTTTTTTTAATTAGCGGAAAATATGTGGACAAGTCCAGAATTTATTGATAAATATCTTCGACCTAAGAAATTAGCTGGTAAATGGGATTCATTTATTTATCCTGCTATGAAAGATGCAATTATATGTTCAATGCTTGTTGCACAAGATACAATTGATACAAGAAAAGTAATCATTGATTTTTTAATATTTAAAAAAAAGAAATAGACTTGTTTATTCAATAGAATTCATTTGAATTATATGGTGCAGATTTTATGCTCGGTGAAGATCTTCAACCATGGCTTATTGAAATAAATTGTAGTCCAACAATGGCTCGTTGTACTGCAGTAACAAAAGAAATGTGTGATAGTGTTCTTGAAGATACTGTCAAAGGTAAATAAGAAAAGAATTAAAATTTTAAAATAAACTCAATATTCATTTTTTTCAGTTATAATTGATCGAAAATATGATCGAGTAGAGGAGACCGGTCGTTTTGAATTAATACACAAAGGAATACCTGTACCAATTCCGAATTATGTTGGAATTGACCTTCGTGTAGAAGGTAAACATTGTAAAACTGGACGAACATATAATAATAATAATCAATCTCGAAATAATAATACCAAAAATAATGTGCCTGCTTCTGCACCATTAGAAACTAATTCATCAAAAACTGGTCAACTTGAATCGAATTCTTCACATTCAATTAGTGCTCTTGCTATTCATACTGATACTTCCTTAAAAACTAATAAGAAAACATCACCTACAACCGACGCGAGTGACTCAAGTTCATCAAATGATTTAATATCTGAAAAAACTTCTCTTGGTTTTACAACTAAACCATCAAAAGCAAAACGTATTTCAGCTGATACACTTCCTATTGATAAATTGAATCGATCAAAAACAAATGATGCTATATTACTATCATCATCATCATCAAAAGGTAAATAGAATTATTTAAAATATAGCTTGAATCTTTCTATTTATCTTTAGAAAACAAGGATAATAATGTTTCGAAAATAAATGTCGGTGAGATTGTATTTGAAGATGAAGGTAAATTTAAATGAAAAGATTTTTAGTTTTTAATTAATAATAATATCTACTTAGAAATAAAATCGCCTGGTAATTTACCATTTTTTAATCGACTACAAAATACTTTATTACCTCATAAAAAACAAGATGAAGATCATTCGAAAATTTTACAACGACAAGAAACAATATTTGATTCGGCTTCCAATATTTCTACTTCATCAACAATCCATACTGATAATGATCATACAACGGTTATTTCAGTGGCGTAAAAAATCAACATAACTTCCTCTGTTTGTTTCCTATAACAAAGTGTACTTCTTTTACTTTTGTTTTGAAATCAGTAGTTTTTTTAACGAGTTAAAATACATCAAATTTAATTATTAGAAACTACTGCAGAAAATTCGAATTATAAATCAACTCAACCAAAATATAAAACTCTTGTAGTGTAATATATATCATATGAAGAGTAAATACTATCGTTTTGCTCAATCAATAGAAACAAACGATAGCAAATAACAAAAAAAGTAATTGCTTTATACGACGTATAGAATATATTGATTAAATTCAATCATAAAAGCAAATAAAACATCAAGTAGTATACAAAAATAGATAAGATGTATTAGTGTGTAATTGAATTACTAGTGAAACATATTCATCAATAGTCTATTATAGTTGTTCTAGATCTTTAGTTATTAAGAGAACTAACATCTAATTATGATGCAAGTTCTCATACTCTATATATTTTCCAAATGATGCAGTAGTGGATATATGGGCGAGGGTGCAACCGTACCTTGTTTCAAGTTTTTCCCAACAAAAATAGTCCGTGGATGACATGTCGAATAAAGGCGACAATGCAATGCTTGATCGAAATCGCCGCCCATAATAAAAACCCTAGATCTGTCACTGAAACGATGATCCTGTATTAAACAAACGTTTACGTTGAATTAGAATCCAGGGATATCTACCATAGTATTTCATCACATATGAACTAGTAAATATTGAAAATTTTGTATTTAGTTTGATAAAATATTTATTTTAATCCGATGCATACATATATGTATATACAAAATCACGGTCTAGTTGTCATCCAAAAAACATTCATCATGCTTACATGCTTTGAAAAAAAATGAGATAAAATAAGAAGATATATGAGTGATTAATAGGATAGTATACATGTATTTATACGCGTTTAAACATTCGATATCTATACATTTCTGTTCAAGAAAGGATAAAATCAATAAATAATTAAACCGGTAGGAAAAAAAAAGAAACTGAATCTTTTCGATCTTAAATTATAGAAAAATAAATAGACGATTTATGCTGAGAGTAATGGTGTATATGGTGGTGGTGCATAATCTTCTTGATGTTGAGAATTTAATTTAATTGCTTCTTCATATTTTGGTGGCGAATACATCTTCAAAAAATGAAAATAATATAGAAAAAAAAATAATTAAGCAAAATTTACTTCTCCAAGAATTGATTGTGGACAATCTGTATGTGTTGTAATTGTTCCAATTGCTCTTGCCATATTTAATGCAGTTATATAACCATAACAATACCAAATAATAGCCGCAATATAAAGCTAAAGAAATTTTCATAAGAATATGTATCTATATATTTTTCAATTCAATTTACTTTAGCTAAGATGATAAATAAAAGAAAAGTAAATATAATAAGTTGAAGTGTTTGTCCATCGAGTTCAAGTAAATAATTTTTAAAGGGAAATTCTGGTTGCATTCGAAGCCATGTTGATATATCAGGTAAATAAGTATAAAAACCTAACATTGATAATATTGATATAATCACATTAACGACTTTTATTAGAAAATATGGTACTACATATGATGCTTTGTTCTAATAGAAAAAAAACATAAACAATAATAATTAATCATGTTAGAAATAAACTTACACCTAAAACTCCACAAATATGTACTAAGATAAGTACTGTAGCCGAAAAAACGACGAAAAAGACGACACATTTATCTTCTAAAAATATTTGAATGTAATTTTTTTAAATAGAAAAAAGAAAGAAATTTTAACATACGTTGACTGAGTGATTGTGCCCATTTAATTGTCGTTAAATCCATATTAGCATAAAAATTTTTTGCATTTATATCCATCGGTGGTGGATATGTTGCATTACGTTTTTCAAGAATTCGATTTAATAATATATTACTTGAACGAAATTCTTTATTATTTAAAATAATATGTGATGATGAATCATGATAAGGATCAACAAATGGTGATGGGATTTGTCGAGAAAATTCATCATCGATTGGTGTTAAGTCCGTTATTGTTCGAGATGTTCGTCCGAACATAAATATAAGAGCACATAAAGCAGCTAAATGAATGAATAAATCCCATAAACCAATTAATATGGCAGCTCCTCTACAAAAGAAAAAACAATGGTTTTTTTTAAATATAATATTGGATTTTAGTTTATTAAAGAAACACTATGATGTCAATGTATCTGCTAGAGTTAGTTAAATATAGAACATGGACTTTTATTACGATAAAAACACATCTGATAACGTTTTTTTCCTTCTTATCCTATCTGTTCCTATATATAGCGGTGATATGATATTTTCTTATGATAAAATTCAGGTATGTAGAGTAATAACTTACTTAATTCGAATGCAAAAAAGTACTCGTCGATTATATCGACGTCGTACATCATTTTCAACATTAATCGTGGTTATAACCATTGTTTTTAACGAAAAAAATATATGAATTAATAAGTTGTAAGATCTAGAACAAATAAAATTCGTCGTATAATATTAACTCAACTTCAGTTGTAAGGTAAAATATAGTTATAGTTTGAGAAAAATGATTATTTATAACAAATAAAATGATGTCATATTATTTTAACCAATCATTGATTTTAACATATGATATTGAGTGCACGCTTTTTATAACTATTAAAAACAAGTATTTTTCTAGAATTTTTTCTTGAGTTTCCATTAATTATATTTTAGTGCCTCCGGATATTTTTGAATGTAAATTATTGATTGATTTTAATTATAATAAATATTTTCTTCACTTATTGATATATAAAGATTATGATTAAGATAATTATTCAATAATATAACTACTAGTGACATCTAACAAAACAACACTAGGCTTCCGTTTTGACAGATCCTAAATTGTCATTTTTATAAAACTAGCAAAAAAATAGTTTTGTATAAATAGTTTTGTATAAATAGATTTTTATACATAGTTTCTCAGTAATTAACGAATTCGAATTTATAAGAACAAGTTATTTTTTATTTTTTCTGCCATGTCACATATCTATCTCAAACCTAAATAGTGATTCCGATATCTGACGATAACCTCTATCATAGGCACTGCACCCCATGTCTTCACAGATGAATAAAGAAAAAAAAATGGCATTTTTAAAGATTGTCATCTTGTCGAGTGTAAAATTCTGAGCAAAATGAATGGTCGTCGCATTTTCTACAGTTTTTACCCATTTTTCTATGATTTTTCGCAAATTTTCACATTTTTTCGGTTTTTGTGGTGTATGTATCTTTTGAAAGCAGCGTTGAAGAAAATACGGTGACCATTCATTTTACTGAAAATTTTATGCTCGACATGATGACAATCTCCAAAAATGCTGGTTTTTACATGAATCACAATTTAAGCTTGAGATAGATATGTGGCATAGGAGAAAGAAATCAAAAAGCATCTTTTTCTTATAATTTTGTTCACTATATTGTATGTAACTCTTTACTTTCGATATAACAGAGAGTACGTCGACAGAACAAATACTTCAATATTCGAGAAAATCGTATATTTGATTATGCTATAATAACTAATTTTTTTAGGTTTTTCTTCTTCTTTAATATAATATTTATATATGATACAATATAATGAAAAAAAAACGAAACTGATCTAAATTTTGAAAGATCTTTATCGATATCGTCCATTGATCGATCTATCAATGTAGGTTCCGCTTCTAAATAGTAATAATTTATGTAGGTAACTTCTATGATATATTCTATGTAAAATATCATCGATATATAATATCAGATTTTAACACATGTATTCGAGAAAAGTAGATAAGAGTGATCGCGTGATCGGTTTCATCTCTAATACATAATCTTGAATAATAGAATGTTGTTTCATAATCTACCTGATTACAGATACGTCTTCGTTATTGTCTTGGAATAAACCATTCAATAATTTATGAAACTCAAGCTTATATTAATTAATGGCAACAAAAACTTTGATTTTATATTAAGATGCATTTTTTTCTTTGAAATTAGGTCGTTTCGGAAGAGCATGCCATCTATCGATATTGAGTAGAAATATCATGAGTAATAGGAAGGTAGAGCAGAGACTCGTGCTTAAAGAAGAAAATGGCTATCCTGTCCTTCCTCGTATTGTTTGATTGATCAATAATTTTATGCAAGAATAATACAAATAAAAATTAAATGATTTCTTAGTATTCTGAACATTGAAAAACTATTCTATTTCTTTATTCAAGATGTCTATTGTACCATCATCAGTAGCATATGAGGAATATCTTAGTGAACAGCTCGTCAATTGTATAAATCTTCAAACAAATGTTATACATAGTTTATCACAGTATTCTCAACATATTTCATTACAACTATTTGAAATTAAGGTTTAATTCTTTTGTTTTTCATCCGTTTCTATTTTCTGTACAATTAAAATAAATTTCTAGAGCAATGTAGAAATATTAACAAATCGAGTTATAAATCTTCATCAACAACAATTGGAGCAGCAGCAACAGCAGCAACAGCAGCAACTATCTTATTTTCTTCCTTCTATGCAAGCACATCTACCAATACCGCTACCAGATCCTTTGCTCTTTCTTCGACAAGCATTACAAGTACCTTCACCATTAAATGAACCATTCTTTCACGATATATCTAATCTAACGACAGAACCAGCACCATTTTCATTTTTGACAACAACATATCAGGAACCATCACGCAATGGTATATGATAAATGATAGTTGAAAAAAAACATCAAATTTATTCTCAATTTTTTGTTTTAGCTCCATTTGTTTTCGACTCGATATTTTCAAATAATACTGCTCATCTAGCTGATGAAGTCGATAATGAATATGACACTGATGAACGAGATATACGTATTGAACCTATTATAACATTACTACCTGTTGAAGTTAAAACCGGAGAAGAAGATGAAAATATTCTTTTTTGTGAACGTGCAAAACTCTATCGTTTTGACACATTAACAAATGAAATGAAAGAACGTGGAATTGGTGAAATGAAAATATTACAACATAAAACATCAAAACAATGTCGAATATTAATGCGTCGTGAGCAAGTATTTAAAATATGTGCTAATCATAGAATAACATTACAAATGGAATTAAAACCACATCAAGGCAAAGAAAATGCATATATATGGTCAGCAATGGATTATGCAGATGGTAAAGCTAAACATGAAATATTATGTGTAAAATTCAAAACCGATGAACAAGCAAAACAATTTGTAAAAATATTTAATCAAGTAAAAACAATGAATCAAAATGAAATTGATAATATATCATTAATTAAAAATATTTCATTAAATGATGATGGTATGATTGAAAATTTATTTTTTTGTTAAATAAATCTTTATCTTTTTTTCTATAGATATTGTTATCATTGGTGAAGTTCAACCAACAAAAGAACAAATTCAACGAGCAGAATATCTTCAGTTACCACGTACATTTTATTTATATGAAAATAAAGAACCTTGTAAAGGTTGTCGTGGTTGTAAAGAAGATTTCTCGGACGAAGGTATGTTCAATAACTTTTGTCTCTTTGATTTAGAAAAGATATATAATTTCTTTTAGTCCCATTTGGTAATCCAATAAGCTATTATAATGATGATGATGCTGCTACTGCTGCTGCTATTCTAGAAAATCTTACAAATTTTCCTTCGGGTTTCTTTCCAAGTAAATTTTTTTGTTTTAATTTTCAATATTATTAAAATAAATATTTAGACTCTTCTCTTCCTGCATTAATGTCAATGATGCCTACTTGGTTTCCTGGTGGAGTAGATCCTTTATCTTCCTTGAATATACCTTCTCCTCCAAAAGATAATCGAATGATAATAAAAGCTAAACGTTCTCTACCAAGTAATCGTTTACCTCCACCACCACCATCTCAACCGTCACCTTCTGATTATGAACAATTTTCTTCTGGAACTAATGCAGAAGATGAACGAGTAACAGTTCAAACACATCAAAAGAAATCACGAAATTTTTCCGGTAATAATACTGAATCTTATTCACTAAATACTTATGCTACACAAATGGTACAAAATATTTTAACTCAAGCTAAACAAGAGCTTTGTAAGTCTTCCAAATGTTTGTAATTCATAAAAAAATAAAATTATTCTTTTTATTTAGCTAAACAAATAGAAATAGTAACAATCAACGAAGATAAAACTATGCAATCTCAACATGATAATAATAATAATCCGTCCATTTTTGCTAATTCTTCTACAGCTATTCTTGCAAATTTAGTACCAGTAAAACCAAATACTAATGCTTTTTCTTTTACTGATTTTGATAAATCATCATCATCAATACCTGTAATTGGATTTCAATTTTCAACAACGAATTCATCGACAATAACAACTAATACTTCTTCAATATTTACATTTGGAAATACACCAAAACTTAGTTTTGCTGATCTAGTTAAACAATCTTCTGATAATAAATTAACTACTGATGACACAGAACAAAGAAGTAAACGTATAATTTTTCTCATGAATTAATTTCATGTTTTTTTTTTAGTTTTCCCTGGACATGGCTCACTTATATTTCATAAAAATGATGATCATGAAGCTGATAATGAAAATGACAATTATGAACCACAAATAACTTTTAAACCTATTGTAAAATTACTACCTGTTGAAGTTAAAACCGGAGAAGAAGATGAAAATATTCTTTTTTGTGAACGCGCTAAACTTTCTCGTTTTGATGCACCAACAAAAGAATGGAAAGAACGTGGAATTGGTGAAATGAAAATATTACAACATAAAACAACAAAACAATGTCGAATATTAATGCGTCGTGAGCAAATATTTAAAATATGTGCTAATCATAGAATAACATCACAAATGGAATTAGAACCACATCAAAGTAAAGAAAATGCATATATATGGTCAGCAATGGATTATGCAGATGGTAAAGCTAAACAAGAAACATTATTTGTAAGATTCAAGACAGATGATCAAGCTAAACGATTTTATCAGCAATTTAATGATGCCAAGCAAATAAATACTAATATTCAACAGTGATAATTTATTTAAGAATAAGAAAAAAAAAGAGTAACAATTCTCTATTGTTCTTTTCTTTTATATATAAATCTGTATTTTTTTTTGCTACTATCGATCAATTCTTTATTTCTTTTGCTTGTGTGCGTCTGATAGCCTTGTTAAGTTAAAAACTTTAGAATAAAAATAATTTATAATAATTTCATGTTATTATGAAATCATTGATAATTTCTACAATACACATTATGCTTGAGTTAAATCAAGATAGACTAATTCATGTTGGACACTAATATGTACACTTATCATCTTGTAAGTATGATATTATAGTCCCATAATGTTCTGTTTGATGGATGTCCCGACCCATCCTCATTACATATATATGTATATATATTTTTGATTGATATCATATGCTTTGCTTTTTCTTCGTACATCAGATAGTAATAGTGGTGATGATGGTGTATACAAGGAAAACAAAGATTTCCTTTCCTTTTTCTTACGAACGTGTTTATATATGTTTATCATGTAGTTACTACTAAACTTGTACAGCAAGAAAAATAATAATAGTAATATTAGTATTAGAATCGAACATATAAAAAAGATTACAAGTTTCGGTGTATTGCCTCATTATTATGGAGCTGTGATGACAAACAAAGAAATAAAAAAACAAAAATATAGTCAATATCATTGAAGCGTCGATAAACTTGTCAAAAAACAAAATATCGTATGATATAGTCCATGTCTTTATATTGGAAACATCGCATACAATATAAAACCAATACCCTTGCTATTTAAAATATATTTTTATGGTTGATTGCACATATTTCTATAGATTACATGAAAGAAAATGGTTACTGTCTTGTTTGATAATGTTTTGTTCTGAGTAATAACTTATTGACGAAGATAAAAAAAAATCGATATATTATATTGCAGCAAACCAAAAGAAGCAATACATTTTTCTCTGTGTCTCTCTGTCTCCCTCTTTTTTCGAGGCGCAAAAAAAAGAAAATCCAAGAAGAGAATAGAGCATAGATTATCATCGAGAATATATCAGACAAGACCATTCGGATGCTGCTTCTATTACTAATAATTATGCATACTGTGGATATCCACTGACTTCTCTTTTCCCCATTCTTCGAAGAAAAAAACCACAGGGTTACCATCTTATCCAATATATATTTTTTTCCATTGATTTGTACAAATCGAATTTTAATAACAACAAAAATTATTTTTATGTTATTATTTTGTTTTCTTCTTGATCATACTTTATAGATAAAAGAGTATGGTTATTCATTTTCTTGAATTAGTCATATAGAAAGAAATTAGATATTGATACGTCAGAACGTAAATACCTATTGTTCTTGTCAATCCAATTTGCATTTTATAATTGTACATATATATTTTTTGTCTCTTTTAATCTATTTTTACAGATTATCATTATAAGCGACATTTCATCTCATAAAACAAAGAGAAAAATCGAACCACATTTCTCTCTTTCTGTTCAGGTTAGCTTTTTTATTTTGATACAATATATATATATATATTCATAAATCATGATATTTTTTTATCGCTTCTTTTTTTCTCTAACCATCTACCACTTTGTATTTGTATACTTTTGCTATACCTATGCTTACCCATCCATAACGACTTGCCTTGCAGAAGAAAAACTGCAAATATAAACCGCAATCAAGCGTAGAAATATATGCATAAATTTTATAATATTTTTCTCGTCCGAATGTTATAGATGAGAAAGATATGGGTTGATCACATTTTTTCCCTTCGTTTACATACACATACATACATACATATATATATATATAAACAAAATATCATATTTTTTTTAGTTTTTTTTACAACGCTTAAAATCCGACAGTCATCATGCGTCTTAGTTGGATCCTTGTCACACTCTTAATTATTTTCTTGTCTATTACATTAACAACAAGAACAGTTGATGCTGCTAGTAAGAAATCAAACAAAGAGAACAATAAAGAAGAGACCCAAGCTGCATTAGAAGCTGATAATGATAATGCTGATGATGATGATGATGATGCTGACACTAACGATGACGATGATGATGATGAGAAAAAAGGTAAAGCTCAACGAATTAACTTTGCTTTATACTAATAAACTAAGCTTTTTAAACTTTACTAACATATCAAGATAAAGATCGTATAAAAGCAAAGTTTATTCGTCATAATTATTCTTCCATAAGAGAGAGAGAGTATACGACATTTTTTTTATTAACATAATTTTCAGTGGTGTTTATCCCACGTGAAAGAGCTTCGATTTTTCTCTCATACAATGAATGTATACGACGAATGAATTGTGGTTTATCACGAAAAGAAGAATGTAGCGAAGAATGTGCTGATGGTAAGGATAAACAAATCTGAATATGAATTGGTTTATAAAAAAAACGTTATTGTTTTTTCTCTCTAACAACAAATGTTAGGTAATACTGAAGAAGAAATGGAAGAATATACTGAAATATTTGAACATATTGATGAATATCGATCTGATTTGAAGAAATCTTCATTAAAAAAATCGAATAAAAAATCTGTATCATCAGATGGTGATGATAGCGCAAGCGATACAACAACATCAGATGAAGAAAGTGATGCAAGTAGTGAAGAAGAAGATGTACCAGATAATAAAAATCAAAAATCAAAATCATCGAAAAAAAATTAAAAATTGTTTTTTTTCGTTAAAATATAATTATTCTGTGTGAGAATGATACCTTTCTTTTTCTTCTTCACCTATTTCTCTTGCATGAAAATATCTTTTGTATATTTTCTAATACAAAAATTAGTCATAGACCACATTTTTTTTAATTTTTTATCTTTTTGTTAACCTTGAATTTAGTCGTATCTGTCTTTTATTGTTATATGTTTTGTTTAATTTTATTCTATCTGATAATAGCTTCATACGATCTTTCTCTGTGTTCAAATGCATTTGCACGCGCTACTAATCTGGCAAAAACTAATTGTCAACTATCTATCCAAACAATATTCAACTTATAAATTTTAGCGGCCTTCGTACCAAATGAACGTGCTTCAGCCTTTTTGTCGTATAACGAATGTATACGAAGGATGAATTGCCCAAAAGCACGAAAAGAAGAATGCAGCGAAGAATGTTCTGCAGGTAAGAATTGAAATATTTATTTTGAAAATTAATTTACCAATTTTAATATATATATTCAAAGGAAATACTGAAGATGAAATGGAAGAAAATAGTGAAGTCTCCGAAAATAACGAAAATAATAAACGTGCTTCAAAGAAAGATCGAAAAGCCAAAGACGATAGTGACGATGATGATGATGATGATGATGATGATGAAGACAACAATACTGAAGAAGATAACGAAGAAGAAGAAGCTAATGAAGAAGAAGAAGATGAAGAAGAAGCTAATAAGGAAGAAGAAAAAGATGAAGAAGAACAAAATGAAGAAGAAGAAGGTGGAAACGGTAAAAACAGCAAAGAAGAAAACAATGAAGAAGAAAATGATGAAGAAGAAGCTGATGAAGAAGAACAAAATGAAGAAGAAGAAGGTGGAAAAGGAAAAA